CGGGCCGTTCCGTCCCCGCCGCCGCGCGGGGCCGCCGGGATCGGCCGCGGCGCCTTGTGGGCCGTGGCGCGCGGTCGCCATGGCGACGGTGGCGGCTGTGGCGGCGGGGCCGGGCCGCGCTCCCTCCCTGCCCTGCCGGGACCTGCGGGCGCCTTGTCCGCAAAAGTCCGGCCGTGAGTCCGGTGCCGACTCGGGGGCTGTGAGAATGGAAGCGCCCGCCGCAGAGCGGGCCGGCGGCGGAGGGGAGGTCACAGCGCCGGAGGCGGCGGAGGCGCCGCCGGGCGAGCCCACAGCCGGAGCTGCCCCCTCAGGGCGTGAGGGCAGCGCTGGCAGCGCAGGTGAGCCCCGGGCTGGCTCGCCAGGACCAGCTCGGGACACTCTGGCCAGCACAATGAGCTGACATCGTCTGTTAACTGCTCACCTGGATGCCACACGAGGCTGTGCTTTCTCCCGGCAAAGTCACTGGAAATCCTGCCATAACTGAGGCGTGCTCAGTTGCTACCTGCCTGTCCCTTTTTTTACCATTACCTCGGTTTCTTTACTTTCCTCTTGCTGGAGAGGTACTTTTTCCTGTGCTGTAATCACACAGCTGGCCTGACCCCTAAATCACAGAGCACAGGTCGCAGAATGGGTCACGCTGGAAGGGACCACCGTGGTTGGGACCATCTGGCCCAACACCCTGCAGGGCCATCCCAGGGCACATGGCACAGGATTGCATCCAGAGGTTCTGGAATATCTCCAGTGAGGGAGATCCCACACCCTCTCTGGGCAGTCTGTCCCGGTGCATGGTCACCCCCACAGTAAAGTCCTTCCTCACGTTCGGGTGGAACTTCTGTGCATCACTTTCTGCCCGTTGCCTCTTGTCCTTTTAAATGAGTCCTATTATTATGTTTCAATTACAATCATATTTAAATGAGCTGGTACAATCATCTTGTTTGTGCTCTCTTTTTAAATGTACGGACTACAAGTGCAACTAGAAGGTCCAGAGCAAGATTCTGAAGAGAAGAATATTGAAATTGCAGTTGATCAAAGGCAGCGTAAGGACAGCGTGAATGAGTGTAGCTCTGCAGACACCTTCCAAGGAGAGCAAAAGGGTAAATCTGTAGAAGAGCTAAACTAACAGACAGTGCTTGGGATGACTCAGATGCACCATTACTGTAGTCTCTCTACATGCAAAGTTAAGAGTCTTGCTAAATGCAAATTAGTGTTAATTACTTGTAATACATAGTAGATGTCTAAGACCATAAGAACATTGATGCCAGTACTTTATCGTTACTGTACATTGTAATAATCTTAGGACTAGTGGGTATTACCTGACTTCCAGATCTAAAAAAAAAAAATAAATTCAGATTTCAGCAGTTAAACTTTTACTACTTTGCCTTCTAAAAACATTAAGTTTCATTGAAATTGTCAGCAAAAACCTTGGTTAAAACCCTCCTCTTCCTGAAATTCACATTCAAGTGCTCTTCAATATTTCTCTGAAGTAACTGGCAACATGACACATTTTCCCCACCCTTGCTGTTAAATTGCAACTAATTTTCTTACTTACAAAGATGTTAAAACTCAAGAGAAAGCTGTCAACTGTATGTCCAGAGCAGACCAACAGAATGAACAAAAATCAGGAGTCGATCACGAGTCTGTAACCAGCTCATCCAGTCAAAGGACAGCAGAAAAGAGGGGCTCTGTAAGGTAATACATTGCTTGTGGATGTGTTTTATTTAAATCTTGGCAGCATTGAAGTCAGTGGGAGTTTTGCTACTCTGCATGTTGATCTCAACTCTGGAGAACAATTTTGCAGATGAACTTAAGAATAATCCATGAATCAGGAATCAGTGATATCTCCAGCATCTGTCCAGATGTTTGGGTTTTTATGGCCACAGTAGCAAACTACATTCTAACCACGAGGCAGTCTATTTAGTGGATCTGGAGAAAATGGTGCAAACTCTTGTGGGAGTCATTTGCCAGTAGATTTGACCATTTCTCAGCATCAGTTCAGACAAGGCACTGTGTGAATTCCTAGTGGCATTCCCAGCCGGCCACAGCTGCACAGTAAAACTTTCCTGAGTGCTATTTCAGAGTCAGCATTTCATTAAAATGTTGGGCTGAGAACTATTGATTTTTCTAGTCTGAGAAAAATGTTGCACAGTGGCTGTGCCACCAAAGGTCCTGTACCAAAGCAACAAGGAACAGAGGAAAGAATTGGAGAGGAACGAAGGGGAAGCTGACATAGAATCACGCTGCTCTTTTCCAGGAAGATGGACTCTCTACCCATTTTCCTGCTGTTTTTTAGCAGAAGGGTCTGGTAACTCACTCAAACAGGTAGAAATGAAAAGCCACTCTAAAAAAACCTACTGCTTTTTTAATTTGGAGTATAGTTTTGAAAGCTGTAGCCATTTCTGTTGCATGAAAGAACTATTAATTGTGTTGCATTGGAATCTGTAAGGAAGCAAAAGATTTCAGAATGTGCACTGAAATACATTTTTTGTTTTGCTTCTGCTTCCTGTTATTATTTTAGAATGACAAAAAAGACTCTGCTGGACATCTGTAAACAGCAGAAATTATACTGGACCCCCTACTTAAATGATACACTTTACTTGCATTATAAAGGTAAGATGTGGACATGACTCTTTAGATTTATCATTCCAAGTAGCATTTTAGCAGAGAATCTATTTCATGGCTCACTAAAGTAAGATATCTAATAATTCTTTTAAATTAAAAACATAAGTTAATTTTATATAATACTGGAATTGGGAAACAAAATGTCTCAATATGAAGGTAGAAAAATAATTCTAATTCACTTTGTGTAGTCATTCAAGGGATCAGTAGGAATCAAGGGACATATTTTTTGGTTTTTTTCCTAAAACAATAGCCTCTGAGAAATGTCTTAAAATACTGGTCTGGGTTGCATTCAGAGGAAAATATATGTATTTTTCCTTAAATGTGTTTATACAAAGAGCTTTTTCCAGCTTTTAGAACCTTTTTATTGCCAAATAAAAATGGTCAAGAAGAAAATGAACAGTAGAGACTTACTGCATGTTAGCAAACACTACTGAAAGAAAAAAAAAGGTGTTGGAATGAACATAGATTGTCCTCTTGTGATCTTTGAGCAGGTTTTTGCATGATGCAGTTAGCTGGTCCAAGTTAGCCTAAGAATTTTTTCAGATAATTAGGACATGCTACCTTCTGCATTTGGCCTTGGGTTTGCTATGTATTATTTGGCATCTAAAGGGCTGCATGAGATCCAGAACAGGTCCTGACTTGGTCCTGCCCTTTCTGGGCCGGGAACGGTGCCGTTCATTCCGAGGGAATCCCGTCAGTCCCCTCAGTGCCAGTGTTCTCTCTCCCAGGCTGCTGCAGCAGCTCTGCTTGCCTGGCACTGCCTCTCCCAAAGGCCCCTTTCAGCCAACACCAGTTCATTCTCAAACCTCTTTTCTGTCAGGGTTTGACCGGCTGGAGAACCTGGAGGAATACACGGGGCTCAAGTGTTTGTGGCTGCAGTGCAATGGCCTGAGGAAGATCGAGAACCTGCAGGCTCAGACAGAGCTGCGCTGCCTCTACTTGCAACTCAATTTAATTGAGAAGATTGAAAACCTTGAACCCTTACAGAAGCTGGATTCCCTCAACATCAGTAACAACTACATTAAGACCATTGAGAATCTCTGTAAGAACTGTTGGTACAACGTGTTGTAACCTTGGCCACGTTCCTAAGCTCTGACTAAGCTGTTATCAGTGCCACTAGTTTCAAGGGATAATTTTATTCATGATAGAATTTTGCACAATATCCCATACCAAAGTCCACAGGGCTTCTGTTGAGGAGTCAAACCTATGTATTTTGCAAGTTAAATAGATGAAAAAAGAGAAAATACGTAGGAACTACTTTCATGTGGATACCTAGAATAATTAGGGGTTTTTTTCCTCACTTCTTAGTACCATCTCAGTCTCATCTGTGTTGCAGACAGGCTGACAATCCAGTTTTCACTATTTACTTTACAGTTAAGATGTGCTTTGGCAGTTGCAGACACAATTACTGAATCTCTTATGTCTGCTAAAAGATTTATTCTGTCTTCAGCAGAAAATAAAAACAATTCCTCTACGTTACCACTTGCATACATTGGAAAATTTTGAAATGCATGTAACTAGTTAGTTTGAAATGTGAATGAAGGACAACCACTACCACAAAACCAAACAGCTGTTTTTCCCAGGGTGAAGAAAGCAGCTTTGGAGGCCTAGCCAAAAAGTGCATATAGCAGAATAACAAATTTAGAAAAAATCTCCAAATTCAATACAAACAATTAGTTTGACAATGCAGTTTTTTACTTGCTCCAGGAACCCCTCTGTGAAGCAACAACTCTTACCTTCCCTCTCCTTGTCCTTGTTGTCCTGCAGCTTGTCTGAAAGTCCTGCAGACTCTGCAGATTGCTCACAACAAGCTGAGGACAGTGGAGGACATCCAGCACCTGCAGGAGTGCCCCAGTATTTCTGTTCTGGATCTTTCCCACAACAGCCTCAGTGATCCAAGCATTGTAACTATTCTGGAGACCATGCCTAACCTGGTAAGGCAGACACAGCTCAGGGTTCCTGTCCTGTGTGTGGGGGAGCCCCATGGAGTGCTTTGGTTGGGTACTTCAGTGCACAACAGGCATTGGTTTAAAAGAAACATTATTAATCATTATTTTATTTCTTGTTGATTACCTGTAACACTCAGGGTGTTTTATTCACCTCTTGTTTTTGAAATGACAGGGAAAGTGCATATCCAGATTGGGGTTTTTTTGCTACTCAACTTTAAAAATGGTTCCCCTTGTTTCTCTAGCACGTGCTGAATTTGATGGGAAACGAGGTGATAAGGAAAATTGCTAATTACAGAAAAACACTTATTGTTCGACTAAAACAACTAACATATCTGGATGACAGGCCAGTTTTCCCAAAGGATAGGTAAGAAACACAGCCTTCTTCACCACACAGCAATAAAGATCAAATGCTGATGATCACTGATTTTTTGTCAAATTTGTCATGAAAGGAAAGGAAGACTGACCGGTACAATTTATTGAAGGTGGGTGACTTAGAGGACAAGAGTATTGTATTGCAGACTTCTACGTCTAACATACCCAGAAAAAAGCAATCTGTTTTTTCCCCAAAGAATTCTTGAGCAGAATGCTCTTAGGCCAAGTCTGTAGAGCAGAGGCAAATCCTGCTTTCAGCAGAATCTGAGTGGGTGTCTGGAAGAGCCAAGCCAAGACCAGGCCAATCTCTGGGGCTGTGATCACCAGCATTTGGCTAGCTTTATTTTTTTTTGTTTCAGTTCCACATACAAGATGAGATACACATTCATCCCTGTTGCATAAGGGATTGTCACTGCTAAATGCTTTTTTTTCTATTTTGTGCTGTTTCAAGCTATTTTAAATTTCTCTGTCATTGCAAAGATGGGCTTTTATAGCTGTATTACAGTGAGGTTTTGTGTTTTCATTAGAGCCTGTGCAGAAGCCTGGGCTGTTGGAGGGCTTGAAGCTGAGAAAGTAGAAAGGGAAAAATGGGAAACCAGAGAGAGAAAAAAAATCCAAGATAGCATTGATGCATTAGCAGCAATGAGGCAAAAAGCAGAGGAAAATAAAAGACAGAAGTGCATGGAAGAAGGAGATACAAGTGCAAGATGTGGAAATGGAGGTGCAACAGATATCCTAGAAGGTTTGTGCTTACAATTTTGGGAGGTGCCTGTGACCACTTCAATTTGGATGTGCAGAGGAGTCTTTATCTGATATTCTTTGGGTTGACTAACAAGTAAAATTTGTTCTGCAAGCAAGTGAATTGCACAAAGGAGAGGACAACCAGCACTTGTTGCTGATCCATCGAAGTCCTCAAGCATATATTTAAATATGTAGTCACTTGTGAGTCTTTTCAAAGTTAACTATAAGGACCAGCCAATTGTTTACTACAGTGTTTTCTCTAGATGATTTTTTTTTTGCTGGGGAACTTTATTTGCTGGGGAGTTGAGATGGGAAAACCCACAACATTGCTGCAGTCTTGGGAGGACTACTCATCCCCAAACAGCTGCTCAAACCAAGTAGGAGCTTTTGCTGCATATTTTAGGCCAGGGTAGTAATGTTTGGTTATTTAGAATGAGCAGTGGTAGATTGACTTAGCAATTTTAAGGAACTTGTTTCTTCTGTAGGAGCACCTGCAAATTCAAAAGATGGTGATGGAAATTCTAACACATCAAAGCCTTCAAATATATCAGAAGAGGAAGAAGCTCAAGAGAAGACTGAGAAATTTAAAGATGAAGGTTTTGCTGTTAGTGATGAAGTGATAACACTTCTGCCAAATAGGGAAGATAACACATCTGGAAATATTCCTGCTGGAGTTCAAGAGGATGTGCAGGAACCAGACTTTTACAAATGTGCAAATCTCAACCAGGAGACAGATGGTAACGTACCAGTGAGGAACCAAAGCAAACTGGGGGTGCAGAGATGATGAGCCAAACTCTGCCTTAGTGCAGCCTCTGCTGATTCATAGATAAGAACATTCCACTAGATTTCCACAGTGACTAGGGAAAAATCAAGCAATACTGGATAAAATATTCTTTAAATACAACAAATAAAAAAATTCTGAGGGCTTAACCTGCAACTTCTGCAACGTAAGGGTGGCACTGCACTTCTCAAAGATGCCAGGTTCAGTGGCAGGACAGGCTTCCCTTGGTGGCACTGTGCAGCCTGTCTGCCAGCAGAAGCTGCTCATCCCTCCAGAGGTGGTTGTGTGCCCTCACACATGGAAAAATGCTTTTATAGATTGTGGAATACGTTATTGCCAAATGAAAATATGAAATCATACAATATAAGATATAAGAGAGACCAAGAACATGCTGGAAAGACAAAGTGCTGGATTCAGCTGTGAATTCTGCAGTGGTGGTCAGTCCCCAGCAGTTTGGTTCTGCAGTGCCCTTGCAATGTAGATATTGTTTTATTCAGTTAGTTCTCTCCAACTGACTGTTGTTTGTTCTTTAGATCTGCCAAGACAGGAGGCAGCCACTGACAAGGCCCTGCTTCCTGAAGGGGATGAATCTGCTGGAATGGAGCAGTTCAATGTGGAGACACTGGAGAAACTTTACCTTGATGTATGTATTGGATTGAGGTTTTTAGAAGTTTACATGTGGGTATTGTCTTCTCCAAGGTAATTCCTGTAACACCCTGGCCAGTAAAACTGTATGCCCAGGTTCTTAAGAGAGCTCTACTATTAGGATAAGTAAAAGGAACCCAGAAGGTAAAGTTGCAGAGCTATTCATTCTGTCCAGTGTGGCATATGTAAAGAATTTACCACTGCTTCCAAAGTTTATTTTGTCCTTAAAATTTTTGTCCTACAAATGCTTTTGTCCTATAAATCATCTGAAGCTGACCTTCTATCTCTTTGATTTCTCTGGAGAAGCTAATGAGGGCTCTCATTTAAAAACAAATCATATCAAAAAGAATCTAGTAGATACATTGGTCCTCTTAAGCAAAACTCAAATGAAACATGCAGTTGAAAATGTGAACTATTGCAGAGAAAGCATAAGGAAGAAATAGCAACCCCATCATTGTCAATGTTACCTACCACTATCAGGTATTATAAATTAATTCTCAAAATAGAACTTGGAGGTCTATTTCCAAGAAAAGCAGGATTTGCATTATTCAGGTATATAATAAGTAATTGACATTTGGAATATGGCCCTGCATTATCTAAAACTACTGTCTGATGATGCAACATTTAAACATGTTTACCACACTTAACCCTGGGGAGGACATGGATACCACTGAGAAATACACCCTCCCTTCAGAGCAGAACTGTCCAGTGTGTTCTGACAAGGACTCTGCTGCTGCACTGACAGTGTCACACTGACACAGCCAGCAAGAACAAACTCCTGCCCTTACCATTTCCCAGAGCACTTCACACACTCTTTGATACCTTACACTGCCATGCTTAACTACTGCCAGAAAACTCTCATATCCTTGCCATGCTCTCAATCTCCCAGGAAAAAATTCCATGTTCTCCCAGGGCTCAGCCCACTGCTTCAGTAGAGAGTTTGCTGCTGCCTCCTCCTGTTTGGCTGTCTTTAATAATAGGTTTAAAAAACACAGTGGAGAGAACTGGCAGCAATTCAAAGCATACACAATACTATCTTTAAAAGCAGATCTTGCAGGGTCTGAAATTAAGGCTTTAAATATGTGGTGATACTGTAGGTACCCACGATGTGAGGAACTCATCAGTTCAGTGTTTGTTTTCCCCCTGGTGCTCAGTGGCACCACAGGAAGCTCCTCTGCACAAAGTGTAACCTAAAGAACTCTTCAGCATGCACCCAGGGGGTTCTTCAGACTCTTAAACAGCGACTATTTTAATTCTGCAGGAGAAAAGCCAAACCCAGATCACACACTAATGCACATTTCAGTGTCCTTTGCTACTTTGTTCTCCAGCCATGTTCAGTAACAGCAAGAGCTCCTCCCAGCAAACCCCCTCCTGTACTCACGTTACCGCAGACATTCCAAGGAGCCGGAGCGCTGCCATGGCCGGGAATGGCTGGGAATGGCTGGGAAGGGCTGGGAAGGGCTGCTGAGGAGCTCTGGAGCAGCACAGCTGTCCTGGTTCAGATCCCGACTGTGGATTGTGTCGGGAGTGAGATAAGGGAGGAGAGTGAGAGGATTTGCAATGTGGTGGTTATGACATCCCTCTGTCAAGCAGAAACAAGCTCCTGTTGCTGCACAGGCCTTGGCAGTGTTTGAACCACATCCCATAAACCTAAACCAGGATGGCTTTTAGTAAGTGATTTTGGTTTGATCTGCAGGTGCACCCTGCTGATTGCAACAACACTAACAGCTATTTCACCTCCCTGCTGACACCAAATTCCACCCACTGACATGAGTCTCATATCTTAAGTTGTACTTTTTGAATGCTGTTTTTGTAAAGCTGTGTCACTTCAGGACATGCTGCACTGGCCCCAGCTGTGAGAGGAGGACAGGGGGGCACTGCTGTGGCCTCACACCCCTGACCTCACCCTGGAGAAGGTTCCCAGTGAGCAGAGGTGTCCTCCTCCATGGGTTACAGGAGCTAATCCCTGATTCATGATCTGTGGTTGTTTTCAGGAACTGCCTGATTTAGAAGATGTAGATGTAACTGAATTTCCCCCAGAAGAGGAAATCTTTGTTCAGAAGGTGACGTTTTTATTAATTCCAGTAATGAAGCTTCCTTAAACACATTCACAAATGTTTTGCAAAGTGAGGATAATCTAAGTTGTGAAATGCTGGGTTGGGAGGTGCAATCAGTTATGCATTTATAAACTAAAATGGATGATTTCAGCAGATCATATCCACTTGTCAATATTTTTTTTAATTTGATTTTTATATTATTCTATAGCAAAAATAGGATAATGAAATCCTAAGATCAAGTAATGCACCAGTTACATAAGTTTAATTTCTTAGTAGTATGTAATGTTATAATGAAGATTACTCTTAAAATACACTTTACCAACACTAATATGCTGCAAAGGACTGAATAGAGAGAACAAAGCACCTGCTGCTGAATAAAATCTGGCATTTCAGCTGAAAACACAGAGAGATTGAACCTGCTCTGCTCCACTGCAGGCCAGTCCTCGAGCACATTAGCACTTTGCTTTGCTCAAGCTAATCTTTTAGGCAAAAGCCTATAAGCAGAAACAGAAGGGGCAAAAAGAAGGCACCAAAGACTAAAAGCACAGTTTTGGCTCTTCTGCTAATCAAAGAATCATCCTGGCCTTGCTGGAGACAGGGGCTGGTACAGGACATGTTCTTACAAGTCTTACAACTTTTCTGACAGTCAGCATAAGGCATGGAATTTATTTTCTCTTTTGGCCACAGACTCACAGCAGGGTTGCAAAATGTCTTGGCCAACAAAGCCTCCAATTAAAAGACAAAGGATTAGTGCAGGAGTCTGTGTTAGCAGCTGTCATGCTGCAAAGGGTGCTCAGTTCTCCACTGAATACAGATGAAGATGTTAGTCAGGTTTGGAGTAAAGTAATGCAATGCAGCCCACACGCTGCTGAATTGCTGAAATAGGGCTTTTTATGAACTGTTACTGGTTTATGGTCAGTTGGTCACTGAAGCCTGAGGAATAGTTAAACCCAAGAGCCATCCACACAGCAGCAGGGCTGGGGGGGAAGCACATCTTCCCCTGCATTTTAGGAGAACACCACATCAAAGCTGACAACTGTTACATGGATCCAAGGGATAGTAACCCATCCTTTAGCTTTTACATCTAAGAATAATGTATTTTCAATTACATTTTCTACCTTTACAGCAGGACTATCACCCAAAGATTGAAATAATTTCTGAAGGGACAAATGACAGCGATTCTGCATCAGAGGAAAACAGTAAAAGCACGTTTGAGAAATCAGTAGAAGAAGTTCCAACAGCAATTTTTTCCAATGTATGTAAGAGCCATAAAGAACATGAAGAGGAGGAGCACTTAAGACCCCTTCTTGAAAGCTTCTTTACAGAGCCTGCTAATTCAGAAAGACACCTGGAGATCAAAGATAAAAAAGCAGCCCCCTTGAAACCCTTGATCCAAGAGGTGGTCACTGAGCCCAAGGAGCAGCTGCTGTTGTCACCAGTCTGCCACCAACCAGATGAGCCAAGCCCATGGGAAGAGGATGGTAAGATTACAGTGACATCACTGATCACAGAGGAAAAGGTGGGTGGCACATGCACACTAAAAGTAAGGGTCTGTTCAGCTTTTGTTGAAGATTGTTAGTTACAATCACCTCTTCCTTTCATTTGTGTGGGAATCCTAAAAAATTAGGAATTAAAATGGTATTTTGTTTTTCTACAGAAGATTTCTTTTAAATGGTTTCTTTTAAACCATTTCATTTAAATGGTTTTAAAAAATTGGGCTCTACGTTTGTTTTTTCAGTATTAAAGACCACCAGTGAGTTTTATTTGTGTGTTCCCTTTGTGCTTTTTTAACAGGGGCTGGCAGTGATGGAGAAGCCCAGGGCCTGGCTGAGGGTGAGGGATGTCCTCACAGAGCACCAGGGGACAAGGACACTGAGAGTGGATTGGATTAATCCCTTTGGAAAAAAAGGGACCAAATCTGGAGCACAGCACCTGGCTGAGTGCATGGGATCATCCCAAAGGATGGAGCCCAGCAATGGGATCATCCCAAAGGATGGAGCCCAGCAATGGGACCATCAGTTGGAACTGGCACCACACACAAACCCCCTGGCCCAGGCTCTGCAGGGCAGGGGGCTGTTCACTGCTTTGCCAACCACTGTTCTGAGGTTAAATTCCATCCTCCTGTTCTTTGTGCCTTTGCATCCTTCTAGAAATTACTTAGTTAAATGTTTATGTCTCAGGGTTTCAGTACAGATGTAGTTTCAAAGCAAAATGTAACGTGTATCTGTCATTTGAACCAAATAAAGATTCTACTTGTAACCACACCCTGTGAGAGGTGGCCTCATCATCCAGGGCTGACAATGTTTTTGTGACACAACCACCACCCCAACATCAGCCATGGCCTCAGCTCTGAGTGACCTCACTTCACTAAGCCCCACCCAAATTCAGGTGTCTTTTTTCATGTTTCTATAAATCCTTAATAATTCCTGACAAATAGAATTGAACAGGTCTTGTAGATGTGCACATTTAAAGAAATAAGATATTACTATGGGCTTGTTGAAAAGCTGTATTTCCAATCAGCTGGGCTTAGGTGCCATCTGGTGGCAAGAGAACTGGATCTCACAGCAACACAAAGTAATTGTAAAAGCCCTCAGGGAAGACAACACAATTGCTTTAAATTTCAGCCATTTTCCACTTTCCATGGATTAAAACATGCTGGTAAAATCCTTGGGCTCCAGGACAGGGTGGGAGGGTGAGCCAAGGGCCTGTGGAGAACAGGCTTGTCTGAAAGCACCAGCAAAGGAATCTGCCCTTCAGAAAGGTGTAAATGCTGCCAGCAACCTGTGGGAGCTTTGTCCTAAAAAGCAGCTGCTTCCTTTTCTGACCAAGATGGATAAGGACTATGAGGGCTTTGGGTTGTGCATTTTCTGTGCTGTGTTTTAGTGCCTGTCCTGGTACCCTCCTCCTATACTAGAAACAAGGAGGGACCATATTATGTTTGTAAACAAAAGATTTAAAAAAGTAATCCAAGAGTGAAGTTTGAGCTCTATTATCACTGAAAGCAAGAAAAACAGGATACATTAAAAAAAAAAGAAGGCAGCAAGTGGTTTCAAGAACTACAGATTCCTTTACTGTGATCCTTTTACCAGATATACCCACCCTGACCAGCATTTTAGTCTGGAGAATCCAGCAGCTTTCTGAGCTGTGTTTGCTTTGCCACATTTTACACAAGAGGTGTCTCCAGCTCCTGTGTGTTCACAGTGACCACAACCCACCAGCAGGGCCTGTGTGAGCTCACAGGTAAATCCCTAAATCTTACAGGAGAGTTGCATTTGGGAAGGAGAAAAGGAGTGAGAGAAATGCCAAAGCAGGACTAAATGAGAAAAAGGAAACATGTTTAATTAGTGTTTTCTGTAAAACTTTACAAATGTACAGCATAGTGCAAAACGCAGTCTCAGCACGTCACCTTCAATAAAATTAACAATGTAAAAAGCCGAGGAACACGAGCTTGGCTCTTCACAGGAGTGGCTCCCAAGTTCTCTCCCTGTCAAGCTCCAATCCCATGTTTATAGTAGAGCAAAAAGCCTAAAGAAAACCTCAAGGACCCTCCCGAGGGGCTGCTCCCCACGAGCACAGGCTGCCCCTGCACGGAGCTGCTGCAGCCCGGGACGGTGTCGGGCCCCGGCCGAGCTGAGCCCGCCCTGCACAGGCAGCTCCCCAAGGTGGGTCATTGCTCAGCCCCCACCAGGAGGGCACTGAAGCCAACAACACCCAACCTCAAACGTGCAACAGGCTTCGGAAAACGGCTTCAGGAGCTCGAAGTTAAGCATGTGCTTAAACACCTCGTTGGATCAATACATTCAGTGTTAACATTTCAGCAGCCCAGAGTGTGGAAGTTCAGAGAGGGACGTGAATCCTGAACATGCTGTTGGGTGTCAGCAGACACCAGACAGTCCTCAATTATCTGTGAGGAAAGAATTAAACAGAGTGCAACTCAACGACTTTCCATCGCTGGAAATGGCAAAAGAGTGGCAAATGGGCTGATCTAGGTGAACTTTCTGAGCACAAATCCCTTGAAAAGGAAAACCTTTTCCAGGGTACACTCAAGCACATCATCTAAATACCAGGCCAATGGGGGCTGCCAGAATTTTCCCTTAGTCCTGAACACAAAAACAGTGGCTGGGATTAATTCAGAAGCTCTCCCACCCTGCTCCTGCACAGACTGCACCACCAAGGCAGTGACAGAGCTCCCAGCACACAGGAGCCAGCTGGGGGAAAATGTGCTCAAAAGTGAACTTTTCTGAACTAACACATCTGTTCACATAATGATAAATGGATGGAGGAAAGGGCTGTGACAGGAAGGTCCATTTAAAACATGCTCATCTTATTGTGATTTTGAGCCTGCACTCATCTGATTGATTGACTGCATTTTGGTGGGGATGCTGCTTGACCAAGATGTTCAGAAATCTGGTTTATAACCAAGAATTGTCATGGCAATGAAAGGGGGCAGAGCATTTCTTCAAATGATACTGGCACAGCTTACACCTCCCTGTCTAAGCCCTTAGGAGGCCTGAGTTAATTGAATTTCCTGGGTCTGTTCTACTGCATTTGAGTAGCTTTCCTAAGGAAAAGCGACTCAGGTAGAGGATACTGAGATAAATAATACGTTCTCATTAGAACTACAGCATAAAAAACAAAGCTCTGCTTTGTTGAGAAACTCAGTCGTCAGAAACCACATGGAAGGGGAAGATCAGTTCAGCCTTTGAGGCTGGTCTCAGATGCACAAAGGACAGAAGAAAAGTTTGTGGGACATGGTGGACTAACCCTTCTGCTTCTCTCCTACACTGAGCAGCTGAGAGTCCTTCTAAAAGGGGATCCAATCGATTGAACTGTTTAATCAGATTTTATACATCAATAAACCAACAGGCACATCTTCAGAGGAAATAGAACAGGTCAAAGCCAAGGGAAAAAAAACCATTGGACTGGACATGGAATACTTAGCCAGCACCAAAACCCAGAGTGTGCTCCCTCAGTCCCCTCTGCACATGAAAAATTGCGTGTGCAGAAGAGTCTATCCCTTTTTTATGTTTTTAATATGGAGTTCCCTGCCTTTATCTAAGAGAAAAGAAATTTGGGGCAAAACAAATCCCAAACAACAAATGCTCTCAACTCAGCGTGGGATGTTCTGTGGCCTGTGATGGTCTGTGGCTCCCCTGAGAGCCACAGTCCTGGGGGGTCACTCACAAAATGATCTTCTGCACACCCTGAGAGATCTGGTTCCTACTCACCTTGGGAGGACAAGGGAGAGGCACAGGTGCATCCCATCAAACCCAGAAAATGGATAAAAAAATATTTGTAGAGCATTAGATTATTTTCCTATTTCAAGAACAGCATGGAGAAGGGTCAGGCATCTTAGCTAATCTGTGCTGCCCCTGTAAAATCCCACAGTTTGCCGTGGCAGACACTAGTCAGGATCACTATTTTATGAAGTCCCAGATGGACTTTCAAGCTACTTTTCACTTCAATTTTGGTAGAAGTTTTGGAATTTCTAATAGCATTTTCAAGAAAAAAAAATCCTGCCAAGATCTCACTCCCCCTAGGAGCAAGCACCAGAAACAGTATTTTGTTTTAAAAAACACTGAAAACCAGGTGCAGGGAGAGCAATGCAACAGCTACCAACCATTTCCATCTACTCCAAAGAAAGGGCACAAAAAGAAACTCTCTAGTGGGTTTCTGAGTCACTTTGGTTTCTTTACATTCAAACCTGTGGATGCTTGGATGGGTGGGAGGGAGATGGTGGTTCTTGGAAGCAAAATCACTGGCTGTTGTCTGTTGAAGAGCTCAGGTTTAAAGGGATGTCCCCCTGGACCCCCACAGAGGACAGGTAGGAGGCCATATTTTCAGGTGGGACATAAAGGGATGAACTCTCAGGCAAGGTGAGGAGGTCGTTCCCAAAGATGGACTGACGGTCGATGAGGAACTGCTGGGCACTTTCCAGGATCACATCTTTCCCTGGGAATGCAAACACACAGGAGAAAACTCAGCTTCTGCAGGGCAAGTTACTCAACTTTGTTATGTAGAACTGAAGAGTGACAAATCCCCATTGCAACAGTAGTGAGGAGCCTCATTCCAGGCAAAAATCACCTGGAAACACTTGAGTCAAACCTGGACTCACTCAAAAGCCCATTAAAATCCATGGGAATCTCTGCAGGTCACCAGGTGGGTTCTGCCTGGATGCTGAGATGCCTCCCAAGAAGTGAAAGAGGGATGACCAAATGGTTGGAGACCTCAGTTTACCCCTCACACTTTCCCCACTGTGCAGTAACTGGCTCAGCAGCTGCTGACTGGCAATCATGGAATAAAATAACACCCGTGGGCTGTGCCCTCCCCTGGCAAACAGTCACTGCTGACACTGTGAGCACCCCAGGGACATCCCTTCCCCAGCTGCTGCTCCTACCTGGGCAGGTGCTGTTAAACGGGGGGTTGAACACTTTTGGGGGCAGCTCAGTTGCATTCTTCTCCAGGTCCACTGTGAGTCGCTGCATCTTGATGCAAAAATATAAACTACAATGTACAATTATACAAAGACAGGGGAGCTCGTTAGAACGAGGCCACTGGGGAGCATCGGTGCTTCATCAAACCCCCCAGGGACAGCAGAGCCATCCTCCTGCCCTGCCTGTGCTCCCTGCACCTCCCAAACCCCCAAACCCAGGGCTCCAGGGCAGATTGCCTGCAGGGGAGGGTGCAGGGAGGTGCAATCCCCCCTGGAGCACTGGCTGACGTGGCTCATGTCACCCCAGGTGGCCAGGCTGGTGTCCCGTGGCTGTCCCTGCCCTGCTGCCAAACCCACCAAACCCCCCAGTCCTCTGCAGCCAGCACCAAACAGCAAAGGGATTCTCTTTCCATTTGCCTCTGGCTGTCCTTACATTAAAACCAGCTTTTACTTGCACAGTGCACATGGACCTGCTGCAGGTATTGCTTCCAGGCTTCTCTGTGCTCAGGACTTTGTGAAGGACAAGCAAATCTCAGGGCAGGCTGCAAACACCAGTTGCTGGGAAATTCAGTGGCTCCAGCACTGCACTATTGAATCCTGCAGCCTCCTTTCCTGGCCTCTTCTCTTATGCAATCCTTTCTAAAGGGGAAGAGCCCTTGCTTCCAAGAGTTGCTAATATTAACTATCTCTTCAGACAACTCTCCTTCCTAACTCAGGCAGTGGAATTACCTAGGAAATTCAGAATCATTACATCAAAACCTAAAAAGGATGTTGATACCACGGAGAAGGCTTAGAGACCTTTCACACTTCATTAGAGCAGATTACACTTGGCCTGTGCATCTGCAGAGATGGCAGAACCATCCAACTCTTCATCCAACTTGGCTGCCAGGGAGGGCTCTGAAAATTCCCCGCTATCATGCAGGAAGAAAAACTCAGCCATGAAACACACTCCCAACCTAAACACTTCTTTGAGTCTCTGGTTCCCTTCACTGTCTGTTAAATTACCACATGCACTTCAGAAATGTCTGTGTCAATGGCAGTGCCAAACAAATGCTGCCAAACGACTTCTCTTTGTTTCCTCATGTACAGGACTGCACGAACCTCTGTTCTAACTGCAGGTGGTTTTCCCTGCTCCTGAAATGTTCACCAACAGCTGCACTTTACAAAGGTGTATTTTATAAAGAGCTTTGGCACAAAGACACTTTAAGAATCTGTGGTATTAGTAGGATGTGACACTCACACCAAGAGAAAGTTTAGAGCAGCCAGTTGCAATTAAAGACTCCGGGACACCAACACTCAGTCAGAGTTTGTCTCTAACCAAAGTCTGGCTGAGTGGGAAAAACAGGTCAGGAGTAAAATCCAGCACTGTCAGCCTGCCCTCAGGAGATGTGGACGTGCTGTGCTTTACCCCCCTCTCCCCTCTGGCTATAAAATAACTCCTCCAGTTATGCACAAGCTCTGCTTTGCAGTTCCATTATTATCTAACCTGGTCTGTGGAAGGTGTCCCTGCCATGGCAGGGGGTTGGAAGAGATGAACATTCAGGTCCCTCCCAACCCAGGCCCTTCTGTGCCTCTGGGATCATTATTGTCATATCTCAGAAATACTCATCTCTTACCGGGGACAGACTGGCCTCCATCTCAGTCATATTCCACTCACTCAGGGATAAATTGGGATTGAAGACCTGTTGGGAGACAGACACAGTCAGGGCTCTGCAGGGTGGGATGGTTGCTGGAGGGTTGTAGCCCTGCACCAAGGGAAGCTCCAGGCAAAGGCTCCTGTGTGCTGGGCTAAGGGGCACCTGTGAGACCCCCAGGCCCTGCTGCTGCCACTGCAGGGACAGCACAGACACGGGGGTGTCACAGACCAGGGCAGCTCTTTGTGGCACTGCACAGGCAACTCCAAGCCCTTTGTCACTGCTCCAGGACACCCCCAGAGTCAGGTGGGCTTTAAAAGCATCCCAAAACTCGGCAGCAGAGGGCAGGTTCCTGTTGCAGTGAGTCTGAGCAGTCTGGGAAAAGGAGTTGTTGATCTGGGGCACAGTTCCATGATTCATTCTCACTCTCGTGACGTTGGTTGCACCGAGAGAGATGTGTGTGGGTAACAGGAAAATGAGAAACATTTCCTAATGAGAAACAAGAAACAGGAACCAACAGAGCCAGTGATAGAGCAGGCCATTAGAAATGCTCTCTGTAAAGTCAAAATCAATCACAGACACTTGGGAAATGACTTGAAGAGAATAAGATTGATTTTTAAATGATTTTTCATTCCTGTTTATCCATGAAAGCTTAATCTGAAGCACCTCCTCAAGGGAGCATATCTTTGACATACAGATTCTTTCCTTATGGACAGAGTTATTAGATTATTGGCAAAAACCTTTCATATACTAACTATATGTAGAACAGAGAAATAAACAAACCTTCCTATTTCTGCATGTATAGCCAAGAAAAAGCCACCATCCATTTCTAAGGAGAGGTGACCTGAGAACTGAGACAGACAAATGCCCCAGCAGAGAGAGAATTTGACATTGGCTACACTTCCCTGAACGTGGGAAAAGGGGGAAAGGGGAAGGTAGTAAAAGCTAAACACTATCTAGGAGTATCTAAGATGCAGAAAATAAACTAACCCACACAAAGTAATTACCAAACTAGTTAGAGAGTCATATTAAACCTATTTTACATACATTTGTCAGGGCTTATGTTGATTTCTTTACCAAATGCACTGTGTTTTGTGCTCCGAGAAGTTCAAACGTGTTTGTTTTCAGCGTGAAAAGAAAAAAGCATCATTTAAATCTGAGATCTTGCTAGTTCTTGTGGGCAGGTCAAAACAGGGCTGTGACTCCACAGGCAGCACGTGGCAGACAAAATGCACCCAGGAAGGAGCAGCAGGGTCTGATTCACAGCCCAAGGGAAGCCCTGTGTGGCACAGCCCCAGCCCAGCAGCAGCACTCACATCCAGCAGGCTGGCAGGCTCCAGGCCATACTGTTGGCTCCTCAGCAGCAGCTGCAGCCCCTCCAGGCTCCAGTCAGTGCCCTCCAATGGGTCTGAGATATCTGTTCTGAGAAAACACAGCGGGACATGTTGCCACAAAGGACATTTGCATAGATAGGTACAGAAAGCAGGGCTGAGCAGCCTCCCAACAGGGTGTTCATGTTTGAATCTCATCCTGAAAACCAAGAGCCCACTGCCAGTCTGGGTTTATGCCACGTAACTTGGTTTAATCCCCGAAGTACAACTCAGCAGAGCACACAGGGGACTGGGCTGATGGTAAAACAAGTGAGGCTCCCCCTCTCCTGGGTGACACGTGGTTTGGGGATGGACAGTCTGTAAGCACCTCCTCAGGACTGGGAAAATTCAGCCTTTCCTTAGAGGAAATCCTTTTAGAGGCACTTGAAACCAGAACAGGCTGCATTGCCATCCTTGCTGGTCCAAGAATTACTGTTAACTGATGCTTTTTAAAGGAGTGACTTTTAGCTGCAGGCATTCAGCCTGCAGGCTGCATTTACTGGAAATACTCAGCTAAAGGAGCAACAGTGGGGCCCTGCTGGGTTTAATCCCCCCAAAAGCTATAAAAAATGTCTCTTAAACTCAGGTCTTTAAAAAAGGATTATTTTGCTTCTAATAAAACGTTTTGAAGTATCCAGTGGATTCAGAAGGAGGATTTTGATTCTCTGTAAGGACCTAAAGGAAAATGGAAGCTTTTCTGATAACCCTAATGAGTGTTTTGGGTTCCCCACCATTCCTCCCCAGTCCTCCTTACAGTGCTGCAGCTGCCATCAGGAATGACCTGCAGTTCCACATCACCCACCAAGCTGCACCACGCTCTCCATCTGCTGCTGAGGTCTCCTGAGCCCTCAGCCTTGACTTGAGAGCTGTTGGGGTTTCAGGCTCAGCCCACAGCTGAGCAGAGGCTCACCCAGCCTGGCCTGTGGCTGAGCCCAGGGGCACTGTGCTGATGCCCCTTGCAGATGTGCAGCACAGGTGCTGCTCTGGGCTCCAGCTTTCACCTGGGCCTTGGGCAAACCCCCCTCTTCCTGCTCCCACGGCTCTGCTGCTCATCCTCTGACAGCTCTGCTGGGCCCTTCAGGCACCCACCCACAGACCCCCCAGCTCTCTGAGCTGTCCCTTGTGCTTCCAGGCTCCTCTAGCAGGTGCCACAGGTACCAGGCTGCACTTGGCAACTTGGAGTCACCCTCCTTCCCTCCCCTCCTCCCTCCTTCCCCACCCTGCCAGTGGGAACAGGCAGGGCCACAGCCGTCCCTCCTCGCCTCACCTGTCCAGCAGAGCCCTTCTGCCCCTCCTCTCGGGTGGCTGGGAGGTCCCTGGGGCTGCAGCACAGCCCCCCTTGCCCTCCAGGACAGACTGGACCATGGCCACGGGCAGCACGGGGGGCTCGGGGCAGGCGCGGCAGCCGGGCAGGGGCACGTCGGGCTCGGCCGTGCCCTTCACACCAGGGCTCACGGGCTCCTCCTTGATCAGCATCAGGCACTTCTCCCTGCACAGAGACAGGGCTCAGCACCACACACACGGCTGCCCTGCACGGGCTCCTGCTGCTGGGCAGGGCAGTGGCACAAGGGCTCGCTCCCTCTTCCCCTCAGACTGCCCCAGGAGAGCTCTCCACTCCCCCCACCAGCAAAAGGAACCAGCAGCCCTGTTTTCTTCTCAGCAAGCTCCAGAAATGTGCTCAGCTGAAATATCTTCAGTCACTTCACTGGCCACAGTTATAATGAATTTGCCCCATTCAATTGTTCTGCAAATATGGGAAATGCACTTCCGTGGGTTGATCCCTCCTCAGGTGAGTGTCAGGTTAAAGGGTCACTGGGCTAGAGAGGTTCTCCTGAAAAAGAAAAGTCTCCACCCTAGAGATAGGAATGGGGTCAGTAAGACCTTCCCATGCAGGAGTCAGGTTTTGACAGACAAGCACTCTAGACACAGTGACACAGGTCAGGATCTCGTGGCCCTCCAGGGCCTGGAACAGAAGCTACCATGATCTGACAGATCTGGAGTTTTGCCTTCTTCCAGAGGGAGAGGCAGTCCATGTTATCCCCACATGGACATGTAACAATGAAGTTTTTATCAGCAGCATTTTGGAGGTACAGATCTGCTCTACATTACTGACAGGAGGTTGCACAGCTCCCTGTGAACCTGCAGAGCTGAAGCCAAAATGACAAAGGCACGAAGATCAACAGGCACAGGGCATGGGAAGCCATTCTGACAAACTCTGATCACCCAGCACTCACAGACTTGCCTTGCTGAGGCACCACCATGTCACACACACAGGATGGTGTGTGACCCTGCAGAGCCTTCCTCAGCAGCCCTTCCTCATCATCAGCTCCCACCAGCAGCTCATGTGGGTTTAGCAAGTGCCACACCTGAACTGCTGAGGGCCAGGGCTGACTCAGATCCCCACCTCGTGCAGGCACAGCACAGAGCAGAAGCCACCAGATGGCACTCAGTAATTAGTAGAAATAAGCAACTTAACTTGAAGGTTATATTGAAGTTTTTCTGCTTTAGAAATGGCTTCCAGGGTTGGTTGTTTTTTGTTGTTTTTTTTTTAATCTGAGGCTCTTTGCATGCTCCTAGCTAATTTTATGGCTATGGTTTCAATTACAGGCAGATTTACAGGCAATTTCTAGAGTATAACTGCCTTGCCTCTACGCCTCAGAAACTGTTTCCATGATTCATCTGTCTACTTACTTTCCACTGACATAGCTGTAGCTATTCTGCTACTAGCCCTGAATACACTGCATGTCTGTGGCAGGAAGAGATAAGCATTAAAATACCTCTGCATTCAGTTCTTAAGTTACTGGGGCCTTTTCACAGAAAAGTTGTCAAAAATCGGAAGTTGTTGTGATGCAACCTTTCTGTTCTCATTAGCAGAAAGATGTACAATTTGATTGTTTCTTCTCTGCCAAAGCCAAAAGGAAATATTATTTCTCTCTCTCTACAAACCCAACAAGTGTTAGTATCTAGTTAGTTGATTAAGTCTGAGACAGCCCTTGTCTTGAGGACAAAATATAAAGAAACATAGAATATTTCTCAAAGAGTGGAAGCTCTCAGCATGAAACTCAGGACTTTGTTTTGAAAGTTGTGCTGTTATTACCCCTCTCTAATTCTGAAAATCTGACCCACTTTGCAAACTGGAAAAAGTATTTCATCCCACCATCTCTATAGAGATTTGTGTATCAGACAGAAACTTTGGTAGAATTACAGCCATGAAAAACTCTTGTGAAGAGTTGCATAAGTGTGTCCAGACCTGACTCTCCCCATTTTTAATCACAAACATGTTTACCTGTCATTTTCAGGAGGGGGCTGCATATTTATTATGTTGGATGGTGATGCTTCAGTAACGTCAGATATGATGGGTCCTCCAGCAATTCCAGGGCTGTTCAAGCAAGAGGCAGGTTCTGCTGATGGCTAAAAGGAAAGCAAAAATCATACAGATTTATCCTTCTGAGCCCCAGAACAAGTCCAAGGCCCTATCTGACATTGTTGGGGTTATTCACTGGGACCTTGAGTCCGCCCTGTACAGAAACCAACCACGCTTTCACCAACTCTGCAGCATTTTAATTTCCTCTCACCTTTCCTCAACCACACAGAGGTACAGGTGTGAATAAGCAGTGGGACTGAAGTGTCAGCCACCAGGAGGTTTTACCATGTCTGACATTTAGCCTAGACTGCTCAGCTTCCTCTGCAGGGAAAGATCCAACCCAGCCCAACAGGGCAGTGTGGGTGTCTCATGCCAGCCCACACATTTTAACTGCAGGACACAAGTGTCTGTTTGCTCTGGTGGGTTAGGGGGATGGTGGGGATCCCTCAGCAGCTACAAAAATCTGGCTCTGGTCAGAAAGATCACAGTACCCACTTCCAGAACACGGTTCTCCCTCTTTTCCCCTGAGGTGAACCAGGCTGGGGTAACACCAGGGAGAGTTTGGTTACAGGGTCCACCTTTCCCCCTCCCAGCCCACGGCCTCCCACAGGAACACGGCAGCACAAGCACACGCAGGCATCCCTGACACTGGGGAGCTGAAGAAACTATAAATGTCACCCAGCTCTGCAAACCTCTTCTTCACTGCCAAACTCTTGCCAAATTACTTACTCCATAATCTCTGCTTCAAGCATTTCCCCTCCCTGGCCACAGCAACCCCACAGAGCTCAGGGGGATGCAAACCTACCGACTGTATGAAGTAGGGGTCGTGCAGGGGGTCTGCAGGCAAGTGCCGGCTGAACTTGGACACTGGGGGACTTGAGATCCCATTGTCAAGCATCAGAGGTCTGTGAAGAGAAACAGGCTTGTTTTCCAGCACATACTGACTGGCTCCTGGTTGTTCATACAAGGAATGTCTCTCAGCCAAGGGCTCTTTTCCCCTGGGCACTCTGTTTTTCCTCAGCTGAGGGTCTTTCTTGTCCGGTGTTACAGACAAGAAAGGGAAAAGTTTTGTGGGAGGTCACCATTAAAAAAGAACATTGCCATATAGAGAAGGGATGGTGCAGATTTTCTGGATCTTATTTGAAAGATGCCAGTAAAATAACAAATTCAATCCATACCTCCAGTTGCTAGTGGTTTCAAGCCCTAGGCTGGATCCTCAGCTTGTTTCACTGGAGGTAGTTCTGCTGACATGATTAGTGCAATACTGGGAATCTGGCTTACAACTTACAATCTTCTTACAACTCCCTCACACTCAGAGCCTCCCTGGCAAAACTGCATCTCCATACACAGCACTTCCTAAGACGAACCTGTGCCACCCACTAGGTAATTCATAAAGCAGAGGAAGACACAAAGCAGAGCACAGCCTGAACTCATTGCATATGGGCTTCCAAAAAGTGCCTGACTAGGCCTTTAGAGATGGTCATCAACAAGAAGCAACAGATCTGTGGGCTGGTCCTGTAGTGGGAATGTCTGTTTTCTTGACTGAAATCAAGAAAAAAATATGAAGGAGCCTCAAAATGGCACTGCTTTTCCATCATGAAACGTCCTGGGTGGCAGAGCTTGGTTTGGTGATACAGTCCCAAAGAAGCAGGGAACTGGGATATTTTGCTATACACCAACTATTGCCACTGCTGCAATGACCCTGTAAAACTGCCTAGAAAATTCCTTTTCTCCACAAGCACCAAAGGCATGGCTGCTTTCCTAGAAGGCATTAAGCCTCCTAATTCAAGCTCCTCTATTCACTTGCCTGGAAGAGCTTATCTAAACACACCCCTTGGCTAAAATTTTTCCCCACCCTCCTCTCTGTCGGTTCCATGCCACCAAACCTGTGTTGGACACACACCACATTCAGCGACTGTGGGTGAAACCAGAGGTGTCCATGGGCTGGCTGGGCCCAGCCCTGCTCCTACTGATGTCAAGTGGCAAAACTGGGACCTGTAGGACCAGCAGCGGGGTCCTGCCCTTTGGTCTCCCGCTAGTTAGCATTCCCAGCTCCCCTCACGCTCTGTGTTCCCCAGATAAAGGTCATGAGCTGACACGGTGCTTCTCTAAAGAGCAGTGAATGGGGCCTGTCAGCAGGTCTGACTCGGCAGTTCAGCCCTTTCAGTGCCCATCCCATGGAGCCCTGGTCCGGTGACCGCCTGCCTGGGCGAGCTGAGCTTGTGCTTTTAGTGAGGGGCACATTATGCACCCACACAAGGGTACTTACAGCTTCCTCTTTATCCCAGTGCTGCTGGGGCTGGATTGCAGCTGGCCAAACAGAAACTGAATCAGCTGTCAGGAGAGATCAAAATCCGGTGTTAATCAGCAGAGTGATTCAGCACTCCCTGCTCCCACGGCCGTTCTTGTCTCACACATCCCTCCCTCCCAGCAGCACCCCAAAGCTGGGAGCAGCCAGGAGATACAGGAGCCAAACTGCACGAGACACTGGAGCCTGAAACAGAAATAACCTGTCCAAGGACTCAAACAGCCTGCCTGGCTTTCAAGGGACCTGCTTTGTGCAAAGGCTGCTGGATCCATGTGCTCGGGGCTTTCTCTCACCACTTCTGTGCATGCAGAACTCCAGATGGTCCTATCACACCTGGGAATACGCCTGTGAAGTGCACATGCAAACATTCCTGGGCCTGAATTGGACTCTGTTAAAGTCTTCAGAGATGTTTATAAGAGGCACTGTAAAGTCTGACAAAGCTTTTGCACGTGAAAGAGGCAGCTCACGAGGGGAGACCCTGCATGGAGGTCTGAGCTCTTTGAGTTTTTCACTCCTGTGAAAACAGGACACTAAAAAGGATGCAGAATGGCTTTGTAGAGGAATCACTTAGCAACATATTCCCAGGTCAGCTTGAACTTAATGCTCTGCTTTGACCTCCAAACAAAGAGAGCATTATTATTATATATCACAGCTGGCTCTTACTCACTGCTCCATATAACAAAATAGAGCTGCATAAAAGCCTCTCTACAATGAGCTGCGTGGCTGGTCCAGCCTCAGAGCTGGAGGAAGGCTTTGATAGCCTCGTGCATTTCTGTCCAGTCCTATGACTCAGTGATGCCACGTGAGGGTCAGAACATGGCTCTGGGGCACTGGGAAATGTGACGTGCTCAGTCATGTCAGCACCATCCAGGAATCACTGGACAGGCCTCTTCTGTACTGGTCATGCTAGATTTTAAGGGAGGTGGCTCCACAATCTAAAAGGTTGTACAGTAATTCCTTGACTATACCTGTCACACCAGAAAATGTAATAGTCCCAGTGGGGGAATGGCTGGCCAACGTGCCACCTGCAGCTTCGTGCTGGCAGGAGGGGGGCTTCTGCCTTGCACAAAGGAAAGAGGAAAGATTTGGGAAGCTCAAAGGCATTGGTACAACCAGAACACAGCTAACATAGGGCAACTAGTGACAGCTGTGCTCTCTTGCTCAGGACTTCAACATACAAGGGGTTTCTAATACCACAGCAAGGACTGACAGGGAAATTAAAACCTTTTGCTCTAGGGCAGAGTCTATGCTTTGTTAATGACCACTTTCCACAGGACACATAAAAGCATAACACAACTTGAAAGAAAGGGAAAATAAAAACACTGCGATATCAGAGCGTGGAGATTATGGGACAGGAGAAAAGACTCAGAGGAGGACGTGGGGCAGGCAGGACAGGGGAGGTTGGAGTCTCTGTCACCACTACCTTGTTGATCACTTTCTGTTGCTGGGAGTGGTTCTGCCGGAGAGAAACAACCTCCCGCCAAAGGACTTCGTTTTGCCTGGAAAGGGAAACAGAAATTTTCCGTGAGCACAGAAACTTCCCAACAGCCCCTGACCCATCTGTGCAAAGTCTGCCTCACTCTGGGGCTCCTGCTGTGCTTGGCTCTTGTCAGGTGTCCCAAACAGGGTCACACAATTGCCTTCCTTGTTCTTCTTTGACCTCAAAAGAACTATAGACCAAAGCACGGAGGAAAAACAAATAAGGAAATGCCAACGTTTATAGGGGAAGGTAACAAAGAACATGTGCATTTAGATTTTGTGGAACATTTGGGCCAAACTCAGAATTTCAGCAAGGCCTGATTTGTGACTGTGAATGATTCAGATCACCAAGACTATCCTCCCACAAGAGCCAAGAAAGTCCAACCTCTCTAGGACTGCCCCACTGCTCCCAAAGACAACGAGATCCTATGGATAGAGAGACTCTGTGTATTCTACCTGCTGAAACCTCCTACACATGGAGCAACAAAGCAACTAAAGAGATGCTTCTGCCCCTCAGAGCCCTGAACCAGGAGGACTGTAATGATTTGATCAGTGGGAGTGACAGATTTAACCCAGCACAGGCCTGTGCTCACATTGCACAGAGAAAATTTGTGTTCTGTCTGCAAATGAAGCAGCACAGAGAGGAGCTCACAGGCCTCCTTTAACAGCCAGCCCCAGTAAGTGGGATGGGGAGATGCAGAATTTATTTACTGTGCTGCCTCCAAATCTGGATGCCAGCCAAGTCCATGCTGCAAAGGGTTTTGCCAGTCAATTTATCTCCAGAGTATATGGATGTACCAAAACTGCCAGGCCAGCAAAACCCATCGTCCAGGTGAAACCATAAATCCTTTTGCTTTTTAGTCTTCCCAGTGTGGATGCTGGAACTGGGAAGATAAGGTCCAGGGCTAGAAAGAGCACAGCAGAGCAGCTTGTACAGGCAGAACCCCTGCAGTGAACTTTCTGTGCTGGCACTGACAGGATTTCCAGCAAAGCAGCGTTCCTCAGTCTGACAGCTCGTCCTGGAGTTATGTCCTAATGCTTCTTCACCAGTGTAAATTCCTTAACATGCTTTCAGCCTGGGATTTCTCCTCTCTCATAGTTTATAAAAATTGTATTCTTCTCATCATTTGAATGCAATTTTGCCTTTTGCCAGATGGAGGGAGGGAGCAAGCAAATCAGAAGGGAGAATAAATTAAAATCGAGGCCAAATAAATGATGCTGGAATTCCTTAAAAACCAAAACAAATTCAAGCCTACAAACTCATTGCCACTGTACCTGGATTTCACAGTGCCATCTCATGCATGTGCTAAGTATGGGAGTCATTAAAAATGATGTAGGATAAAGATATTTATCCATTGCACGTAAGGTGCTGGGCTGGAATGAAGTTTCCCAGGATGGCAGTGTCATCTGGTGCAGTGTGAATATCAGCTCTCATTATAAGGGAAAGGTTTTGGGTCTTTGTGATTATTCAAGTGCTTTTTAAACAAAGATCTCTGCAAAGATTAAAATTCTGAAGGCAAATAAAAACCTCTCCAAATACATGATTTATAAAACTTTATCCATTTACTAAGCTTCTGGTGACCATGTCTGACTCAGAAGATCCCAGAGTCTCAGACAGCAGGAGGTCTGGGAGCCACATGCAGGAAGCATTGCATCTGCTTGGTTTGCTCTTACACAACAATTCTGGCCGTGTCAGAAGACACAGTCTTCAGAGATGAGTCCACAGACTAAACACTACAGCAGTTCTTGTATTATATATTATAAGGTACTATATTTTTTAGGTCAGTAAAGCAGATAAATGTTGGAGGTGGAGGATGGCAGAGAGTTATATTTTTATTTTTTTAATAGCTGGAATGGACTCCACCATATCTCTGCCAAGGACTCTTCTACATGTGAGAGAGTTACATCTTTGCCATCCTTTCTATCTCGAGGAAAGAGTTATCTGAGTTAAGTCCCCAGGTTATACACATATTTCCTACACGACCTCCTGGGTGCCCTCCTCATCTGTAAAGGGAAAACGTAAAGACAGAGAGGCTGAGCATTAACTCATATTTTGTAGATCAGATGTGCACAGAAGTTCTACATGTTGCTGTGTGAACAGATCTAGTCCCTGAGATCAGTCCCTGGCTCTCCAGGAGGGAGGTGTGTGAGGCTCCTCCTTTCAACCATTCCCCACAATCCACAACTCCAGAGAAGCAAATGCCCGTAAGGAGCAGCCTGAGGAGGATTCAACTCACTGCTTCATGTCCTGCACTTGACACTCCATGTTCTCCTGCTGACTCCTCAGTATCTGTACCTCGTATAGCAACCTGCTCAGGTCCTCCTGCCGCATCTTGGTCTCCTCACTTTTCACTACTGACACCTGAGGAGAAAAAGGGGGATTTTACTGGTGCAAGAAGGGCCGTGGACAGAGAGAGCCCTGTGGTGGCTCAGGGGCAGGACTGTCACCAGCTGGGCTCCACTGGGCTTAAATACAAGGAGTCTGAACTGTCCTTATAGTGCTACTGCAAGGGCCACAAGGATAGAACAGAGCAAAGTGCAGGACAAATCTATTCATACAGAACATCTGCTGGCAGAAGAACATTCCCTGCCAGAGTGGGGACCTATTTCAAATCAGCCTGGTGGGAAAACAAAAGTATTTTGAGGACCAGGGAGGAACTGAACTAGACTGTTTGATTTAATCTTTCTATTCTACAGAGATACCCAATCCAGCCTCGTGTTTTACAGGGATGAGTCTGAGGTAATGCTTCAAACTGACATATTACACTAAAAGGCTTTTGCTGAAGTCTCTTTCCTGAAGTTCCTGTGCTAATTCAATAAGAGAACAGCCCTTTTGGAACATTTATAACAGGTTAAAAGACAGAAAACAGAGGGCAGGAGTAGGTTCTCTCTTCTGTAAGAAAAGGAGATGGCTGTTGGGGTCCATGAAGGAGTTATGCTGTATTTCTCTAGGAAAGTGGGTAACAATTAAAAGGCAGAGGGGTGGGAAGCAAGCCTGGCCCTGCAGCACTATGTGAAGGTCTTGTGATACTGAGCAACAGAGCAAAAAAACACAGACAAAACTCTGCTGAAAGGCAAGCCCTGCACACCAAGAACCCCTGCCCCAGCTGCACATGTACGTGGAGAGGGCAGGAACAAGAGCACGGGGTGCTGCTGAGTCACACTGAGCAGGAGCACATTCCCCCTGCCCACCCAGAGCCCTCACCTTCCTCTTGATGTGCTCCAGGAGGTGCTCGTGGCCCTGCAGGAAGCAGAGGTGCTGGAACTCGGTGTCGTCCCGCTCGGGCTTGACGAGCCCCCCCTGCTCGATGTTCACCACCTTCCTGAAGCCATCTGCACGGACAGGACAGGCTGAAGGGCCTCCAGGGCCTGGCACTCCCTCTGCCTCCCACACCCAGCACTTCTGAGGACATCTCTGCTCACTCTCCACACTTTTTGAGCTCCTGGTGCTCAGGGCACAGTCGTGCCCCTCGCCACAGCTCAGCACGTTTTGGGGCCATATCCACAAGAACCCCAAATGAGGGAGAGCCCTGTGCATCCCACTGCTGACAGCCACCCCTGCTGGCAGCCCATGCCACAAAAGCCTTGCCACCATGGGCACCTTGGTCAACCAGGAGCCAAAATGCCAGCTTTTAGGGAATTTCCAGTTCAATTTGCAAGCCAAAGGGATTCAGGGGAAGGTTTTTCAAAGGCACAGCCCATCATCAGGTGCCACTTTAGGAAAAAACAGTCACATGCACATTTGGAAATCTGCTTTGAGTATTTCTCTGAAATCCTGGAAAGGTTTCTAAACTGTATTTAAGGACCGGCCTAAAACTTACAATAATGCTACTGCACAGTGAAATAGCAAAGTTAAAACTCGACTGAGGAACTTCGTAAATTAATCACTGAAAAAATTCTAAGAACTACCAGAAAATAGCTGTGTGTAATACAATCATGGTGTAGAAGTGGCTGAAAACTACACCTAAAACTCCTTTAAGGGGTGGAAATGTCTGATCAGCAAGGTCAGGTGTGCAGGGAGAAAGTACTGCCCACTATTAGTTCAGGGATACAGCTGGTGAAATGGAAAAGCTCTGGGTGCATGACCCTCAAAAGCAGCAGTTCCTGGGGGAGGTGTCACAGTATCAGGCTGCTGGAAAAGCTCCACATAGAATAAAGTGAAAAATAAATAATAATAGGTCATCAAACTGATGCAAGAGAAGCAGAACACCTGATGGCTGAAAGTTCTTAGCTCGGATCTTAAAATGTAATCTAACAGAGATTTCATGCTGGAATTCGAGGTCAATGAGACCTCAGCTTTCCCTCCACAGCTCTCTCCCGTGCCTCCTGCCCCACCCACAGCCCCTGTGGCTCCCCTGTGGCACTCACACATGTTCAGCTGCCGCACAAAGCTGGCCATGTTGTTGTGCTTGAAGTACTTGGGCAGCACCTCCTTGGCAAAGCGTCCCTGGTCGAACACGTGGAAGCTGGTGCCATTCTGCAGAGGAGACAAGGACAGAGGCCAAGTCAGAGCAGCAGCCCTGACCACCAGAGGGGCCCAGGAGGAGTCCTGCAGCAGGGCAGTCATGCTCTCTGAGTCGTCACCTGGAAGCTAAGAAGAGTGACAACAGCCCTCGGTGACAGAGGAGCTCCTTTCAGGTCTGGTACAGAACTGCTCAGTCCTCTGCAGCTGCAGGTTTGGTCTTTGCCCACCAAGCTTTGCCAGTGCTAAGCTGTGAGATGTGGATGTGAGAAAGAAACCACTGACTTGTGTCCAAATAGCTGGGAGTCTGTGATCATCCCCCCTTGTGTGGACCTCACAGAAAGACTCTGGAATCTTAAGAAGGCCCTGGAAAGTAGGAATTGCCATTATAACTCCTCGATCTGCTTGTTCAGCTCTAACTCTGACCCGTCTGCTGCAGAGCACGGCAGTCTCAGTGGGAGCACTGCTTGGAGACATGGCACAAGAAACACAGCCAGGCAAGAAACAAATCGTCCCTGGAGACACCACGCGAATCCAGAAGCTCTGTGCACCTTTTCTTGATTATTTTTAAAAGGACACAGCCACAAGGGCAACCCACAAAAAGTTGACAGTCATGCTTTGCCATCCAAACTAGCAACATGCATGTTAACCAGACACAGGATCCGCTTCTGGGGCTGCATGGCAAAGATCCGTGACTGCAAACCAAGGCAAACTGCCTGGGATTGCTGTCAGACACACTGCAGGCCATGTGCTTTCCCTGCCTGGCCTTCTACCTGCTGCCAGCTCTGTCAGTGCAAAGACATCAGCAGATATGAGGGACCTCCCAGCTCAGCTGAGTTTTGAGGGACAGCTACCTAAAGACACCAAGGTCTGCACAACGTTGGCAGGGAGGAGTCTGAGCCCAGCACCCCAGAGCCATCCTCCTGCTGAGTTCTGTGTTAGTACCAGCAGTCAGTGGTGTGTCAGCTGGGGGGGATCTCTCACAGAGGGCTGGGCTGTGACAGAGGACAGTGCTGAACAAGAGCCCTCAGGCTCTGTGTGCAGTAAGAGGATACCTGTGGTGTGTGGGTCCCACCATACCCCCACCACAGGGTCTGTAGCTGCATAGGTGAACTCAGGGCAGCCTGGAAACTTCTAAACAGGGAGTCAAGGCCAAGAGAAAGCTCAGTGGCTGAAGAAGGGCTGGTGAGTGCCTGCAGCCTGCCCATGGCCACCAGGAAACAGCCAGCTGGCAAACCCTGCTGCCCAACCAGCTGCGCCTCCATTGCCATCCCCAAATGGTGCCAGTTCCCCCTGTGCCAGCTCTGACAATTAACACCCACACACAACACTTTGGGTCAGCTGCACTTCTTGGTCCTTGTTCCCTGCTGCAAACACCATGACTGTGCCTCAGCAGTGCCATTGGACCATTTGGAGTGTCCTTCCTGTCATTCCTTACCCCAGGCAGCAGGACCAAAGGTTGATTAGGGATACAGCTGTGCATCCCAGCTGGACCCACTGATGGAAAATGAGGAGCACAAGGGTTTTCAGTACCTCAGCATCTCATCATGGCCTCTCTTGAGAGGTCATTCCTGTGAATTCAGGGCCACAGTGTTCTCAGAAGCTGGCACATCCAAAAAGGTTCCTACAGCACAAGAGACTTCAGAGTTACTGTGTGTTCACAATGAACTGAGCATGTGCCACCTTGTTCCCACACAGCAGCTGGGCCTTGTCTGTCTTACACAAGCTGGGAGAACCTTTGAAAGTCTTCTCTGCCCAGAGCAGAACTGACTCTGCAGCATGACAATCGTGGCAGATGCTTCTCTTAACTGCTTTTGACAGTCTCACCACAACAGACACCCGGTGCTCTAACCAGACAAGTGCTACTCCAGGAATTTGCCAGGAGTTCTTCCTAAATCCATCTTCCATTTAAAGAGTTAATTGAATTACTTCTTTTCCTATCTACCACAGACACAGAGAGCAGACTTTTCCTTTCCACCTAACAGCCTTTAGTGTGTATATAAACCATTACTACATTTCCTCTCCATCTCTTCTTCACGCTAAGAAACAGTTCACAGGTCCTTATAAGTCCTATTTTCTACAAGTTCTGATTACATCCAGAAATCTTAGGCATGCACACAATCTCTCAGCTCCAACATCACTGAGGTATAGAAGATGAGGGATATGGGAAACATGGGAACCTGAAACAATGGGAAATTTAAACCTCTAAGAGCCTTACCAAAACCTCCAAGAGTGAAGTTGTAGCCTATGCTAGATTGCAGCAAAGCAGGGTATGGTGGTGGTCAGTCAAAAATAACAATGTTCGAAGTGTAACAGAGAGGGGATTATTTGTACAGGTTAGAAAATCATTCCTAGTTTGAAAATCCTTATTTAAAACGCACAGTACCAAAACTTGGTGGTTCTCAGAGGTATGACCATGTAATACCAGCATCAAAGCACAGACAACAATGCAGCTCAAATCCTATCTCAAGTTTTGAGTGAAAAGTCTACTGGACACAACATAGGACAGAAAGGCTGCTTTAGACCTTTTTTTACCCCTCCCCTTTACATCTGATTTTGTTATAGGTTCTTCACATTGGAGAACAAGTTTATGCACACAGCTTATCTGATAACTCCATACTGAAAACAAACCATGTTATTTGCAGCAAGTCTCAGCCAGGTCAAAAGCACAATGTGGTGATATCAAAGTGCTGTCTGAAGGCAACAAATAAATCATTTTAATTCTGTGATTGCACTCAGTATAGTAGTGCCTCAGTGACATATAAGAAGCCAAAGCAAAGCAATCTATCCCTATGAAGCTGTACAGACAATATATACACACGTCACCACAATCACACAGACTCATTGAAAGCTCAAGTAATGCACTTACAAAATGAGTGATTTTGGGTGCCAGTCTGAGAGCTGTTTAAGCTCTAGGTTTGAGTCTGAGATCTGAATACTATTTATCTGCTGCCTTATCCCAAGACATTTGTGAAAGGCTGCTAAGAAACACACGTGGAATAATACAAACAACATTGAAGTTTTCTAAGGTCTTTGCACCTTCTCTAGAAAATTTTAGGGACCAGCAGATTCAAACAAGGTGAAAAACCTCTCTCTCAAAGAGTCTGGAATTTTTAGAATGAGAATATTGGACACCTTTTAAAACGTTTCAAGTGAAGTGTGTAAATATTATTATTAAAACACTCCCAAAGCCGTTGTCCCTTTGAAATAGAAAAGTCACAATATTGCAGGCAAATAATAGCAAGCATAGCCAAAAGAGCCCTCAATGAACTGCCTTGCACTCTCCCAGTGAGCTGGGCAGCACCTGCAGAGCAAGGGGCAGCTGCTGGGCCAGGCACTGCTGGGCCAGGCACCGCTTGGGCTCTCCCTGGTGTTGCAGGCATTAGTGACACTCCGCATTCACTGTACTCACAGAGCTCCAGCAGATGAGATGGTTTGTTTCAGGATCCTCCACCAGCGTCCAGAGTTTCGTTAGGAAGGCTGGGACATTGCTGGAGTAGCCATCCATCACCAGAGAGCTGGGTGAATCCTGCATAGTTCCTCAGTGCCCCAGCCCCACTAACCCCATGGCTGTGGCGCGCCTGCCTCCCCGCACGCGCCTGCGTCCCGCACCGACTGAGCCACCCAATTTTATCCCAGGCCAGTGGAAAGTAGGCGCCCAGGGAGTCACATCAGCAGTGCTGCTCGCACTCTTCAAAACTCAGCACAAAGCGATGGCATCACCAGCCCAGAGAACAAAGCACAGAATGAAAGTGCACTGCAGCCGATCTCGGCGCGCGGTGAATAAACACGCAGCGTCATGCAAAGGGGACACGTGCTGGGCACCTTCTGCTGCCAGGGGAGCAAGTCACCCAGGGAACCCACCTGCCCAGAGCCAGGGGGATGCCCAGGCACGGCAGGGCCAGGTTTGTGAAGGCATCTGGATTGTTATTTTGGAATGTTCCTGTCCTAAGCTTTGGCTGGCATGGATGAACGAGGGCTGGCCAGGCCTCAGGGCTGTCAAAATTTTAAGCTGGTTTGGCCACAGATCCCATATTATTTGTCAACAGAAATTATCCGTCTCTTGGGTGAGAAGGGAGGGTGCTAAAAATAGCTACATATAGAATCTAATATGCTTTTAATATAAATGCTTTAGGTAGCTCAAAATACATGCTCGCAGTGTAGCTTAATGCCGGGATCATTTCTGCTCAGAAACTGCTCTTCAAATAACATAATAAAATGTAAAATCAAAATTAAATTTTCCTTGCAAAGACTAAGCTTGACATTCCTGCTAAGAAATGAAACAGAGTTCTTCTCACCTGATGCCTGCAGAGTCCCTTAAGACCAAACACCAAAGGAGTCAGGAGGTGAGAAGAATCAGTCCCATTAGATAAGTAAGATACAGGATAAGGATAACAATTTGGTACCTTTTCTTTGCCATTTTCAAGAGGCAACTTGGAACAAGGTATCTGAGAATGTAACATTTCCCCTAGAGCCCGAATCATCAGCAGCAACTGAAAAAACTCAGCATAAACACGAATTTCTCTATTATATAAGCAGGTGCTGGTCATGCAAGATAACATCATCACACAGAGAAGTCACAGTGTCAGTAATGTCACAGCAGAGTGGGGTGTGTGGTTTGATGTGCACTGGAAACAATGATCTGGTTCTTCCTGCAAAGATGCTGGGATATGGAAACCCACTGCTCTCACCTGAGCTCTGTGCAGGGCCAGCAGAGCAGGGAGGAACGGCTGCAGCCCGTGGTCTGCACCCCCGGGGCACTGGGCATCCACCTGCAAAAGAGAACACAGTGTTTGCATGAGGATTTCTTCTGGGATGCAGTTCCACAGCTTTGGAACCAGAGCAGGCAAACAGAAGAGACACAGACACACGTCAGGATCTATTTAACAAATCAAACCAATGCAACTGGACTACGGAGGAGGTAAAAAAATATTCAAACTTGAAATTTCACCGAATTTTGAATTCGAACACAGAAAACGAGGAAAATCTGTTGGCCAGTTGTTTTACACAGTTTTCTTTGATCAGTCCTAAGAAGCTGAGTGATACTTTTCAAGAGTTAAAGATGCCAGATCAAAGCTTTGGGGGCAAAAAAGGCCTTTTTTCCTACAGTGAGGTTTTGCTACCCTGAGTAATAAAAATGCAAGGGAATTTTCTAGTACTGCTGCAGTGGTATTCAAAAAGCTGAGACAGATTTCTCAAACTGTGGGGGAAAAACCTCTTTGCAAGCAGAAGCTCTGAACAGAAAACAGCCCCACATATCCATTTTTTACTGATAGTGCAACACAAGGCCTAGAGTAGAAATCAGCAGCTTAATGACAGCGGTCCTTGCCTGTGATGAGATGTTACAGTTTGGAAATAAAAACGTTTTATAACTGTCACTCCAGTTTGTAGAAACTGCATTTACACATCTGATATAAAAAGGGAAAAGTATATTTTGATCAACCTTCCCTGTGAACTACAATGCAGAAGAATAAGCACCTGGAAAGAAGGCTGAGGTTCAGAGCATCAGACCTTTTTTATCCACCTTCCAAAATGCGTTGCATCCATCTTTGAGATTTCTGCACAAACAAAACCACCACCATGACGTATTTTTTCAGCCCTCTATGACCAAATAAGGGATTTTTAGAAGCAAACCTTCCCCTTCCTCGACCAGCTCTGGATCATGGGCCAAGTCTCACATTCTCTCTTTGAAATTCATGGCATTCCCTCCTGCTTTGGAAGCCCCAGGTCTCAGGGTCACAACATTATTGGAGCATCACAGGTCTCACTGAAATGAAAACCCGTGCATCCAGAGATCCTCAAAGCAGGGTAAGGGTTGAAAACCATGAAGCAAGTATGGAGCAGCGAGGCAGAAAGCACAACACAGAGAGGAACACAACTGCACAGTTTGGTAGAATATGGGGCTCTGAGGCATAACTGGTTATTCTGAGTGTGAGCAGCACAACAGCTCTACTATCTTATCTGCCATCTATCAGCCCCCTTCCACCCAGCAGGGCTCGAGCAGCCAAGTGACACCGTCCTGCTTCCTTCCTGGGAACTCAGCATTTTCTCTGACAATCACCTTTGACTGCTCGGACCCTGCTTTTCTACTTTTAGCTGCTTTTAATACTCACTCTAATACACGTTTGCCAAAATGTCAAACCAGGCAAAGGCCTTACCTGAGATCTCATGTGTTCAGCTCCTTTCATTTTATGATTTCTTTAAAGCTTTTGGAGCCATTAAGAAGGATCCTGAATCTCTTGGACAGCAAGAGTGCGTTTTTAGCTGTGGTAGCTGCTTGGAAAAGCTGAAGAGTATGGCCTGAGCACAGGAAGGGAGGCAGAAGGGCAAAGTTAGTAGTGTTAAAGCAGCTGAACAGGTTTGGGTCAGCCAGAAGCAGGGTTCATGGTCTCTGAGCACTGCAGGCTGGCCTGGGCCCCCCTTCAGAGCCCACCCCAGTGAGGACAGCGGGCTTGGGCCAACTTTACTTCCCAAGTGGGAAACAACAGGATAAAACTCCAAGTGCTCATTATCCCACCCCATGGGATGCTCCCTGAAAGCACATACTCAGCAAGGGTTAGCAGATGATAAACTCAGGTCTCAGCTACCCTTTTCTATTTTATCTCCACAACATGCAGCAAACAGATTAGCTTCAATGAAAAAATTTTTACAGGACGCGGGTGGGTGATGCTCCCCACAGCAACTCACCCTGTGGTTCCCACCTGACTGGGAGCCAGCTCTGCTTCAGGTTTGGGTTTTGTAGGGGCAGGTTGAGGTGTCTGGGCTCATTTAAGCCCATCAGCCCTTAAATGCATGAACTCGCTTGCTTAAACTGTCAGCAAGTACCTGCCTGGCTTCCAGGAGCGCTGGCACTGCCAGGGCTGCTGACCCTGACAGGGTCTGTGGGTGCTGTGCTGACGCTTGCAAACCAGAGCACCCAGCAGAGCCAGCCTAGATTAACCCCTTCCCAGAGCTATTTCAATCACGTTTTCCCTTTGGCGAACAAATTAAGTTTGTATCGTTAAAATACTACTGTTGTAAAATAGTATCAAATGTGTAGGTATTTTTAATCCTTTACAATGCTTCCTGCTTGTGTTTGAAGTTCAGGTCCCCAGGGAGCTTGCACAAATCACTGCCGAGCCAGGGGGACGATGGCAGCTCGCACAAAACCTGGCCCCAGGTCCACGGCAGCTTCTTGCCAGCTGGGGACAGAGCAGGGGGCTGCAGTCCCCCCTCTGCTCACAGGACACCTGGGCGAGGTAAACGCGGCCCGGGCAGGAAGCTGCGACCTGAGTGATGCAGACCCAAACCTCGCTTTGCTTGGCACCGGGCCTCTCACGGACTCGGGCAGAGCTGGTTTATCCTCTCTCCCTGCCGGAGCTCCCCTCAGCAGCACCGCGGGGGCAGCGGAGCGGTGCCGGCCGGGCCCAGCCCCGCAGGGCTCACATCGACCCCCTGCCTCCGACCCCATGGCCCGGGACAGACCCGCGGTTACGGAGCGGAGCGTTCCCGACCGGTGTCACACCCTCACCCACACGAGCGGCCGAGCCCCGAGCCCGGGTGTGCGGCCCCGCGGGGGGACACCGAGCAGGGCGGCCGGGCCAGCGGGAGGGCTGAGGGGCCGGCGCGGTGCCGCAGCCGGGGCTGGGGCCATTCCCCTCCCTCAGCCTCAGCCCCGGGCCGGGGCCATCCCCCTCCCTCGGCCTCAGCCCGGGCCGGGGCCATTCCCCTCCCTCGGCCTCAGCCCCGGGCTGGGGCCATCCCCCTCCCTCAGCCTCAGCCCCGGGCCAGGGCCATCCCCCTCCCTCGGCCCCGGGCCGGGCGGGCGGTGCCGCGCTGGGGCGGAAGTGCCGGGGCCGAGGCCGAGCGGCGGTACGAGGTAACGCCGGGCCCGGGGCTGCCGGGCCGGGCCGGGGGCGGCGGGTCCCGCCGGGACAGGCAGAGCAGAGCCGGGCCGGGCCGGGCCGGAGGGGCTGGGGCACACCCGGGGCACACCCGGGGCCCCGCGGGCGGCACCGCCGAGGGCTGCGCTGCTCCAGCGCCTTCCCCAGGGACAGCGCGGGGCCGGGGCGGGCAGGGAGCGGCAGCGCCTGAGCCCTGCCAGGAGCCGGCGAGGAGGGCAACAGCCACGGGCACAAAGGCGGCTTTCTGTTCTGACAGCACAGGGGTGCGGAGCGGGGACCGGGGCGGGCAGCGCTGGCGGGGCTGCACAGTTCAACCTGCGGGGATAACACTGCGGGGGCACGGCAGCAAAGGGCATCAGCAAAGCGGAGGAGAGTCCTGAGCCACAGAAACACGGGATGGTTGGGGTTGGAAGGGACCGTTCAAGGCATAGTCCAACCCCTCTGTGCTGGGCAGGGACATCTTCAACTTGACCGGGTTGCTCAGAGCCCTGTCACACCTGAACTGGAATATTTTCAGGGATGGGGCACCCACTACCTCTCTGGGCAACCTTTGCCAGCGTTTCACCACCCTCATTGTAAAAAATTTCTTCCTGATATCTAGTCTAAATCTGCCATCTTTTAGTTTAAAACCATTAGCCCTTGTCCTGTTTGTGTAGAGTGTTCTGCTACAAGAGCTCTGGGCTCTGTAACATGTCCTTTACTGAAGACAGCCAGGGGACTGGGAGCTCAGGCAAAACGCCTCTGCCAGCAGCAGGGCTTCAGTCCATGGGAAAGTGCCAGAGCCAGGACTCCTGGAGCACCTCAACTATGCATCTTCAGGGTTTGTCAGCTTGGCTGGTCAGTCAGAGGCATGAGGACTGAAACTCTTGAGGACTGAAACTCTTTGCTTTGTAGTATATTTGGACTCTGAAATGAATGGACTCCAGTGGAAAGTGAAAGCAAAGCTTTGTGAGCTGCTGGTTTTGGGACACCATGTCCCTACTGTGCTGTGCTTTGCAGAGTAATAAAGGTTACACTTGCTTTAACAACATCAGCACTCCTCTAAGAAATAAGGGTAAATCCCCATAATTCCCTCACGCTTGTGGCTTAGTGTTTGCTGTAAGCACTCCCCTGGCATCAGGCCATTTTCCCTCTGGTCTCTCAGCTGGCTGTGTGATTTTGTAGGGTGCTGAAGATGGCAGGCAGCTCCACTCCCTGGATTGGCAGTGCTTACCTCTTCCTCCAGTCAACGAGCAAGGCCGTCGTCCTGCCGTCCCTCTACGAGAGCCCCCAGAAGAAGCCCGGTGTGTTCAGGGCACTGAAGCTGGCACTGGCAGGTACCTGTTCTCTCTCATATCTTGGTGTGCTGCCTCGGCTCTTCACACCATGCCACGCCTTCCTTTAATCTCACACTCATGGGCAGGGAAAGCTGGTCCTCACTGTTTAGGAAAGACGACAAAGTGGAGTAAGTTCAGCAGAGGTTCACCAAGATGGTTGGGGGCTGGAGCCTTTGTCCTGTGAGGAAAGGCTGAGGGAGTGGGACCTGTTCAGCCTGGGGAAGAGAAGGCTTCAGGGGACCTACCAAACAGCCTGCTGATACCTGTGGGGAGGGGGAGATGGAGCCATGCCTTTCATAGTGGTGCCTGGGGAATGAGAGGCAACAGGCACACACTGAAATGAGAGGGAGACCCCAGACAGAAGGGCATGTCTTCCCCATGAAGACAGGCAGTTGCAAAGTCCTGTCTTTTGAGGTAGCTTTACAGCTGTCTTGAACACTACTCATAAAGGTTTCCATGTCTGTGAGGCTTTTCCTCCCCATCCCTCTTATCCTGCTATGGCAGCTTTTGTTTAATAAGCACTCACAAAAAAAAAAGTATGAAGGAAGAGATAAAAAGACACTTCTGGTCATCCCCAGTGAATTAAAATGCCCCATGTCCCAGTTACACATTTGGTCCAAACTAGACTTTCTGATGCAACCAGGACTCAGTAAACATGTAAAGCCACTGTTAGATGGCAGATCACTTGTCCTGCCTAATGTGGAGCACACATTGTCCTCCAAGCATGGGATTGTTCTTGCCTTGGGATTGTCCTCCATGCCATGACCTGTGGTTTAGCAATACCTGATGTAGTGCCAGTCTGAGCTGGTGCCTCCACACAGCCCTGTGTATGACAGGCCAAGAGTTTAAGTCGGGTCTGGAAGCAGTACAGCAGCCTCCCATGGGCCTCTGCTGCAAAAAAAGGAAAACCACACACTTTGAACTGTCATCATCAGCATATAAAGTCACTGTGGAGACAAGATCCATGTGCACAGCTAATAAAAATTAAATTTTCCTGGGAAAAGGAAGCCTGGCAATTTCTGTTGTCCACATTGCTCCTGCTCCTCCTATAGTAATGTCAGAGGGTACATCCCTGGCTTCATCCTTGCAAAGATTTTACTGTGAATTAATCCTCTGTGCAAAAGACCTTAACAAGTCAAGGCCCAGTCTCAAGCAGCTTAATTCCTGTGGCTGGATCTGCCATTCACCAGCCAAAGTTACCTCTAGGCACAGACTGGAGAGGAAACACTGGGTCTCTTTCGAGGACCTTCATCACTGCATAAAACTCCAGTCACAGGGACTGAAGACTGACTGAGCACTGAGCTGAACTGAGCTTTCATCTGTAAAACTTTCCTGTGCTACCAATTTACTGTAACCATCTCAGCCCTGGAAATGGAACCTTACATTTAAAACCTCCCCTAATAAACAGTGTTGATACAATTACCTGGGATGTAGTTCCATCCATCTTCAGTTGGACACCATACTTCATGGAGATCCATGGTGGCAGGGCAGCGAGAACTTAATCCTTCCCTCTTGGTTTTACGTGCAGGCTTTTCATCCCAGAGAACTTTGTCACCAAGAGAATTCAAAAGCTGCTCCCTTGCAGGCTTGGTGGTGGGTGGGAGTGGGTCTGGGTGAGCTGTCTCATGCCTGGATGGTGACTCTGCTCACTCCTCCCTGCCAGACTCCACGGGCAGCATGAATGGTGTGGACATGCTGAAGGTGTACTGCAGCCACCCCCAGCTGATAGTGCAGCTCAAGTTCTGCAGGCAGGAGAACTGCCGCCGCTTCCTGCGCAGTTACCGCGACGGAGCGCTCCAGAGGGCCCTCCAGAACCACCTCCAGCTCTCCTTGGCCACGACCACGGTGCCTCTGGAAATGGAGCTGAGGACTGGCAGCGAGCACCTTGACAACATGCTGAAGGATGAGGATCGTTGCCTGGAGTGCATCTACAGAGAAAAGGTGAATGGGAGGGGGAGTGGTGGCACAGGGCTCGGGAAGGTGGCTGCAGATATTGTTCTGATGCAGCACCTTGGGTTGACAGACTTCTTCCTTTAGTTCTCAGCTGTAATGTGGAGAAGCAGCTCTGCCCTTCCCCAGAAAAGAGCCATGCACTTTTGCAGAAGGGCAGTAGCATTCCCTAAAACACCCTACAGAGACCCTGCTAAACCCCTGAGGCTCCTGTGTGTAACAGTTAGCATGGCTGTTATCCCCACTGAGAGGAGGAATGCTGGAGGGTGCAGCTGAGACCATGGCTGTGCCTGGTACAGCTGTGAGGGGGCACAGAGGACAGCGGGCCTGTGTGGAACCAGCACTGCTCAGCACCTTCCTGCCCTGCCTCTCACACCCCCTGCTCCCAGAGCAGCACCCCGAAATGAGTGTGAGTGCAAACACTGGGCAGGTCACACCAACCCCCTGTGACAGAGTGGGGACACACAGCACCTGCTGCCAGCACAGGGGGCTGCCCTGCTGAGGGCAACACCTCTCAGAGCCCACATTGCACACTTGGGCACTGGCACTCTGGTCCTGCCTGCAAGAACTGTGAGATCTCGTCATCTCACCACAAAAGCAAGGCACCTGACATGATTAAACTCATCACCTTCCTTTTTTTCCATCTGGAACTGTAGCTCTGGCTCCTCTGGTTCCTCTAGAAGGTCCTGAGAAATAGGTGGTCACCATGTATTCAGGAAGATAGGCACACGAGCAAGTTTTGCCAGGTTGCTTTTCTGGAAGCAGAGAATGAGACTCAAACCTTTGATCCCTGGACCAAACAACATGTGTTATCCCATACCCTGCCAGCTTTGGCCTGCTGCTCCCTCCCTCTGCTGAACTAGCTGACTGGACAAAAGAGATGGGCTTATTCTCAGTTCCCCAGAAGTGTCTCAGTCTGACCCCACCTGACAGGCCCCAGTCAGAAGGATGGCAGTGGGGCCCAGCTGGCAGCAGCTGAGGGCAGTGCTGGGACCTGCTGCACATGAGATGAACCAGTGGTTAGCTCTGACTGAGTCAGAGTACTCACCAGGTTTGACTCTTCCCATGTGCTTTGCCTTCTTTACTCCTTTCCCCATTACCTGCTTTTTGGAGGTCAGACTAGTTTTCCCTTGGTTAGTGAGAAAAACTGGCTTGGCAAGGACCCAGCAACAACAAACCTTAGGGACAGAGGGACAGAGAGAGACAGGAGGTGGTAACAGGAGCTGCCTGCTTTGGTGGCCATGAGCCATTGGATCAGGTCACCCCGTTCTGTGGGTCTGACCCTCACGTGGAGTTTGGAGGAGCCTTGCTGCCTATAGTGCACCCTAATTCTTGCAGAAGGGTGCTAAAAATAAGCAGTTTTGTGCAACTTGTAAGCAACTTGTAAGCTTGTTTCTCACAGGAGAAACCCAGGAGGGGGAGATGGTTTGTGTCATATCACATTACAGATTCAAATTCACACGTTAACAGCCAGAGCTCCATCAGACTGTCTCATTTAGCTGGCTTAGAGCTCATGCTGTGGCTATCTCATCGCTCCCCTCTTGACACCATCATCTTAAGCTGCACCTTCTCGCTAAGTACCCGGAGCTTTGCAGGAGGGTGACCCTGGCAGAGTCCCTGATGGTGTTTGCATGGCAGGAGTCCCTGATGGTGTTTGTGTTGCAGCCCGACCGCCTGCGGGACGAGGAGCTCACGGAGCTGGAGGAACACCTCAAGAGCCTGACTGTGCACCAGAGCATCAACAACAACGTGGCTATAAAAGACTGTGCACCTCTCAAGTCCCCATCTCTGCCTTATCCTTCTCAAGGCAGCTCCCTTCCCCCACCAGGCACCTTCCTCTTTCAGGGACAGCAGTTTGGTGAGTAGTTAGAACTAACCAAGAGAACCCTTGGTCTTCCTTGCCTCACAGCCTGAGAGGGAGGACTAGCATGGCTGCACATTGGGGGTCTACCTCAGATAAATCAAGGATTTTCCAGCATCCCATAAGGAAGGAATGATAATGGTCCTAAAATATCGTCACAGTGCTTCAGATCAGGCCTCAACCTGTTTTCTTTTCTGGGGTGGCACAAAACCAGATGCTTCAGAGCCTGTGTCCCTTCCAGGTTCCTCACATTTTAAAATTGATACTGAAAGGAAGAATATATTTTTCTCTTCCTCCACGTCACTGGCTGAGCTGAGTTAATAGCACAGGTTGGATTAGACTGTGGAGATTACTGTGGACACCCTCAGCCCTGCTTTTTAGTCGAGGCTCCCTGCAGTACACCAGCTGCCCCTGGGGTCTGTCCCTACAGGGAGCTTTCAAACAGTCTCACAGCAATGGTAGCTTGGATCAGCTGGATCACTTCTGAGCTGTGTGCAGGCTCCAGTGCTAAACAGCCCAGAAGAGAGCTCTTGTCTAGGTTTCAGTATTTGGAGGATGCTTAGGTAGGGAACAGGAGACTTGGACTTACCAAGTTGCTTCTGAAAGGCTAAAAAAAATGAAGAGGATGTCCATCAGGAAAAAAAGAGCTCTGGCAAACCACAGCACAGTCCTGGGGGAGAAACAAGAAAAGGAAAAAGGCATTGCCAAGCTTGCAGGGTAGGGGCAAGCCCAGATGCTCTGATGATGTTGTGGGAGGATTTCAATAAGGGAACAGCATGAGCAAGGCAAGGAGCTCAGATGTGCCAGGGCACATGGCTGTGAGCAGGTAATTGTGTCACCACGTGCTACAGGTTTGCCCCCCGAGGCAGCAGCAGCACCCTGGGGGCTGGAGGACTGTGGGGAACTGAGATGTGCAGCTGAGGCACAGTGAGCAGGGAGGCTTAACTCCTGCTGGGTTTCCCTTTCCAGTGGTGGGGGAACTGCTCCCAGCAGGACAGTCCCTGTAGCTTCACTGCCCCAACCCCAGAGTGCTGCCCTGGTGCTGGAACACCAGAGGAAGGCAGAGCAGCTTCACAGCAGTTTAATAACGTGCTGTGGGCACTGAACAGCTTCCCTGCTCCACAGAACACTGACCAAACCTTGGACCGGCCCAGGCTGCATCACATCAGCCATGAAAGCTCTGTGTCTCACCTCCCCTCTGTCCCTTTCAGACAACAGGACAATCACACCGGACGACCACCAGAAGTTTGCCAAGCTGGTGTCCAAGAAGTGGAAGCAGGTGGGTCGCTCTTTGCAGAAGAGCTGCCGGGCCCTGCGTGACCCTGTCATTGACAACCTGGCCCTGGAGTACGAGCGGGAGGGACTCTATGAACAGGCCTATCAGCTGCTGCTCAGGTTCATCCAGTCAGAGGGCAAGAAGGCCACGATAGCACGGCTGATCGCAGCCCTGGAAGAGAACGGTCTCATCAGCTTGGCTGAGGAGCTCCTGGGCCTCCACTGCAACGAGGACTGCTCCTAGAGCCCCAAGGGCAGTGCCATTGCTGAGGGCTTTCCTGCTTTAGCTACTGTATGAAACTGCTGCCAGTTTCTGGGAATGTGAAGCCCTGAAAATCACCACAGGTTTCCATCCAGATTGGAATGTCCAGGGGAGAGGCTCTGTGCTCACAGAAGCCAGCATGGACCTCTTACCTTCCCTATTTCGTTGTGTTTCCAGAAGTCAGCACTACCTTCCTGTGAACTGGTGAGAGAGGCTTCCAGCCTGACTTCCTTCAGGACTGAGGGAAGGGAAGGTGGCTTCCTTCAGGACTGTCACCAGGAAGCAGCCAGACAGAGAGCCCTAGGGGAGAGTGGGGGAGAGGAGAAAAGCAAGCAAGGCATCTCAGAGAATTTTTCTGGGAAGCAGACAATGCCACTGCTTCTCAGGCTGTGTCTCAGGGCCATCACCTGGGGAGCTGCAATATATTTTTTATATTGAAGACATTTATGCCCTCAGGCATGACATCAAGGAAGGACAGAGGGGAAATTAAGGAAAAGTCAATTTTATATTATTTTCCTTTTCTGTTTGAAAAATATCTGTGGCAAGTGCATCTGTCCTGCCCTGCTCTATTATAGCTCCTTCCCACCACTCACCACCTGAAGGTTTCCCTTCCAGCTGGAACAGCCATAATCTTCCACGGGGCACAAGATTGCTGCTGTAGAACAAATTTCAGGCACTGGACGAGCAATGTGGACAAATTCAAATTCAGACAACGATTCTCAGCTTTCCCTGGCCTGTGGTGGACAGTGATACATTGAGTACATCATGCTCAGCTCCTGCCTGGCAGCTGAGGGAGCCCCAGCTGTGGAGAGCAGTCTCCTGGTCAGCCAGTGACCATGGTGGGCTGGAGCTGCTGCTCCAAGGTGTGTCCCAGCAGGGAGGGCCATCCTGACCCCACAGAGCTGAGCAACCCCCCTGGCCAGGGGCTGCTCCTGCCTTCACTCACTCCTCACCCTCCCAGCCTGGGCCTGCTGAGCTCTCTGGAGGGGGCAGCTCACACCCCACATCCCACGGGGTCTGCACAGAGCCTTTCCCTCAGCATCAGCTGCTGCACCTGGATTTACCTGCTCTGATTTTTAGGGTAAAAGTGGCTGAAGAGACAAATCTCCCAAACCCCAGGGCTGACTCCTGCTCTCAGTTCTGTGGGAGAAGCTGAGTGTCTCCTGGTGTGGCTGAGCAGGCTGCAAAGAGCAGGCTACACCCCTGCCCATGACAAAGCACAGAGCAACAAGTGTCCAGCCTGACACGGGTCCTGGGAGGCACAACAGCAGCTGGATTACCTTTGACGTATTCCCAAGGCTTTCCTGATAGGTTTTTACTAATCCTTTTCAATTAATTCTCTCTCTTTTTGCCCTTCCCACTTGTGGGAATAGCCAGTGGGCTGTGGAGGCTATTTCAGCTGCAGAGGGTGGCTCTGGCTGCACACATAAAGCCTGAGTGCATGGGGGAATATCAGGCTGCTGGCAGTCAGGGTAGGACCAGCTTTCAGTCAGGCCCTGATGGCCTTTTAAACCACATCTCACACCTTAATCCTTCCCTGGAGTCAAAGCTGTAATTCAGTAAGAAGGAATTCAACCTCAGGTTCAGGTGTGGGCCCAGACCTGACTCCTGGGGCTGGGGCTGCTCCCTCAGCTTCTGCTGAAATGGAGCCCTGGCTGAGCAGGATTTAGATGTCCAGCTCCTACCCAGGTGGGATCCACGTGCCTCAGGTGGGATGAGCATCACATCCCTCAGAATAAGCCTGAGAATCCTCACTTGTTCTCTGCAGATTTTGAACCCCCAAGGTTCCATACACAGTCAGGAAAGGGATGAGGGGAGTTAAGGGTGGGGAAAATGTTTTCAGGATGTATCTGCTTCCATCTTGCCCTTAGCTTCAAAGGAAGCAGGACTTTATGCAGGCACCATCTCTACAAAGACTGTGGCTTTTGTCAGTGCCACTGCAGTCTCATCTCCTCCACTCCTGCTCCACATCCTACCCTCTCCCTTCCTCTCATACCAATGCTCTTCCCAAAATGCAGCAATTACCTCTGGGACAGTTTTGCTTTTGGGACCAGCACAGTGATGCTGACCTTAGTTAATTCAGGCTGCTGTGGAACCATACCTCAAAGCATTGAGCTTTCCTGCCAGATTCCAACTGGGGAACTCTGTTTGGCAGCAACCCACCTGACAAATGGTATTTAAAAAATCAGAAACTGGGAAATTACTTTAACAGCAAGAGGGTTTGCTCTTGATTTTGCAGAAATGATTTTTTAAAGAAGACAAGGTCATAGCCTGCTGTCTTATTTGTAATAAGTTTTTCTAAGCTCTCAGACCAGGTATTCATGTACACAACTTTCACACAAGGCAGCCTCTGAGTAGTGAGAATTACTAGTTTTTGTAGTACCTGTTAATGCTTAAAATGAGAAAGTTGTATTATTCAGCATCTCCTTCAAGTCAGAAAACTTTTTTGCAGCTATTACTCTTTTACAGAGCACTAAGCATGAATGCTTTCTCCTGAATGCTGTGCACTGTCTCTCTCTGCCAGCACTGGCATGAGTATTGCCTCTTACTCACACATTCCCTCTCAAAAGTGCCATTAAGTGCTGGAGCCTCTGGCAACCTTTGTGGAATATCATCATCTTTAACAGCATTCACAGATGCCTTCACTGCAGAGACTTGCAGGAAAAGGGTTTTCCAGGGATATTCCATGGTGGAATTGTCTAAAGTGCATTGCATGTTTTAGGACCACGGCAGTGGCTGTTCCATACCTGCCTTTCCATGATCAGTCTCCAGCATCAGGTGCAATGAAAACTTCAGTTCTGGTCTCAAGTGACTCCTTCCTGCTGAAAGAGTAGCTTTTGTTAGTATTATCTGGCACAGAAATAGATAGAAACAACTTTCCTGGAGGCCTTAGGATGGAGCAGGTCAGTTGGATGGCGAGGACAGGGTGTCCTTTGCCTTGGGGTGGCATTTGGCTGGAGCTCCACTCTGAGTTCACTTCTGCTTTACCCAGAGGATTTTCCAGAGGTTTTACACCACTGTGCAAAAACAAGGGAACTCTTATCACACAGGGAAGGAAGAAGCACTCACAAAGGAAAAACCCTTAGCAGAGATTGTTGAAGAAATTGGGGGCATGTCCTTACCTCGGGCAGCAATGCAGTGAGTGGGGTGCAGAGAGTGAGATGTTTTGGGACACTTGGTGACACACCTGGCACTGGGGAAAAAAATATTTTCAGGGGTGGTGGTGGTGTTTCAGAATCAAGCACAATATTAAAAGCAAATAAAGATGCTAATCAGTTGCATATAAGACCTGAAATAGATAAAATATAAACCAGAAAAAAAACAGCCCAAAATGTGCTTAAAGGAAGGGATCCAAGAGGGCTTTTTTTGTGGTGCAGATTGTTTTTGTAGTTTTAGCCGTGTTTCAGATTTGAAGGAGGCTCCTTTCAGTCTGCCAGAAGGAATAAAAGATCCATCCAAAGGAGAATTTGAATGATTTGTTTTGGCATAGCTGAGCTACAGTGCTCAAACAGATGATAATAAGTTAAATGCTCACCAGATATACTTCGACATGAGGCATCTGATGCAGGCAAACCTGTCAGTATACCCTGATATAAAATTGTCTCAAAGGAAAATACCTCTTTACTTCCCATTCATTTCAAACCTGGGGTTGGCACTGAGCAGTTGTCCTGCTGCCTGGGTCACCGTGTCACCTCCCTCCTGCAATTCCAAAGGGAAAGTTCCAATTCCACCTCCAAGTCACCCCCTGGCAGCTGCCCACTCACTTTGAAACCCAAAGCAAGGATGCACAGCAATGAGGAGCCTCCAATTCACTTAAACTGATGATTTAGTTTAACTGAAAACTCTGGTGTAGCTGTGAACCCCTGGTACTGTACACCTTGAACTGAGGAGGAACTAGAATGGGAGTCAGGAGGGTTTTGTGAGTGTAACCCACAGCCTGGAGTGTGTGCAGGACACTGGGGAGATCCTCGGCTTTACACCAGACAAGGTCTGGCCACGTGTCTTCTGCATGGAGATGGACTCAGACAGTGAAGCAATTTAAGGCCTAGAGTCAAAAATTATATATTATTTTCTTCTCTGGATTGAATTTTAGTCACTGAAGGGATCTGGCCGTACATCTCCAACTGAAACCTGCAAGATGTGTGTGGTTGAAGTCCCTTAGTTGTCAGTGGGAAATCACTTGCAAATCTTCTAATTCCAAATTCCCAGGATTTTCAGCATCAGATCTGGATCAGCCATCTACAGCTGTGGACTGCAATGCCATGTATCCTTGGGTCTAGGACATTTAACCTCCAAGGAATTGTCTTTTATAGAAAAAGAAACACTGGTATATTTTTTTCTCTGTTCTTTTTTATAAATAAATACATACTTTTGATGACAAACGCCTCAGAGACTTTCACTGAACACTCAGGGCAGGAGGAAGAAGGGGGTTCACTGCAGTTCTGGCCACGCTGGCGATGCCCAGCTCTGGGAGGAACATCCAGCCTGAGGGTCTGGATGCACAGCAGGGTCCTGCCCGAGGTCAGACTCCTCCTGACACCCCCAGGGTGCCCCACCTGCAAGGGGATGGCTCTGGCTGCAGGTCCAAACCAAGCCAAGCCACCCTGCTTGTTCAGCTCCCAGTTACTGCTTTGATGAGCCTGTTCTTAGCAGACATGGCCAGGAGGGGAGGTTTCTCCCAGCCCTGGTACCTGGCAGAGCTCCCTTCAGTGCTGCTGAGGTACCTGGGGCTCCTCTGAGGCCACAGCCCCCCTGCAAAGCCAAGTGCCTCGCTGGTACTGAGCTCTGTCCCAGGGCTGCCTGCTCCCTAGGTGGAGAACCAAGGACTTGGGACCTGAAATCTCCAGCAGCTTTACACAGGAAGCCACTGGCTGACCTGACAGCTGAATCCAGGGAAATTCCTTTTGCCATGAGCTCGAGTGGAGCTGCATTTCACCCTGAATCGCTTAAATCTCAAACACTGCTTGAAAATCACAAGATCAGCCCTTCTTTATCCACCACAGAGCTGTATTCCCAACTGCATGGCTCGATGCCTGCAGGAATACAGTGCCAGGGAGCAGGGCTCTGCCCCACAGCAGCTGGAAGGACACACCAGCCCGGGGTCAACAGGGCTGACCTGATGGGGATCAGCAAGACCACTGCCCCAGCCTGGTGACACAGTGACACAGCACGGGACAGACCAGGGGCACCTCTGCTGGGAGGGAGAAGAATAAACCAGTCGTGCACCAGTGCCCAGGGAACAAGGTTCAGGTGAGAAAACCAGCATGTAGAAGCACCCATGGAGAAGCTGCTCCACCTCCCAAGCTGCTTGCACGACTCTCCAAGCCACGGCAGCACAAAGGCACCACACAGCAAGGAAAGCCTCTGTTTTCACTCTCACCCCACGGGAGCAAGAGAAAAGGGGAGCAGGCCTCAAAACCTGGGTGAGGATCATGGAGGAAATACCTGCTGTGAGCCCCTGAGGGTTTAGGGAGCTGTCTCCTCCCTCCACAGTCAGTCCCTCCCAGCAAAGGCAGACACCAACCTGCTCTTTGTGACCATCATCTGCCTCCTTACAGAGGAGGGATGAAAGACACCCTGGGGCTGCTGCTGCAGAGAAAAAGGATAGAGGTACCTTGGGCTGGCACAGGGAAAGTGGGAATCTGAACAACATCTCTGGTGGAGGTTTCTGATCAGCTGAGCAGCTCAGGGAGCCACTGAGGTCCAGCTGCTGCTCACCATGAAAGGGCTTTCCCAGCCTGCAGCACCCAAGTGCAGGGCCCGAGGGTGTCTCACCAGGAACTCGCTCTTCCCCACGACACTGTGTTCAGTAAAGCAAAAGGTTTGAGCTGAAATCAGAAATACCTCAAAAAAGCACAGATGCTGACAAAGAGATTTTTACGTTATGTTTAAAAAAACAGTCGGTTGTTTGTGAAAACAACAGAGTAGATCAAAACCTGCCTTTATGACAAGTTCGCTGTACACAAAAAGCTTTGCTTTCTAAAGAGGCCGTGGTCTGGGCACTCTCCAGATGCTTGGCCTCTGTTAGAGGAATGAGGGTCATTGTTTATACTGCAGAGACAAAGAAACAGCCCCAGAGATTGGAAGTGCTATGGCTGCACACAGCTGGCAGATGAGCAGTGATGGCAATTTAGATTTAGCTCCAAATAAAAATGTTTTGTTTTGAACTATTTCAAATTAAATGGGAAAAAAACCACAGGTGGGGTTTGGGGTTTTTTTCAGTGTTTTGGGAGGGACCCTCGAATCTGTCTTCAGCCTCTGTACTGCTCAGCTCTCACCTCCTCCCGTCATTTCCCTACTGGGAAAAACAGCGACCAACCCCCAGTTGGATTTTACTTCTGAGCTGGACCCAACCCCAGTTTTTCAGTTTGACTCTTTGCGGAGGTAAATACTCACAAGGGGATTAAAGAATAAACAAACAAAAAAACCCAAACTGTAGAACGAAAAGCAGAAAGCCAGAAAAAAAAAAAAAGAAAATAGTGCGTTTCCTATTGAAAAAAAGTTCGGGGGGGGGGGAAAGCGCCGCACCTTTTCTGGGAGCCGAGGGACGCGCCCGGAGCCGGAGCCTCGACACCCCCGGCCCGGCCCGGCCCCGCTCCCATCACGTGTCCGGGCCTGGACCGGGCCCAGCTCCTGCCCCGGGACCGCAGCTCTTCCCTCGCTGCCGGGACCGAGCGCGGGCGGCTCCGGGAGCGGCCCCGGGAGCGGCCCCGGCACATCCCGGCCGGGGCGGGGAGGGATCCGGGGCCGGCCCAGAGCGCACAGAGAGCGCTCCCAGCTCCCGGAGAGCCTTCCCAGCTCCCGGAGAGCCTTCCCCGGGCTGCGCTGAGGGCTGGGATGTCCCGCACTGACCGTGCCCAGATGTGCCGCCCCGGCAGCCGCTGCCCGGACACCGCGGGACAGGACCGGCGCTATGGAACGGGCTGTGAGTATCTGTGTGTGCTGAGCAGGGTGGGCTGGGGGAGCCGTGCAGAGCTGCAGACCGTCCTCGCTGCTTCCCTTCGCCTCCAGCCTGCGGCTCTTTTTTGTTGCCTTGTTGCTCTTGCCGTGTTGTTCCGTGCAGCGCCCCGACCCGCGATGGTTAACACGGGTTAACACTGCCCTGACCCGCGATGGTTAACACGGGTTAACAGTGCCCTGACCCGCATTGGTTAACACGGGTTAACAGTGCCCTGACCCGCGATGGTTAACACGGGTTAACACTGCCCTGACCCGCGATGGTTAACACGGGTTAACACTGCCCTGACCCGCGATGGTTAACACGCGGCAGGGGCGGCTGAGGCTCTGAACGCGCAGCCTCCAGCCCCGTACATCTGCTCTACACTTCGCTTTCCAAAGAACTTTTCGGTTGTTTTCACAGAAGCTCGGGGTTTCTCTGCACAGTGCCTCCAGTGCTCTCAGGCTGGGTTCCCTCTCAACCAAGAACACGTTCCAGTGGTGGCACATTACATTTACAAGCCATTCCTCACCAGTAAAAGGACATGAATCTTTCCCATGTTTGAGGAATTTCCAACCTCTCTAGTGTCACAAAGACAGAAAGAAAATAATTCAATCCCTGTGAAATGGGCAGTTACCCATCACATTTTTAAACAGCTTTTGGGCAGATTCTGATAAAATTATTGAAATTAGGGGGGTTCACCAGCACATGCTCCCTCTCCCATTTGTGTCTGGGTGTGATAATACATCCATGCTAATGCACTGTGATTGCTGGGGCCTGGGGCACGTCGGGCAAATTATTTATCAGATCAGAAGAGGGTCTGTGAGCTGAAGAGGCAGCGAATGCTACAGCCTGGGGAGGGCTGGGAAAGGAAGGTGGTTGTTTCAGTGGGACTGTTTCTTACCCCTTCACAAACCTGCAAGGCTTTATTCTCCTCCTGGGGGCAAGAAAAACGAATGTTTGGAAGAGAGAGGGCAGGTTCCTCACCCTGTGCTTGGCTGCTCAGGAGGGGCCCATCTCCCCAGAGCACTCAGTTGAGAGCTGAGCTGCTGAGCTCTCTGTAATTCTGAAAATCAGGCTACCAGCACACCAGGCTGTGTCTGAACTTAGGGAAATACCTCTCGAGGCTGCTGAGCCTGCAGAAGGGGATGTGTGTTACCTTCTCCCACCTTGCAGGCAGCTGAGCAGTCTCGTTACAGACGTGGTGCTGTGCTCAGGAGGAGCTGGAGTTTTCCCTGTTTGCTGGGCAGCAGCTCATCCCCCCCAGGCACTGCCACAATGGCTCATCCTGCCCTGAAAGGGCCACAAAACATCAGACATTGCTTAAATCCAGCAGAGCTGCAGCCCCCAAACTGTGCCAGGTGTATGGCAGGACTCACCTGGGTCAGCAGGGTGACAGGAGCAGCAGTGCTGGCAGGCAGCACTTCCCACAGGTCCTGGGGACAGTGGTGCAGGAGCCAGTTCTGCCCAGGGCCAGCAGGGATCCCACACACAACCTCCTTCTGCCAGGGCACCACAGGATTCTCCACTGGGCACCCTGCAACTTCTTTCCTGGGACCCCTGTGTGTGAAAACAGACATCTCAGCATCCAACCCCTGCCTTCACACAGCAGCTCTGCAGTTCCTCTGCATTTCAGTTCGTACACTTCATAAAAGTGGGGTGGAAACTAAGAGGAGGCAACCACAGCAGTTGGTTACCTGACTGTGCCTGGCACTGTGAGGGCAGGGCTGGCAGTGCCAACAGGAGAGACTGCAATGAAATGGGCCCAGCTGGCTGGGAAGCTGAGCAAACCACGTATTTAAGGACTGGGGCAAGCAGATAAATAGGGCCCCCTGTCCTGGAACAGCATGGATTCCATCCATCTGTTTGCTCTGGCCTGGAAAAAAAAAAAAAGTCTGAAAAGCAGCTCTGACAGGGAAGTTGGAAATTGTCTTTGGAGCAGGGCCTGCATTTTTGTTACCTGCTTCTGCAGCATTTGACTCGACAGAGCTTTTGCCTCCAGGTGCTGCCACATCAAGTAAGAGCAGCAGTGATGGCACAGTGCTGCCACTGTGGCACTGTCACAGCGTGTGACAGAACCCCTGTGCAGCTGGGCACTGAGCTCTGCCCCTCTGTGCCTCTGCCCCTCTGTGTTCCTTGGGCTTTGCTTCATCCCCACCTCCTGGGACAGCTCTCAAGACATCCAGCTAATTAAATCCTACAGCCTGCTCTTACTTTGTTTATAGACTTCAGAACTTCTAAGCAGCTGAATGGGATGAGCTTTGTTCTGGTCAGGCAGCACAGCAGATGTTTTGGTTACTCCATTTTTTAGGGCTTTGCATTAACCACTGTACCCGAGGCATCTCTATTTCAGCCTGCTCTGTCTTCTAGTGCAGAGGATCAAATCATTCAGCATCACCTTGTGATCCTGTAACTCCAAATGAGACCTCTTCACAAACACCCTGAGATGCAAAGAGGAGTTGTCTGGCACCAAAGCCACTTAAAGCAGTAACTTTGAGGAGGTTATTGACTTTGCCCAGGGGGTGTGCCAAAACAAAGAAACAAAACCAAAAAAAAAGAAACCATGCAGGAATAAAACCCATTACACGACACCCAAACACAGAAACGGAAGGCAGCTTCTTCCCCTGCTCCAACACACACAGTTATTTTCCCCCTTTAAATGCTTCTGACACATCTGAAATGGTTAAACCCAAGTTGTTTCATGCATGTTTTTGTATGTGGGGCAGAACAAAGCTGACACATTTCTCTGTGGGTACCCCAGAGCCCAGATGCAAAATGAAGTTTTGCCACCACGAGACCCAAACCAGGATAACTCAGCTGAGAGCTTGAAGCCTTGGCCTTTGCCCTGCAGATCTCTGTGGAAGGGTGAGTGAAGGATGGCAGCCCAGTGCAGCTGGAAGAGAGCAAAACCAGTGATCCTTACCCAAAACAGAGTGCTCCTCATGTCTGTGTGTTCAGCAAGACATTTAAACTAAGCTGGTGCAGACACAGAAGTTAAACCCTCTGCCAGCCCTCAGAAGGTGGGGCCAAGGGAAAGTCAGTGGGAAAATGCAGCCTCCCTGCAGGGCTTCAGGCAGGGCAGGCTTTTGGTGCCAGCATCCTGGTCTGGGGGGATGAAGCCCATCTGAACACATCTATTTTACACAGGTCCAGCTGCAGGGTGGGCACAGGGTATGGCATTATTGTTCCCTGAACACTGTCAGGACTCCTCCTGAGGCAGAGGAACAGCAGCACAAGGTGAGGAGGGTCCTGGGAATTTGCTTTGCTTTTGCTGAGGGAATGAGGATGGAAAAACTGCTGGAAACAAGGCAGGAGGGAGACATGTGCTCAGACCTCTCCCCTTGCAGGCCAGAGCCCAGGCAGGTCTCAGCATCCAGCCCTGGGTGTTACCACATGGCTTTGTTCTCATGAAAAGCATTGAACCCACATGAAATGAAAACAAACACCCCAAACCTGAAGCATTGCCCCAGAGCATCCCCACCAACCACAATTTTACAAAGCTTCCCTGATGATTACAAAAAAAAAATCTCCTCAAACCCATCACTGCTGGATCCCACACATGTTCTTTACAGAGTGGGTTCTCACAGTTTGGGACCCCCTGGCTCAGTGTAACCCCATTTTCAGCTCACCTCACTGTCACAGCTGCTTGTCCCCGGGCTGGGTGGGTCAAGTGACTGCTCTTCAAGGCACAAAGCAACGTGCCAGAATCACCATTCTTGACTGAATCCGGGGACAGCATCCAGAGGCTTTTTCCCACCTTGGCCCTGAACAGAAGTGCCAAGTGCTGGAGGGGTGATGGGTGATGCAAGGGAAGGAGATTTCCAGGATGAGCTCAAGGCTTCACGTCATTCAACTGGGAAAGAAGGATTAGGAATTTTTGTTTTAAATCATCATTTAACTGCTTTTATTGCAGCTGTTCTTGGCCACATTTCAGAATCCTCCTCTCAAATAAATGAAAACCAGGCCTAGGACTGGGCCCTCTGCCCGAGGCTGCAACAGTGCAGGTCAGAGTCCTGCTGGATGCTCACCAGGGTGCCAAGCCCAGCTCTGGCCACTTCCAGCTTTCCAGCCTTTTGTAGCCTCTTGGGCCATGCAGGCTGTGCCCCACTTGGCTCTTGCAGCACATTCCTTATTTATGGGCTCCTCATCTTCCCACCTCGTGGACATGGGACCTGTCACAGCCTGTTCCCACTGCCCAGCTCAGCCCTCTCACTGCCCACTGTCCTGGGGGGACAAACTGCACCATCCCAGTCAGATCCAGACTCAGGATCCCTCTGCATCCATCCCCAGGCACAAAGAGGGACAACTGCCTGTTTTTCCAAGCCCAGAGGACACTGGAGGCAGTGCTGGCAGCTGAGCCTCCATTCCCTGAGGCCCCAAGTGCTGCAGCAGTCTGTGAGCCCAGCCCAGCTTCACAAGCTGGATGGAGATGCCCCACAACCTCTGCCTCGGATGCAGATCCTCAGGGATACACTCAGGGATACGCTGTGCTCAGAAATGCTCTGCTGTGCTCACACCCCTTTAGTTTGGCATCAAGTATTTCCTGCTCACTTTGATAGCCCTGTGATTTTTTTTCCCCTGGTGTCAAGATGGATGAATAATCTCTCTGGCTTTAGGACATACCAGAGCATCGGCCAGAATCATCAGTCCCTCTGTGTTCCAGAACAGGACAGCTTTTCCCACACTGACATCCATGGATAGAGCTCACACCTGGGTAACAATCGAGGGTATTTCCTTCCAAAGAAAGAAATACCTGACAAAGACTGGAAAATCCATATAATTAGATCAAGGAATCACTTCAAGGGCTGGCAACTTCGTTTGAAAATGAGATGTCTGTACTGAGCACTGAACTGTTTTATTTCAGCATGGAAATCACCATTTCAGATCCTTTACTTTCAATAAACGAATACACAGAAGAGAATCCGGGCTATCAGCCCCGGCTTGTAACAATTCAGGGTTTTTCTTGGCTTTTCCAAGGGCATTTATTGCCAGAGTCTGAGATGCTGGCAGGATAAATCTGTAAGCCATGGAAATTACGAGTTTCATGACACACACAATTTATTCCAAACCCCTGACAATAAAATTAAACACAGGAAAGAGCCAGGACTTTCATCCAGCTCCTTAATTACCATCTGGAGTCTGGCAGCTGAAATAAGATCAGACTTTTCTATAGAAAAGAAAAAAGAAATCTGCTATTGCTGTGAGAGAAGAGATGGGACTGCACAAGGAGCTCGAGGGGAGACACAAACATCCCAGTGCAATCAGGATTTATCCCACTGGGGACATGAATCTCTGCACACACAGAGCTGCACAGCACCTCAGCACAGCTCCTTCCAGCACAACAGAAGGAGCAAAAATACCTCACTTTTAGTTCTCACAAACTTTTTGAGACAGGTTCCCTATTTTAGGTATCTCAGCAGCACCCAGCACAAACTCTTGCTCGTGATTAGGCCAAAGGAGGACAGACTCTTCCTCCTCAGCAGATCCAGCTCAGGGGCACATCCTGGGTGCAGTGGGACCATCCCCTCATGTCCCCAGGACTTCTGGAAAATTATTGAAGGAGGGAAAGCCTGCTGGGAACCACATCTGAACCAGGAAGATTTAGTCCAGGGCTGGGACACGTCGGAGCACTCAGGACCTGCCGGGGGGGGTTTGCACATGACAGATGTGAAATGCAAACACATCCCCTGCATGTCAGGAGGGGCTGTTTCATGAGGCTGAAAACAGTTATCAGCCAAGTCACGTGCCAGAGAGAACATAAACAGAAAACAGATCCTGAATATTCTAAATATTTTAACAACGATTTACAAGAGGTCTGAGGAAATTCTACAATCCTGCTGTTAGAATCAAAGCTGTGCCAGTTAAAACATCTGAAAGGTACAGGGAAAAGAGCCAACAAATGAAGAAAACCCCAGTGGTCTTTAAGAGAGGCCAGAAAAAGGCAAGAAACAAGGCCTGAAGAAAAAGCCATTGTCATCAGGACGAGGAAGAAGTGACTTTAAATGCACCAGAGCCTCACACCAAGGCACAGACATGCTGTTTGCCAAAATAAAGGTTTCAGAAACAACAAAGCAGAGGAGGTCAATAAACATTTTGGAGCTGCACTTGAGAAAAAGATGGGTGATAGCATATGATGATGAAATACTCTCTATTTCAACAGTAACTCAGAGAAGCAGTTAACCAGTAATGAAAAGGCACAATATTAAAATGATGAGGTCTGAGTAATGTCCATCTAACAGCGTTAAAGGGGCTGGCCAAGAAACCAACCAGTGCCATCATTTTGTTTCCTCCTAAGTCTTGAAATGTTGCCCAGACCCCGCAGGTGTGAGTGTGACACACTGTCAGGGGTGTATAAAATACTTACCTGCACTTGGGGGGAAACCTTTGGGTGGAGCTGAACTTCAGGAACTGCTCCTTGCTGAGGACTGAAGGGACTGTGACTGTCATGCCATGGGCACAGCTCAGCTCTGGCTGCTCCTGCAGTGGGGACAGAACCTGCCTGTGCTGCTGCCCAGGCCTGGCCAGCTGCTCCCTGAGCTGGTTACTGCTCCTTGCTGCTCCCCTGAGCTGGGTACCTGCTCCTTGCTGCCTTCTCACTGCTCTCCCCTTGTTATTTTCTGTTTGCAGCTGAAGAACTGATCGAGTGAGACAGAAGATCCCCAGGAAAAGGGTAAGTGAGGAATATCTTGTGTTTCACAAGGCAGCCTCATCTATCAGACATGAACAAAACATTCCTAACCCCAGCCTCTGTCTTGTTCCTGCATATTGGGATTTATTTCTCCACCTCTTGCTTAGGGTGATGTGGCAGAGGAAGAACACCTGTGGCCCCTTCTAACCTTATTAATGGAAGTTATTTATAATGGTTTAATATTTTATAAAGATTACTGGCAGGAAAAGCACCCTGTGTGCATTGGAGAGCACACCTGATGTATTCATTGTGAATATAAATCACTGTGGGTTCAACAAGAGCTGGCTCTGTATGCAGGGAGACCAGACACTGGAGACTCTGTCCCTCAGCTCTGCCCCTCCCTGTCTTGAGTCAAAAAGGGCAAAAGCAGCAAGTAACAGTTATGAAGCTCAGGAAAAAAAAAAAAAGAAAAAAGTAATGACTTATGGAAGAATGGCATCGTTCTCATTTTCCATCCTGCTTTTCCCAAAGCAGCGAAATCTCTGAAATGGCAAAACGTGTTCAGCAGCAAGAGATGCAGGAGGAAGGGCTGATTTTGGGTGGTGCTCAGAGAGTGGTTTTCAGGATGAATGATGACTGAACCACCCAGGTCACAGAGCTGGAGTGCCGGGGTCAGGGTTAGGTTTGCAACCCCACGAGCCTTTGGGCAAGTCCCTCCAGGTGTCTCAGTGCTTGTCTGAGTAAAACACACTTGGCTGCTGGTTTTTTCAGATGATCTTTCAGTTAGTCTTTCCTGCATGCCTCAGACCTGCCAAATCCTCGCTGCTGACACCCTCTGTTTATTTACAGATGGACATTGGTGCCAGGCAGCTCCAACAAGGCTTTTAGCAGTCCAGGAACACCACAGAGACAATGAGAGTTCGCCTCAAAGGGGATGTGATCTGTACCCTCCTCCTGCTGGTAGCGCTTTGCTCTTTACTCTACTCCCAGCTGGAACATTTAGTCCCGGCAGGAAACAAGGAGCCAACACAGAAGAAGCCTCCAGTAGCCCCAAAAATCTCCTCAGACCCCCAAGCACCTCAGAGACTGATGCCAGCAGAGGCAACAGCACCCAGACCCCAGGTTACCCCTGTCATCAGACGAGCAGAAGGGGCCAAGAACAGGGTCCAAACTACAACTCCACCCCCGCCGACTGATTCTGCCTTCAACTTCCAGCACTATCTCCTGAACAAGGACCACAGGAACTTCAACCTCCTCATCAACCAGCCCAGAAAATGCCGGAAAACACCCGGGGGGCCCTTTCTGCTCATTGCCATCAAATCGGTGGTTGAGGATTTCGACAGGCGCGAGATCGTCCGGAAAACTTGGGGCAGGGAGGGTTTGGTGAACGGGGAGCAGATCCAGCGAGTGTTCCTGCTGGGAACACCAAAGAACAGGACAGTGCTGGCCACCTGGGACACCCTGATCCACCAGGAGAGTCAGACATACCGGGACATCCTGCTCTGGGACTTCATGGACACCTTCTTCAACCTGACCCTGAAGGAGATCCACTTCCTGAGCTGGGCTGCCGAGTTCTGCCGCGACGTCAAGTTCATTTTCAAAGGCGACGCCGACGTTTTCGTCAACATCGAGAACATCGTTGATTTCCTCAAGAGACACGACCCCACCGAGGACCTCTTTGTTGGGGACATCATCTACAACGCCCGCCCCATCCGTGCCCGGAAGAGCAAGTACTACATCCCAGAGACCATGTACGGGCTCAGCATCTACCCGGCCTACGCGGGGGGAGGAGGGTTCCTGCTCTCCAGCCGCACCATGAGGAGGCTCTCCAGGGCTTGCAGGGAGGTGGAACTCTTCCCCATCGACGACGTCTTCTTGGGCATGTGCCTGCAGAGAATCAACCTCAAGCCCATCTTGCACGAAGGATTCAAGACCTTTGGCATTGTCAAGCCCTCTGCTGCCCCACACCTGCAGACGTTTGATCCCTGTTTCTACAAGGATCTCATGGTGGTTCACAGCCTGAAAGTTGCCGAGGTCTGGCTGATGTGGAACCTGCTCCACAGCCCACGGCTCTCCTGCACTCAGAAGAAGCAAGTGAAGAAGCCTTTCCAGTGGAAAAGGAAAGCTCAAACTACAGCACAAACATCACCCCTCAGATGATGCAGGCAGGCTGCAGCACAAACATGCAGCAAACCAGCTGAGAAAGGGAACCTGGAACTGGTGCAGCCGAACAAACCAACTGCACGAGTATTTTAGCACATCTTATTGTTAAGAGAACACAGCAAACAACTGCAGGAATTTGTCCAAATTCCACATTTGCACACACACGTCATGTAGGTCCTCCTCTATTAATGAGTCCAAATAATCATAGCAATATATGTAATTTATTATTATTTATTAGGATTATACTAGTGGGACACTGTGTAAAAGGACATTGAAAAATGCAGTCCTTGGAGGTTTCTCAGCATTGTTAGAAATGTGAGAAATGAAAGAAGATACAAGGTAAGAGCACAGACAGCAGGGAGCACAGGGATCATTGTCAGCTTGCTACTTGACTTGGGCTCACTGAAAAATGACCAAACAGTAAAGAGGGTAAAGGAAATCAGGTCACCTCAGCGTGGGCTCAGCTGAGGTCACTGCTGCCTGGAGGGTTTTCTGGAGGCCTTGGGAGAACAACCAAGAGCTGCTGAAATGGGGGCCTGTATGGGGCAGATTGGCTGGATTACAAGGAGTCAAACAGGATGCTGAGGCTGGCTGAGCAAAGGACAGGTACACAGACAACTGGGAAGGAACAGACTTCCAAAGGGCCTCTAAAGAAGGACAAGAACTTTGAGCTGATCCCTCTAAGCCTTGATGTTCTGTTACTCCCAGCACTCCTCTGTTCACATTCCTGCTCCACTGACACACTCAGGACTCAGAGGGGCAGTTTTTGACACTTCCCTGAGCTCAGGCTCCCTGCCCTGTGCTGACTGACATTCAGTGAAAACTCAGAAGTCATCCAGCAGTTTTTGATTGCTCTCACCAGCTGATCCACATCTTCAGAGGGTTTTGCCTCTAGAGATCCTCTGGCCTTTGCTTTTAAGGGTAGAACCACACGGAGCTGCTGCTTGCGTCACATTTGGGAGCTGCTTCAGACTTGTCAATGGACTGGGCTGGTTTCTCCAGCCCTCTTGCTTGGCACACAGTCAGCTGCAAAGAGCAGCCAAGACTTTTCATGCTGCTGTGGGTGTTGTGAAGGGAAAAAGCACTTTTCAGACCAAAGGGCTTCAGAATAAAAGCCCGTCTAAATTTACTGCAAGAAATCAAAACCACACAGCAATCTTTCTGCTGGGATTTCCAAGGTCCCAACAGTAACTTCTTAACTATTTTAAGCATCAGACAAGAACACTGGATTACATAGTTTTTCAAAGTATAGTGAATACTTTGCATTTTGTTTTTTCCAACAGTAGACTACCTTAAAAGAATATCCTTTCTTTAGACATCAGAGCAGAAGTAAATTCCTCTAAATCAGGGTTAAAAAGCTACTAAATTCATGGGGCAAAGAGCCTGAATTAACCTTCGATACTGTGTTTGTTAGTTCTTTTGCAGTTTTTTCCCCCTCAAAAAAAAAACTCCATCAGAGAACCCCCAGTGCCACATGAACACAGCTTCAGAGGAAATTACTATCAGTCACAAACATCCAGGAAGCTGCTGTCCCTTGAACAGAGCCTGCAGCACAGCTGCATTCCATCCCTGTGCAGAGCCTTCCTCCCCCCCAGCAGCAGTTCAGGCTCAGGACTTGTCCCAGCTGTGCATGGAGCACTGGGACACTGCTGGTGTCCACTGGGACATTATTAGCAACAGTCTCACATTTTCTTAATCTTCACCATGAATTTAAGCCTTACAGTAATGTACTTCCAAGGAAAGGTCAGCTGTATAGGAATCAAAAGATTCCTGCATTTGGGATCTTTTCAAGATGTGATCCTGAAACACAAAATGCTCACAGGAGCTGCACAAGGAGCTCTGCAGGGAGTGGAACTGAGCCAGAGCCTTGCTGGTGGGAGAAAGTCACCCTTGCCCCTGTCTGCTACCATGTGTGATTCTTGTGTATTTGTGAGCTTGTACAAGAATGTATTACCTGTGATTAGTTTACAGTTTTGGAAGTTATTTATACCACAATTAAAGGACAGCATGCAGATGTGGCTCTGGATGTTGGAGTGAGTCTGTCAAGAACACCTGCACACACGTTGTAAGACTGATACCTCAGGGATTTTTCAGGAAGACATTAACATGAAAAATGCATTATTCATTATTTTGGATAACTTGGTCTTTCCTTGTGCTGGACTTGATTTAATGGCAATGACAGAAAAACAAACATGGCTTACCTTCCCATTTCCTACAAGGCAGCTGTTCAGGCTCAGCAGTCCTTAGTAAGATCTTCCTCTTAAGCTCAGAGATGCACAGATTGGCTCCTCCCTCTCTACTGTCTCCAGATCTGCAATCTACCACAGCACAGCATTAATGAGTGCATTTTGTCCCAGATCAAAGTTGCTGCTCAACATCTGTGTTGACACAGTCTGTGCCAGCACATAGCCTGAGAGCTGGCAGAGCCCAGACCAGAGCAAACTGTTTGCTCCACTGTCTCAGGCTGGGGAACAGCTCATTTCTTTTATCCAGTGGTTACTAAATCGAGTCTCTGCTAATGAAAGATACATCTGCTTTTGTTCTCCAGCCTCTGCTGCGTGGCCTGTTTGACCTGGCTTTAAGTTCCCATTTGCTTCTGCAGTTGAGCAGGAAGTTCCCAGCCCTGTGTGTGAGCACAGAGCTCTGGGGATGCTGGAGAGCAGGGCTGCAGCCCCTGCAGTTCAGGACATTCCACTTACTGCTGCAGCAGGCAGAAAATCTTGGACTTCACACAAGCTGGAGATTGTTTCCTAGAAGATGAGGGCCTTTTCAGAAAATCCTAAACCCTTAGGTGTGCATGAGAGCTGGCAGGAAGGACCCTCTACTGACCTTTCTGATGCACCTCAGAAAAACAAAACCATCCACTTCAGAGTGACATTCTGAGTAGCCTTAATTAACTGGCTAATTCAACACACCAGTCATGTCTGCTAAAAAGCCTTGCTTGGCAATTTTTTTTCATGACTAACCTATGATGAGAAAACATAAAAACATCCCAAGGGGGTTCCGCCAGTAGCAAGAAAAAGCAAAGCAGAGTTTCTCAGGACAGGCACAGACTTCTGAAATTAATAAAGTACAGTAGGTTTTATTGAATCCCAGGGATCCACAGAGAGTCATGTTTTATTCCTACTGTACATAAGTAGCCAGATTTGGTCACTCTGACAAGCAGAGCTGGCTTGAACCTCACATTCAACACCTCGAGTGCATCTCTGGACACAGGAACTGGTAGCGAGGGCCAAGTTCTGTCAGTCGGTCAAGCCACTGCAGGCTCAGCATCATCAAACAGAAAGCCAAAGATGGCTTGAGCAATGGAGTGGTAAAATCTTGTTCTTCCTGTCTGCAGTTTAATTATTCATCTCTCTGCAGCAGGTTCTCGGAAGCAAACCCCAACTGCAAATTCAAACAGCACAAAATAATCAAACAGCTCCGAGAACCCTCACTGAATGTTAGCACGGAGAACATTCCCTGGAGAGAGCTGAAAGACCATCAGATCAGAGAGAAAGAGTCCAGCCCAGAGCCCAGTTTGCAGAACTGCCAGTCTCCTGGGCTGTACCTCTTCCAGCTGGAGCTGCAGGTCTCAGCAGCCCAGAAAATGTCCACGTCTCTTAACGATGCCACAAACTCCATGGACAGTGTTAAAAACCAGTAGAACTTTTAAATATAACTTGTCATTACTTTCTAGGCTTATGAAAGAAAACCATACTGAGAGATGAGAGGGGAAAGTAAATCCCAAAGAAGGAGCACATCTGAGTCCCTCCAAGAGTGGGAAACAGCTCCCTCACTATTCCTGACCAGCCCAATGCTCCCTCCAATCCATCCAAACCCAGCTCATGGATCTTCTCTCTCTCTCCCTCACTTTCCCAGCCCATCTGTTGAGAAGCCCTGTGCTAAAAACAGGGAAAAAGTATGAAATAACACAGGTCTGCAGCAACAGCCTTGTCCCAGGGGCTGACTGAGCTGAGTGGGAATCAAGGCATGATATTAAAACAAATGGTGTCTGTAGCCATGGAGGCAGAAGAAAGGGGTGAAATGACCTCCACAGCCTCTAGACTTGTGGATGCAACAGAGCTACCAGTGAGGGATGGGGTAAACTCAGGATTTCAGGGCTGCAGTTCTAGGAGAGATGAGCAGAGGTGAAAAGGGAATACAGTGAATCAGAGTGTTTTGATTATTTCATTGATTAGACTGCACGTTGCATAATCATGCAGGGGTTTCTGTGATTGGTATTTACACTAAATGTCTCTCTGAAGGATAATAATACTGGCATGAAACATGCACTCAGTGGAATATCTGGTGTAGGTGTGAAACATTAAGGCATTTAACACCAGCTTCCAGAATTGCAATATGCAGTACTTTAAAATAACTGAAGGAGTAACATTTAAAGGGGAATTCATTAGTGTATCAAAAGGAAAAGATTACATTAAATCATTACAACCAGTCCAGAACAAAAGTTACTGTCACAATGCTATCTTACACCACAGTGAGTGACCTGCTCTGCAAACTCCAGCTTACCTTTCCTGCTGTTTCAAGCACTTGGTATTCCCAGATTACCAGAAGGAATGATTTTGCCTGCTGGGAAAACAGACACTCCTGCAAACACCACAAAAGCTTTGGATGTAAGGTTTGGCAGACAAAACATTTAAAGTGACTTTACTATTTACAGCAGAAGTTCACACAGGTAAAGAATATGATATTTGAGTTGCCCCCGAACCCTCCAAGTAACACAGCCCAGCAAAACAAAATCCCTTTGTGGGGCAGTTTTCACTCTGAGCTGGTTCCATCATGGCCTGTGACAAAGCCCCCTGATTCACTAACTCTACTCACTTCCCCTTGTCTTGCTTCAACCTTCTCTCAGAAACATCCTGGGCCACTAAAAGAACCTTTACATGAAAAGAACCAACCAGAACCAACTTGTACTTTAACTCCCCAGGCACACAAAGTGAGGTATTTATTTGGCTACATGTGCTGTGTCAGGTTATGTGTGACAGAGTCACAGAGGAGGCTTTGCATTGGTGTACTCACAGTAAAAAAAAAAGAAAAAGAAAAAGGTGTTCATTGGGCAAAAGTTGAAATGGACCACCTGTAACCAGCATGGAATATTGTTTCCTACAGCATGACACCAAGAATTATTCCGAACTCAAAGACCTATGAAACACAACCAGCCCACGTGAAATTGTGCCAAATCAGACAACTTGGTCCTTGCCCAAACACTCTGAAGCAAGAAAGCACTGAGGGTTTGGACACAGCACTTCTTTCCAGGAAGAGCCACACTGACTCATACCTGCAGGTTCACTCTCAATATACACCTTGAGCCATCAAACACAAAACCTCACAGAAGCCCAACTTGGCAGTCAAGTGACTAACAGGCTCCAACAACAGGCACAAAGCCCATGTGAAGTGGGCAGCAACACCCAGGATGTCCCTTTGGACCACACCAGCTGGCCCCCAACCTCCAGCCAGCCCCCAGGAACAATGAATCACCATCTTCTCATAATGCTGAGCCCCAGGAAAGATTTTGTTTTAAACAGGTTTGATGGGAGCTCTGGAATATGAACGGTCATGAGCGCATGAATCAGTTCTCACACACCACCTGATCACTATTTCAGCAAAAAAAACTGTTTAGAATTACAAGTGTGACAGCTCCCAGCAGCAGCAGATCGGGTTTTCTCTACAGGAACTGCATTTTGGGGAACAGAGGGTTCTAGTGTTACACAGCAGCACTGATCTGTGTAGCACTGCCTGTAGTCTTCAAAGGAGCCCAGGGACTGCTTGCAGGCCTAAAGAACACGGGAAGAAATGTCAGCTTCACCTCCAAAAAGAAGGGCAGTTTTATTAGGCGTAAACAAATGAAATTCTGTGGAAAATATTGCAATATTCAAGTTAAGCAGACACACACATAAACTCTTCATTTCTTTACAAAGGAAAAAGGCACACATCAAAATATGCACTGCGTGTTTTATTAAAAATGCAATTGTACTTAACTTTATATCAAGCAGTTTTATCACATGAAACCAAAATGATGGACCAATGCACATGTTGCCAACATGCAGGATCTGTATCAAACCACACATAATTCTGAGAAGGAACAAGGGCACCTGCTGAGATGGGATCTGATGCAGCCCAAACCTCATTTCCTTGGGAGGGGAAGGTGGTGATCTCCCCTGGCAGAGCTGGAGGTGGCACACACTGCACCCCGAGCAGCCCTGTGCACAGAACACCTTGTGGTTCACACCAGCTGCCCTGTGCCAGCCCCTGCTCCTTGTCACACTGCCATCCTCACCTTCTCCCCCAGAGATCCTCTGTTCCCTAGTCCTTGTTCTCTTCTTTCTGGTGCTTCAAAACCACCATCAGTCCCCTCCACCCACTCCTAAACTTTTCATGCCAGTAAGTCCTTACCTGCTCCACAGCAGCTTCCCTAATGCTTTAGCACAGGAACAGCTTGGCTTGGTTCAGGCCAAATAGGAGCAAACATCTCAGAGGAGTGAGCTGTGAACAGCTGCATTCACAAGGGAAGGGTGAGGGAACCCAGAGGAGCTGCTCCAATCTCCCTGGGTGCTCCTTCAGATCTGCCTCTCCCCAGAGTCCAAGGCTTTGTGCTCAGCCCAGCAGCAGCAGCCAGGAGGCAAAGCTGCCTTTGATTTTTTGTCTGGGCAGAGAAATTTTCAGTATGAAGGGACTGACCTAGAGAAGAGTCTGGGTTGTCAGGAGAGCTCTGTTAATTACCAGCACTGTTTTAGTCACTTGGACACACCAGAGCATTACAAGTGAAGATGGGAGTCCCAGTAGCTTACACACCTTTGGTGCTGCTCCTGCCCTAAGGCTCGGGGTGCACACTACAGCAGCAGGCCTGACCTCACTCCTCTGAAGAATTTCAATATGCTTGAGAGAAGGATATTGGCAGCATCTGCACAGCCATTAGTCAAATATTCCCATCAAGGATTTATCTCCTCTTGCAGCTTTTGTGGAGCCTTCCTTAGAAAAGGATTAATTAAAATTAATTGAAGTTAGCATCAGGATTGCTGTCATGTTTTAGCAACAAGAATAAGCACTCACACCACCTCAATTCAGAGATCACAAACCCCTGCAGGAGCACACTGAGCCAAGCACTAAGCAAGGTCATTTTACATTCCAGCACCCAGGGATGTGTGAGGAGGGCCCAGTGCTCCACCCTGCATTACACAGCCAGTGTGGAGGAATGGAAACAGGAGTCCCATTCCTCATGCCCTGTGTCGACTGGGAGCCACTGCAGGGTCTGCAGAGTCCCTGTGCTCTCCTGAAGCACCTCAGGGCATGGGAACACAGAGAATTCCCATTTGCTGCTGTCACTGCAGGCATTCCCTCCCTCCTGCTGGGCAACATTCACACTCCTGGGAGCTCCATCCATCCCCATGATCCCAACAGGGACAGGAGCAGAACTGCCCTTCTGAGCACAGTGAGAACCCACCAGGCCATCCACCAACTCCACACCTCAGGGCCAACACCTATAAAACACTTCCACATATCTGCCAGGAAACAGACTGCAAGCTGTTAGTTACTGTTTCTTTGGAGAACACACTGAATTGGCTATAGAGGAAGAACACTAGTCAGGTACTTCAAATATGATCTCTGAAAGACAGTAAAATAAAAAGAACTATTCGATAAGAAAAAAAAAAGCAAGAACATCCATGATTTTATTACAAAAACACCCAGCAACTGTATTTAACACAAAAACAGTAACTGAGAGTCTCTTTTTATTTTTCTTTCAGTGTACATGCTCATTATTATTCCATTTAATTTACAGAAGGGCTATGTAAAATGAAATTAAAATTAGAGAGGAAACAAAAAGGAAGGTTGAGGCATAGAATTTTCTTAGCAAGCAACGATCACGGGAGACAGCACAGATTGAACAGGGATTCAACAGGAGTGACACCTAGGGATAAAGGTAAACAGTAACTTTTTCCTTATCCATTAGATTTTCCATGGGGCTTTTTTGTTTGTTTTAGCAAAACAGTTTAGAGTATCACAGTATACAGGAAGACTAAATGGCAAAGAACATCTCACACACACACACATTTATCCCTGCTACTGGTCCAGGATCCAAAACTTCAGTTAACATTCGATTTCCTATCTCTCATTCATTGATAAACTATACAGGATTACACTGTACATGGAGTTAAAATTACAAAAATGTCATATTTACAAAAATCTGTACACACATAGTAAAACTCACAAAATTGTCATCTATGTATCACAAGTTGCGACACCAAAATATTAAAAATGGGATAAAATTATACATTTCTCTTGTCCATTTTTAAAAAGGGTTCATTGTTTCAAAGACAGACCATCTATTTCTCCCAAATAAGACTGGTAAGAGAACTAGAAACCTAAAGTATCCTCCTGGGATAAAATGTCGCGAGCAGCATCTCCCAACTAGAAAGAAGCCTCTATCCTGTCTGCTGGGGTGGGGTGTGCAGTTAGCATTTATGTACAGAAATGGTGGAACTACAGCAAGGATGTCTTTGGCTAAACCTTTGGCATAAATTAAAATCACGCATCAGAAGTTACAGAAAAGGTTTTCCTGGTGATGGCAGAACTCGGGGATTTCTGTCTGAGATACCATTATATACAGCTCCTCTTTCTCTAAGGAAATAGAGTAGGAATAAAGGATTTTGCAACAGAGGCAAATGAGGCAACATTATTTCTTTGTTAAATTTTTCACTAGTATGAAAAATTGTATCAAATCTTTTCACTAAAACATAATTCAATCATAGAAATAACTTCTTCCAGAATTTTTTTTTTTTTTGAAACTGCGTATGAAAAAAAATTAGTAAACCAGCCATGAAAGAAAAAAATTGTATCAGCATATCAAGTACATATTAGTGCAGGAAGGTGGATAAATCTGATCCACTGTATAAATAAGCTTTATGCGCAGTGTACATTAAATAACCATCACACCCCACTCACACCCAGTACACAGATGCTCCTCAGTGAAGATAAACATTTATCAAGTAATTAAAGTGTATGTAGTGCAAATGTTACAACCAAGTATTATGCACATGCTACTTGCTTGGTTTAAAGTTACACGAAGATGTGGTGCCTGAAATCATGGACATATATACATCCTTGTCACACTTGGTACAATGTCCTAAGCCACAGAAATACCGAGGTGTTTATATCTATATATATATACACACACGTTTTTCTTAAAATGTGACCACCACATCAATACAGTAACACAAACAGACTAAAAATCAATACCTGCTTCCAGATGCTCCAAGGCTCAGAAAGTTTGTGCTTCTAACTCTTGCAGTCATTATGTGCCCCTCTTCCATTTCCCCCTTCTGCCAGCTGAGAAGGAGGGACAGTCTCTTCAGGTCTGTGCTGCATAGGACGAGGGCAACGGAGAGGAATAAACGACGGCACAGGCACCTAAGCTGCTTTCCTCCATCACCAGTTCCATGCCCCATGATGAAGGGTTGAGAGAATCCCCTCTCCACCCCGCTCCTGGGTGGAAAGGCTTATTGAAAAAAAAAAAAATAAATCATAACGTGCTTTCCATATTATAAGTGGCAGCAAATCAAGGCACGCTGTACTAATTGTGTAGCATTGAGATTAGCTGACTCTGCAGGGGAGGCTCACTGGGGGAGGTCCGACGTCCTCAGCTGGCTGCTGGGCCTCGTGGGGCCGTACAGGGTGACAGAGGCTATGTGATTATTCTGCATCACCTGCAAAGGCACAGCAGGACAAGGGCAAGTTAAAAGCACTGGCACACAGAACAGAAACCCAGAAGGGTGAAAATGGTGAATATGGGACTGACCCACCCGAACAAAGAAATCCCAGAGACAGAAAGCAAGCGCTTGGCTGGTTCCTAAAAGTTTTTAGTTCCTAAAAAGGGTCTCTGGATTTCTGTGACACACCTAAACACCAGCATGCTCCACCACTGCTCAGAGCCACGGACATGTACCCCCTGCTAGCTGACAAAGTTCCAGCTTTAACATGCAAATGTACAACCTCAGAGAAGAGCTTAGAAAGTCACCTCTTTCTGCCAGTAGGCACTAAAAATATGGCCACTCCCAAGCACTGGCTTCTATTACAATGGGGAGTAAGAGGCCAGTCATAGTAACAGCAAACTCTTCACTCTCCCCTGCTCAGACAAAAATAAAGGTTTTTTCCTAACCTCAAAGATCATTCGTTGCAGTCCAAAGCAAAACGTTGACCCGAATGGGTTAGTGTTGTTCGGAGATGATGACCTGGGCAGGAAAGAGGGGGAAAGAAGAGTTTAAAAATGGATGTGTGAGGATCAGAAACCCCTCGGGGAAGAATAACTACTCAGTCATGTAAGGTAAATTACAGCATCTTTATCATGGCTTTCATCAAAAGAAAGTAAATCTACATTACACCACTGCTAGACTGCAAGTGAGCCAGAGGACAGCCCTGCTTAATGGCAGAGCCATTGTTAATACTCAGGGAGAAAGGAATCAAAAAGCTACTAGTGACCTCTACAGGAAAACTCTCTTGCACTTCACTTGAACAGGAAGAACCCTAAAAAATAAATAGATCCACAGGAAGAGAGAAGCACCATGGAACTTATTACACATATTTTTTGTGCAAGATCCTTCCCTTTATGTCTCAGCCCCTACCATAGGTATTTACCATATATAGTCTATTATTTATATTTACTATATACTGTCTATTAATCCATGGGTTTCAGCATGTAAAAAAAGATTACCCTGTAAGATGCTGAAATAGAATAAACCAAGTTTTACTAAACAGTATTTTTCAAGATCTATGGATCACTTGTCCTTCAGCTATTTCTGACATTTTTGTATCATATATTGACAATGGCAGACTTCTGTTGACTGCAATGACTCTGCAAACAGAAATGCCCATTTAACCCAATATCCAGCTCAGTTCCTGCAGAAACAGAGCAAATTTAAGGACTATTGTATTTTCAGGCAGCCTAAAATAACTGTGGAACAACCATGGTATCATATACACTAGCATATACATATATACTGTGCTGTAAAATATATTGTTGAAATGCCTAGAAAAAGTAAAAAGACTCTGCACTAAATATTACTTATAAAGAGAGAGACTGTTTTATATGCTGCTTAGCTCTTCTCTGGATTTAGCAGTTCAAAGGAATTTTGGAAATGCTTTCATGCAGCATGGCAGTTTATTTCCTCTGAGAGCAGCTATCTAGTCTTGTTAGTGGCCAAAAACGCCTGAATCTTTAACCAGCAAAGCAGTGCAAAAGTAACTAATGCAATAAACACTATTCCTCATCCTCTGTTATCAGCTCAATCCCTGCTAAGCAAAATAAAGAGAGAGATTTTTACCTGTGAAGTACCACTGGCTTCTCTACAGGGTGCCCCAGTAGATCCTGAATACTGTCCCACTGTAAATACATCAAGAACTTTGTGTTAAAATGAGGCACAGCAAAACTCTTCTTTTTATCTAGGAAGAGTGTTGAGTACATTTGCTCGTGACATGCTCATTTCCCAAACATCCTCAAGGGTTGTATTTACAGAAGTATTTTGTGACTGGAGCCATATTCAGTAATGGAACCATCCATTACTAAGGTTAGGAATTTCTCTCAGGGTATTTCTCATGATTGTCTAAAACCAGCCTGGAATTAGAATTATTATTATAAAAAATCCTATGGGTCTTATAGGTAAAATGTAGCTGGAAAGTCTTGTAGCATTTCAGGAGCACCTCAGAGAACAGAGCAGCTGTGGGAACAAAATATCCTCTTACACACCTTTATAGAAGGGAAAAATAACACTGTTCCTACCTCTCCCAAAAGTCTTTCCTTGATTTAAGCAACAAGACTGAAGAAGAGAGCTGCACTACTTAGCATTTGGGAATGAGTTTTCCTCACTCTAACCAGAATCTAAGAAGCTGCAGTTTCACACACAAGACTGAAATAAATCAAAGCACTTTGAAGGGTCTAAGTGATCCAACCAAAAAGCACAGAATGGCAGCTCCCTCGTTGCTGACTCCAATTTTTCTTCCCAGTATGGGACCCAAAATTCACCAAGGAAAGCCCTCATTTGGCACCCCAGGAGCCAAGAGAGCAACACTGACCTTGGCTGAACGTTAACTGCAGAGACACTGCTGAGCACAGCTTTTGAGAAGCTTTTCAACTTAATGCAGCTCTCAAATATGCAGCAAGTGCCCAGCTGGGAGTTTCCTTTAGGTGGAAAGGCTAAACGGTCTCCAAGGACTCTGCTGTCACCAGGAGGTGTCACAGTGACATCTTTGTCAGGGCTGCCTGAGGAACAGCCCATTACTGACACCCTTCAGAAGGAAGTGGAAGGGCACTGGACTGTCTCGTTGAACACTACGTGTCTTTAAAAACTCTCTTTAGTAGAACAGCTCTGAGAATTTTGTTTAGAGACATGTCTTCCAGTTAACATTCAGCCACCACTGCTGTCATCTCCCAGATCACTTATTCTACTGTTCTCCTTCTACCTGCAGCTATGTTAAAATGCAAGCCATGCCACAATGCAATAATTTGCTTTACTTGAAGAGTGCAATGTCTTCAATCCCTAACACACCAAAGCATTTAAATCACAAAACATACTCTAACTTCTGGCCTTCAACTATTCCATTTTAAAACAACATGATACCACTGCTATCATTTCTTAAGAGTGTATTGTAAATTTGGCATAGATCATTTACATGGCTTAAAAAAATAAGGAAGACACTCAGCTCTGCACAGACTTACCTTGCTGTATGTTGTACATGTTTCTGTCTGTGAGTCAGCACTGTCTGTTGAAGAGAAACAAAAAAGCCTTTATAGCTTGTGCTTGAAGAGTCCCCTGTATATTCCTTTATTTTGAGATGTTAGCTCAGGTAGGAGGAGACATACATCTGTTCACATACAAATTTACTAGCATTTACTAGCAAACAGAATTGTCAGTAACACTGATTAAATGCCAGTTAAGGTGATTAAACAAACCTGCCTATTTCCAGCAAGTTCCCAGTTCTAAGATTACAGATGTGTAAGCTGTAACTCCCGTGGAAGAACAGCACTGTAAAATAAACTCCATCTCTTTGCACCAAGTTAACAGGCCTAGAACAGCCACTTGTGGAGATAACAGGACGTGTCACTCCTTAGGTCCAAACCACTCCGCTGCACTTGGAAAGGATGCCAGCTGAGACTGGCATTGTGAGACCCAGGAGCTGGCAGGCCTGAAATCAGCTAAAACACCCTCTTTTCAAACCAAGGATGGCAGAGAGCTTGGGAATTGCAGCCTGCCTAGCAAAGAAAGCTGCAGGTAAGGACAGCACTGCATTTACACTTACAGCCTTAGAAAGAAACTGTTTGCTGGTGGTTTCAAGCACTTTCATACATATATTTGAGTACTCTAAATACTGAAAGCATGTTCCCATGCACTAAGCAAGTTGAACACAGCTTTTGATCAAGTTAAAGACCATTTGCTCCTCTTATTTTCCACCTGCTAAATAAACATGCTCTCTGTGTGAGAGTTCAGTGTCTGTGCAACTTCAACTCTGGCTCTCAATTTATTGTCTGATGTTGAACTACTAAAGGGAATTAACAAAACTGCATCAGGCACTGCCACTAGAGGGAAGAAGTTGGGCTTCTCAAAAAGGTTGTAACATCTGTTTACAACTTGTTACATGTCCTGAACATAAGCTAGAGACCAGAAAGGTGAGTTAAAAATGCCAAACAAACAAAAACCCAGACACATTCAGAAGAAATTCATGACGCTACTTGAGGTGAATGAAATTATTCAGAAATGAATGCTTTGAAGTACTGTACAATAACCTAAGGCAAAATAATTTAAAAAGTGAGAATTTTCATGCTTATTATCTTGGCTGAAGTACAAATCAACTTTCATATAAAGCTTGTATACACAGCCATTGTTTTTTCAGGTTTTTAATCCTCCATATGCTCAAAGTGCTGTGACAGCCACAGGAGAGCTCCACTTCACACAGGAAAGTGTTTTCAGTGAAAACCAATGGGAACAGAGAAAGCATCCCTGGCAAAAAACCCAGCCAGCATGTGGTATTCCCAGGACAATCAACACACACACCTTCCCAGGACACATTTATTCCTACATTAAAGGAATCTTCAAACAGGGTTCCCCTGCTTTGTTGAGATGAGTTACATGCACAGAGCTGGGGACATCTTTTGCCAAATCAGCATTACTGATTATATATGTATTTTTTTAAAGTGGAGATTTTCAGGTGAACAACAACAGCTATATTTTGTTTACAGCACGCAGAGCCAACGTACTCTGGATGTTTATTCTCGTTCCCAGCTAAACCAGTTTATATTAAATATCACAAATAAGCCTTTCAAGAGCAAGCCAGCACTAGATCAGTGGACTGGACAGATGAGCTCAGACTAACACTGCCTTACAGATTTTGAGCCTCCAGGTACAAGGCAGTTGCTTTTAACTGAGGGGCAGTATTACAGAAAATTAGTGATGTTGCAGCAAATATTTGTGTGCTCCAAATAAGTAAACAAGGTAGTGTAAATAAAATCATAGAATTGCTAACTGCCCTGAAGTATCTTTTCCACTTAAATAGAAAGTCCCAGAATTTCTCCTCTGCCTCAATGACCACAGCATCCTCTGGCAAGGAAGGACACATTGGAAATGAGAAGTGATCCCCCTCCCCTGGGAGCATTTTGAGGCAGGACAGCAGGGGAAACACTCACCTCGCTTAATGACGAGGGGAATCTTGAATTCACAGCGATGGTAACTAGAAAGTGCAAATGGGAAAGCTGTTAGAAAACACAGGAGCCAATATAAACTGCACAGCCACAGACTCCTGGCTCTTAATAACCCACTTCAGGAAGAGTCACATGAATAACAGAATGGAAGTGAGAATCTATGAGAGCAGATTAAGCTCTCAGATCTTCTACATCAAAAAATGCAGCAGCCTAGCAATGTCCTAACACAATTTTCTAGAGGACACAAGAAGTCCTTCAGCACAAATTACTCTGCTGTTACACAGAGTGGATGGAGAAATATTTAGCTTAGAAGCAGCACTACAGATTTCTCTGTCACTAACTGCATTAATCAGACATCAAATCACTTATTCTTTGACTCATACTCCTCCTCTAAAGAGTTTACATTTAAAAAGTATTGAAAACATCTTCAGAAGCATAAGAGAATTTTTTTAATCACTAACTGACCAGTAAATGGATGCTCCTGCTAATATGAAGTTTGCCTCTAGCAAGAGTTAGCACATTATAGCTGGACCAAGAGCTGCCTGACCTCAGTCACTGCTTTAAGACATACTTGACAAAGGCATTGAAAAGTAAGAAGAAAATATTAACAGAAAATGTTACTAATGATGTCTGAAACCTCCACGGGGTACCAGATACACCAAAGACACTTAGGAAAAAACACTGGAATTCTAAAAAGGGAACATAAGATTTCCCTTTCAGATGTTTTAATGTACTCTTTAAGAGAGCAGTTCTGCACACTCACATGTTAAAGTTGTAATGACCAGGATAATTTGTATGCAGGACAAATTTCTTCACCTTGTGAGTGTTTGCATCAAAGAGAATATCCTGTTGAAGACAAAGGAAGACAGGTGAAGCAATTTGGATAAAGGAAGATGGCTTTCCCCAAACTAACCTGAGATTAGTTATAATAGTACCAGTATAGAGTAACATATATCTCCCTCACTGAAACTGAATGGAACTATGAAAAGCAGCATTTGAAAATAAAACTATTTGTAAATTCAAATAAACACACATCTCCTCCAGCACTCAATCACAACTGCAGCTTCACCTGCTAGTGCTGGCAAGTTTTCTAAGGAGGTCTTGTTTTTCTGCATATTATTTACAGGAACACAGACTAAAGCAAAACAGTTGTAAGGAGGGACATGAAGACTGAACCACAGCCCACAGCTCAGCAAACTTTCACACATGATGTTATGGCACAGCTGCCTCAGCACTGTGGGATAAGGCCATGGGTCTCAAAGAAGAACTAATACACTTATGCATCAGGCACTGTAGAAAAGGGAGAAAACCTAAGAAGATGCAAAAGTGCACAGAGCCCTCCATCCACTGGTGGAGATAAAACATGACTGATGAAATCTGTCTTAGAGAAAAGTCAGTGTAGCTTTTCATATCAAAACATTCCTAAGGCAGCAATCAAGAGTTTTGCAGTCTCTCATTTCCCACAGCCTTCAGCCTCTTGAGAGGATTGCTGTGTAACTAAATCAAAAACTTCATATGAATTGTTTAGGGAAACTCCCCACTCACCACTCCAAGTGTGAAATAATTGAAGAAGTAGTCATTGCACTTCGATGGGACCTGCTTATGGGGCGAGGGGGAATGGATCTTCATCTGCAAGAAACACATTTTTCAGATATATTCAATAACACTCAGAGATGAATGTCATTAACAACATCACTACATTTAAACAAACTGCCACGGTGTCATTTGAAGCCCTTGTTCAAATACGTAAGATACTGTGCCTGCAGGTGACCATCACCTGTTTGCAGCAGCACAATGACACATCAGCTTACTCAGTTATCTGAATTAAAAGGTTTGCTTACATGCTGCTGTGTAAAAACATTAGCAAAGGATCAAAGTATATGCTGAAGTTACTGCACATGAACTATAACTGAAGAAATAGGCAGCACACACTTGCTAAGGCATGTTTGGATTCAAAAGTGCTCCCATTTGTATCAATTCTTAAACCAGTTAAAATGATGCAATTAGATTTTTTTTAAAAAAATTTAAACAGATTGGCACCAAATCAGCTTAAAGAAAAGCTTTTTAAAACCTGTTATATATTGGTTCATCCTGGTCTATTGTGTCAAGTGAAGCACTTGTAATTTGTGCTCCATGGCAGTCAAAACACAAGCCCTGCGATGAGGCTGAGACACCACTGACCAAAGTGCTGTGCCTGAACCAATTCCCTCAATTCCCTCACCTTGTCCTCGGACTTGTAGAAGACTTTGTGTGGGGAGCCCAAGGTGCTGAGCACGTCCTGGCACGAGTCGCCGAAGTACACGCAGCGCTCGAATACCCGCATCTTGGCGTCAGCCAGAACACCTGGGCCACAGCCTGGGGATGGAAACAGCTCACAGTGCATCCCTCCTCATCACAGAACACATCAGGAAAGCAACACCAAAGGGGCAGCATTCCTCTGTTTATCACAAACCAAACAGCTGCATTCCTCAGACAACGGTGCCAAACTAAACGTAACCGTGCACTCCACAACAGCTTCGACATTCCTCTCACACTGACACATGTGCTGACTGCTGGATGGTTCCCCATTTTAACCTCCAATTTCAGTCATACTATCTTCACTTACTTGCCTTTCACATGAACAGGACTTGGTTTTCTAGCTGGTCTCAATTTGATCAGATTAGCACTAAATTATTTCTCATCATCATCGTGGCTAGGCTTCGCGAACGAAGATTTGGGAAGGGCTCTACCCACGTTTGTTGCAATAAATTATTTCTATCTCTAAAATATTCTACTTTAGCAGTCTAGAGATATATCTCCAGCTAAAAATGTCAATCCCATAAAGTGAAATTCTGTATCCATATTAACTGTATCACAAAACATTCTTTAATTCCAGATTCCCATAACTCAGTAAATCAATAGCAAGTATGTTCCTGCACAACGTTAAAACCAGGGATCTGTTTTATTCTACACACACATCTGGGGACAAATTCAAGTTCTGCAAACAGACCCTAAGGAGTTGGAACATCTGAGCACAGGACTACAGTTCCATGATTTCTCCAGGGCCAGGAAAACGTGGCAGCAGGCAGATTCAACTTCACAAGGTTTTTACTGGTTTTGTTTCCAGTAGTTCAAAATAAGGCAGATAGAACACTTTGAAATCACCTACAGAATCATGACAAATAACCTGTGCTTAATTTATCCAGGTTTACCCCTGTTTTCCTGAGGAAAGCAGCCAGTTCAGTGTTCTGGGTGTCTCCAATACCTGCAGTGAGGAGGCGAAGCCGTAAACCTGAGGGTCCAGTTCCATCTCGCAGCACATCAACGTTCTCGGCGTACACATTGCCAAGGAAACAGCTGAGAGGCATCAGGGGAGCCCTGAAACCAACCACACAAAATGGGCACAACGTTCACTTCAGCTGCAAATTATCCATTAACAAGCTGGTGCCAGTTCACTGGAACAGAGCACAGTAATTCTGACAAAGCTGCGTTTAACTGAGACTAAAGATGAAAAGTTATATTTAACAGAAGGATCAGAAAGTCTGGGGAAAAAAGAAGAGGAACAAGACAGCACTCCAGTGCAGGATCTTTACTATCCATGAAACAAACAGCAAGTTTCAAAGCCTTCTCCATGATGCTCTCACTGCTCTTGGGAAGGTATTTCATAGCCCAGAACATGAAATCAGCTTGTACAGCTACACCAAATGCAATTGTGCTGCTTACTGGGAAAGTTCTCAATTTAATTCAACAACAATATTATTTTAGAACACAGTAACAGCCCCAAGTAAGATATTTTCAATAGAAAGGCTGTTTTTCTGTGTATTAGTTTGCACATGCTCCTTAAAATTCACTGTTCTTATGTGAATTCCTCCTCCAGGTGAATGACTTGAGCTACAAGTCTGGCTTTGAGCTCCCTCACACACACACAGCAGAGCCCCATGTGACAATCAGTGCTTTCACTAAAGCCCACCACGTCACAGATGGGTACAGACAACAGCATTTTTCTGAAGTGCACTTATTTCTAATTAGGAGACAATATGCATAAACAAGGTTCCCCTCCTGAGCAGTAATACCAGGATGTGTTTCTCTCCTGGCATTAAAACAACTGTCTCTGCAAAAACTACCACCTTATCAGTTTGGATATTTATAAGCTGAAAGGAAGAATTTACAGAAGTGCCTTCAATTTTTCCTCGAGTAAGGAAACAACGTTTTTAGAAAGAGCAAAACATCAGATGTTGTACAATAAGTCACTGCTTAAAAAAAAGACAGAATACAATACCACAGAAAACATTAACCATAGTAAAATAAACTACTCTCAGTATTAAGGCATGAAGATTAGTTTTCTCAGAATCCTAGAATGGTTTGGGTTGGAAGGGACCCCAAAGTTCCAACCCTCTGCCACGGGCAGGGACATTTTCCACTAGGCCATGCTGCTCAAATCCCCACCCAGCCTGGCCTTGCAGACAGCTCAGACAGGTACCTGCCAATGCACTCAAAATATGCACATGGCATATTTTATTATTTTTGTATAGCTGAAGAGTTTAAGACCCTTGTAGGACCCTGACATGACATACACAGTACCAACACACCACAGCTGACTGACTGCCTGCACCAAGTTTGATTTGCTTAGGGAGAGGTCATTAACAAAACAAAAAACTGGACTAAAAATAGCCCAACCACACGTCTTACTTGATTCATTATGTTTCCTACTTTATTTAATTAATTCATTTTCAGGCCAACTGAACTTGCCTACTACAGCTGAACAGAGTTGATTTTACAGCAACATAAATCAACATCTGATTATAAGGTCTGCGGACAACACCTACGGAAATTCAAAAGAGGTTGGGATCTAAAGGCATTCTGCACATTACCAAATTCATAAAAGACCCAAACTGAGCTAAAAAAATATATGATTATGTTTAGCAATTGCAAAACACTAACTAAGTGATCAAAGGAGGCCGAGCAGCTGCACATACTTGGTGTCCTGCAGACTGTTCCCGCTGTAGATGTACATGCGCTTCACAGTCGCACCGTGTGGGATTTGCAGAGAGGCCAGACCATGGGCAAAGTTAGGCTGTGGGAACACAAAATCACTCGTGTTACACAACACTGCAGCTCCAAGTCAGAAATTACGTGACAAATACAATATATGCTTACCAGTTCACATAAGTCTCTGGCCAAAGACAAGGGAGGGAAAACAGCAAAAGCCCCCAACCTTCTAGATGGTGTTTCTTTACATTACACCAGCCCTGGATTCCCAAGCTGGGGTGAAATGCTCACTAGGTTTATCCATCAAAAGATGGTATTAGTCTGACAATCAGCCATGGTGTGTACTGAGAATTTCAGTTTTTCTTGTGTGATCACTGGCAGCCAGCAGGATCAAGGTGTTTGTACTGATGTGCTGCATCTGAGGTCTAAGAAGTCATCTGTCTGAATGGCAAACTTCTTTTTTTTTTTCCTCTCCCACTCCATTAATTTCAGCCTTTTAACATTTTTGCTGGTTTGCAAAATGCCTTTATCTGATGAACAGAAACTCGTTCATTAAATAGATTTTCTGCTCTCCTTATCACTGCCTTCTCACACATATTGTTTTGACAGGGATTGTGAGTGCTCTCAGCACATTGAAAGCGTGCTAAGGAAGTCAGGTTGACTCTTACCACACTAGAATAATGAATTTCTTTCAGCTCTGAGGATGACAGGGCCTTCTTCAAGATTGACAATATACTTTGCTGTCACCAGACAGAAAAAAAACCTAACTCTGTCACAAAAACAAGATGCTCAATATGCAAACTATTACCTGGTCTACTCTAGCAGGACATCACATAAGGTAAACACAAAAAATTCTTCTTAGGAGAAAAGACTAACCCAGAGCAATGCCTTTCACTGCTGTAGTTTTTTGGAAGGGAACCAGCTGATCTGAGATGCCCTGATTTCAGTTCTCTTCCTGAATTTGCCTAGAACATGAACAGTGTTAGCTTTCTAAAGTAGTCAGACTCTAGATTACTTTTTAACACACTTGTGTCTTAGCAACAGAGCCCCAGAAGTGCCTGGGCCTCATTTCTTAAGAGAAACAGTGTGAGTAGGTTTTCATGTTCTCACAACTTGTTACCACCTATACAAAAAACTCCAAAGTCTTCTTCAGAGTCTGTTCATTTCCATAAGCAGAGCTTACACTACTTTGTAAGTAGTTCAGCATTCACATACAATCGTCCCTGAACTTGATAGATTTTGACATATTCAAATTTGAATTCATTCTGCACTCTTTCCTAATATTCCTCCCTAAAAAGCTCCACAAATAATCATCTTCCCTGTGGACTGTTTCATACTACTATTTTCTAAACAATCCTACTTCTACCTATTTATATTCCTGGGAAGACTTTGGCCTTTCACTCCGTGTGAACATTGTATAACCTCACTAGACCAACTGAATGAAAGACTTGGAGAATGCAAAATTATTTTCTCACTGTTCTAGCAGTTTTATTTTAACATCTTTTACTTTTAGGTAGTCCTGCAAGGAGCAGGGAGTTGAACTCAATGATCCCTACAGGTCCCTTCCAACTGGAGATATTTTATTGTCTTGTCAAATCTCTGGTGTAACAATTGACTTTTTCAGCAGCTTGGCCATTTCATTCATCAACACCCTGGGAACTCTCACAAGAAAAGCAACCACTCTTTGTTGGGATATGCTTTTTGTTTGGCTTAGTTGGTTTCTATTTACTGACCAATATTTATGAAACCCAACTGACCTTCACTGCTGCTAAATAATAACTTCCCCTGGCTACCCCCTGTTTTCTCACATGCCAACCACAACCACTAAAGTACTAGGCTGTGACATAAAACATGTGTCATCATGCTGGTTATTTCTCCCCTTTGTTTTGGCTCTTTAGATGCTCCTTTATTTTTAACTGATAGGCCTAGATTATACAACTCATTCTCACACAAAACAAGTTATATGTACATATACCACAGAGGACCTGATCTTGTTTCTGCCTTAGACAGTGATTTCCAAAGATTTCAGAGAACACAGTAGTATGTTCAATTATTCAGTAACTCATCCAAACATTTGGTGAATATGCAAACAGGCATTACAAATAAAGCTCTTTCATTTGGCTTGCTAAAAGCACTTGTACTGGAGGACACTTAAGATGAAAATGTATTTTATGAACCCTATCCTACTTTAGTTGCATAATCACTTTGATGAGATTCAAAAATATCTGATAAAAGAACAGCCTCCCAGTAGATTGCTTAATATTTATGTATTTGCATAGACAGCACTCGTATTTTTAGAAGACTCCTTTCAACAACAGAATTGCTGGTCCCAGTTCATGATGCAAGCAGAACCTCTGAGCACACGCCTTCTGCTAACAGGAAGGAGGGTTTTAACTTTGAAATGGTTACATAGCATGAATAAGAGCACAACTGAGGAGTCAAATTCCTTTCAAATGACTGGTTTCTTTTGCTTGCAAAAGGCAGTGAGACACAATGTAGGTGATACTTTGCAAGTACCACAGAGGCAAAAAGACCATCCAGTAACTAAGAATGATTGCTGACCTCGTACTTGGGAGTTTCAGTCCAGGAGTCTAACTGAAAGGAAAACGACAGTCCTCTGAAATTGAGGTGAAAGAGCTGCTCAGCTGAGTTATACACTGAAAGGGAAAAGAAAGGAAAAGCAGAGTTACCAAAATAATCTAAGAATTCTCCAGTTCACATGTAACAGCTCCTTCATCGCCTCAATGAATTTGCAACATCTCAAAATGCAGGAGGGACACAATTACACAGGACAATCATAGTTTTGCATCTAATTTGTAGCAGTAAAAACACAGCAATAAGAGAACCCATGGATTCATTACAGTTGCCTCCACAAGCCTGCAGGCACTAACCTATCCCTAATGATACAATTACACAATAGGACACAATCAATTATACCTTAATATCTCTAAAGTAAACAGCCATCATTAGCACAGAACAATTCTGTCCATTGTTATGTAAAACATTGTACAATATTAACCAGGAAGTCTTTCAGACAGATGTGCACAGAACACTGATAAATTCCCTATTTCACCCCACCGTGCAGCTCAGCCTGTGACCTGCACTCACACCCCTCCTCCGGAGAGGAGCTCCCATGCCCAGACCAGCTCAGTGCCCTCCCGGCTGAGAGCACAAGGAGGAAGTGCTTCAGACACACAGTCCAGGGCCGTTTACCAGGATAATTACAAATCACATCCCCAGAAGCAGCAGCTGCCTGGTCAGCTCCCCCAGAGAGCAGCACTAAAGCAGAGCATGCCCAGGCTCCCAGCAGTCAGCACATCACATGTCCTGATTCACTGCAATCGGTTGCACAACATCGGCTATAAACAACAATAAATGTCATCGCAGGACTTGGACTCTAACAAGACATACTGTTTTCTGAGACTGTGGAAAGATTAAAAAATAATCCCAGAAGACTGGGAGCTTGGGAACTGTTTTGGGATTGGTGCTACGGACTTCAACCTGTGCCCGGTAGCCACCAGGGGAACAGAGTGTTCTGGTAACACACAGGAGCTGACAGCTTGAAAACAGCAGAGCCTAAAAACAATAAAGGGACCCTCCAACAAGAGAAGCTGCTTTCTTCCCCTTTACCAAAGGAAATTGGTTCAATAGCCCCTTTTTTCTTACAATTTTATTTTTAAGATGACATAGCATAGAGACAAAATGCATATAAATGCATCTTTCAAATGTTCAACTTGAGAGACATATTACAAGGCATCTGGACAATGCCAGGCCACCCAGGATAGAAAAATAATAGTTGAGCAATAACCATTAAGCTTTCACAAGTCATCATTTGCCTTTCTAGCAGAATGTGCTGGTTAAGAGTCTTTTCCATGCTTGTCAGTCGAAGGAAAACGTGTGGGGAGAGGGAAATGTTTTGATCGGCAGGAAAATTACACAAATCTCTCTCATGTGATAAATTATGATACATCTTTTCCAAAGCCCACAGCCAGCTGGAGAACTGTTTTTCCCCTAGTCATGCCAAGTGTGATATCTGATTATACAAATCGCATCAGTTCCCATCCCCATGTTTGTTGGGCTTAAAGGGCAAGGAATGCTTTGATTCTTGGGAAGTTCTCTCATGTCTCCCTCAAAACCATAGGTCACAACCACGTGACAGAACAAGGTAAAGATTTTTTTTAACTATTTATCTTTTTTCTTATTTATTTATTAATCACACAGGTACCTGCAGAATAACTCCATCCAAAATTGCTGACAGAAGCAAGACAACTGCTTCTCTGGGTGGGGGAAGGGGGGAGTTTGCCTTCCAGGAAGGCAGCAGAGTGGGAGCAGCTGGGAAATGTTTCTGCAGAGCAGGAGGGGACAAAGCCACCAACACCAGTAAGGCTGCAGAACAGACACAGTTCTGGTGAAAGCAGAGGCAGGTCCAGAAGTCAAGTCTTACTGGTATCAAGCACAAGACTCTTCTGGCACCTCAGGGGAGTCTGGGCAAACTGAGAGTGACAGAGCCAGATGACAGGAACCCCCTCCCCATCCCTGCAAGGCCTCTGGGGCAGGAGGGAAGGATGGGTTTTTTATTCTCCCTGATCCACCGTGAATGGCACCCTGGCAAACAGCCACACCCACCAGGATTCAGGACAGGATGTGATTTCAACAGAACCACTGGCAAAAGCAAGCACTTCCCAGCAGGAGGGCAGGTCAGAGAATCATGGAAACGTGGGATAAAAATCTTGGCTTTCAGGAAGGTGCTGACCAACAGAGTGGTCATATTTCAATAAGCCCCATGACAAAGGTAGTGCAATGTTTCAAACTAACATCAGCCAAAAAGTAATGAAGCTGGTTACAATTTTTTCTGACTCTTCTCTTTTAAAACCACTGATCTGGCAAAACCAAACCTGCTCATTGAAGGCTGGTTTCAACACAGAACTGTTGCTAACATTTTGAAACACATTTTGAAACTAGCACTGTATCCTGTTGCGGGAAATTTCTGCTGCAACCACCTTGGTTTTAAGTGAAAGACAACATTTTGTGTGAAATTCTAGTGGAGGTGAACAAAGAGATAAACAACAAAATACTTTCAAAGTGCTTCCATTGGAGTTTTGGAGGAGCATTAGTACAGAGAAGAAAAGGGATGGTTATGTCCCTTTCATTCATCAAAACCAGCACATTAAGAGGAAGGTTTCTCCTCCCACCCCAGCCCCAGTTTTTGTGGGACATGAACACACCATCACCATCCACCCCACAGTCTGAAAACTATTCCGGTTTTTTTTGCCTTTTCTGTTTTGGAAAACGCAAATAAAAAAAAGTTATCAAAGACTTGTGTTGCATAATATAGTTCAAGCTGCTTATGACAGGCAGCCTGACATAGAACATTTACTTCTGCTAAGTAGGCTGTTAATGGAAGAAGTATCTTTCCAAGGAGGAAGCTGAATAAGCAAATGCAGTAGTGAAATGGTAACAGAGGCCAGCATTTTAATAAATAAATTTTCATATCTACATGTCTTTAGATGAAAAGATGTTATGAAAAACTATCACCAGATGAAGCAAGCATGCAAGTTTTCATAATTAAACATGACAGGTGCACAAGTTCTGCAAATTCAGCACAAAGACATGTGGTGCCAGACTATGTTTTTAAGTGCCTGCATATGATTTTAGGCAGTAATAAGACAAGCTATTACTACCATAAGCAATGCTTATAGCTGGGTCTGTATTTTCATAGATCACAGTATCACAATTTTGGAAGTGCTTCACCTCTAAATATTTGCAAATAAACCATCATCAAATAACAAGTAAAAATTATTATAAGCTGTGCAGGATATGGAGCCACTTTTACCCTTCCTAAATTCTACAGCCTCTTGTACATACTATTCCCATAACAGATCTAACCATAGATCTCAATTTCTGCCCAAGAGGAAATGTTAAGGTCATGACCAAAGTTTAAAAGGCTAATTCTGATCCTTGGAGTATTATGGCTAGAAATCCTCCAAGCTTCATTTATCTCGATCTGATATTCCTCTACTACTGCAGGCTTTTCTGCAGTGATACTGCTTTAGCCACATGACCCTCCACAGTTAATAAATCCTGTTCTGTAACCTGCAAGAGACTGCAGAGAACAGAGACAAAGCCTGGATATGCAAGCACCATCCATCACAAAGATCACTGGCCTGTTTGGGATCAGCCTGACTGCTGCAAATGGACTGGCTTAAGCTAAAAATAGGAATGAGGCTCTAAAAACAGTATCTTGCCTATATGGAGTTAATGTTCCCTCTTGTTGTGCCATGGGGCTCCATTTCTTGAAGGTTCTTGGGTAATTATAAATATCTGCTTCAAAGTTTCACCACTGCCTTATTCTCATCACCTACCAAACCCCTCAAATACACTCTCCATTTTCATATATAAACAAGGAGCTTAAAGACAGTCTTCTTCCTGCTCCAGAGATGTGAACAGCCAAGCAGCAGTGCAGGAGTGAGGGCGGGTTCAGCCAGGTTAAACAAACCTGTCCTGGTGCTGCTCCTGCTGCACGTAGGCTGCCTGCACACCCCAGTGCTCCCAGTAACAGCAGGGAGGCACAGCCAGATGGAAACCAGTTCACACAGGCTCAGCTCTGCCCCTGCCCCAGCACAGAGCCTGAGCACACAGCCCTGGCTGAGTGTGCCCAGAGATCAGCTCAGTGTCTGTATGTTCATGGCACACACAGTCCCTGAGGACACTCCAGAGCTGACCATGCATAACAATGTGTAAAAACAACAGCATCACCAACAGAGCTCACAGTTTGCTGGTCCTGGCAGCTCCAAACAGACCTTTAATGATATCTGAATACACCATTCTGTGCCAGTGACTCTCTGCCTCACCGTTTCACTGTAAAACAAGTCACGACTGAACTTACAGTGCATCTGCCATGATTTTCCAGCTGTGAGAATCCAGCCATTCTGGAACACAGCTTCACATCATCTGACAGCAGAACTGCCCACACACTGCTCTAGGCAGACAGACAGGAAAGGTTTCCTAGAAAGAAGTCTGTCAGTCTAGGTGTGCTTCTCAGGAATGTTTTTGCTTACCTCCTGGATGTGTTGCTCCAAATGACTGATCAATTTGTTCTATGGTTGGAGCAATTGCCTGAGAGTTAAAATGGACACCACTGAAAAAGGAAACAAAATTAATCTGAACTGATGCTACAAGCATTTATTCATGGCAATACTACATTTAAATTGTAAGAAGCCTCCAAGACTGAAGAAAAGAGTAAACTGCTAATCTGACCAAGTGCTATGTTCAAGGAAGGATAATTATGTCAACTCCTTTATGAAAGCTATTTTGGTTTTTTAAAAAGAATAACTGAAAAAATGAATTCAGAATTTTAAAAATTGAGCCTAACCAAGAAATCATGAAAGGTCTTAAACCACTTACCAATATTTTAACTTCACCTTAGTCAAGTCATAAACTTCAATCACCTGAAACACAGGAAACAGAAACATTATCATACTTCACACATTTGCAAATCATTACAGAGGCAAATTCCTGTCAAAAGGCAAGAGTAGCCAATGCTGCTCACTCCCCTCACAGAACTGTGCCAGGATAAATCACATTGTCAGCGATGGAACCACGAAAACAGACTCAGCAGCTGCACATGTGACCCAAGGACTGCACAGCTCTGGGCTCAGCAGAGAACCCCCCCAGACACCAGCACTGCCTGCAGGGAGCAGGGTTTGCACTCACACAGCAGCAGCCTGACTTCTACTAAATCCACTCTTAACCCAATCCAAAGGAAGGCAGTAGCAGAAATCAGCTAATTAGGGAATCCTCTAATGAGTGTCACAGAGCAGGCCATTCCTGGGGCTGCCCTGGAGAATGTCTGTGCAGGACACCAAGTCCAACACTGGCTGCACTGCCATGGAGGGCTTAGGGACTGCACTGCCATGGAGGGCTTAGGGACTGCACTGGCAGAACCTTCCAACTCCTGCTGAAGTCAAACGTGTACCCAGCAAGACTAAGCAGCAGGATCCCATTGCAGTACCACATAAAAGGACATCTTGCAGTCTCACCAAGCACTGCAGAAGACAATCAGAAGAGCAGCCCACAAAGAATCAGAGCAGGCCAACATACCTAGTTCTGATATTTATTAAATGTTCCAGACCTTACTGAATATTCCAAGGTACAGATCCTTTGTTCTGAACACAACATTGCGAACACGCCCCTGACACTGATTTCAGATGATTTTTATGTGACTGTTACTGGATTTTGAGGCTACCCTGGGCTTTAAGCAGATCATTTTTGGCAAGTACCCATGGACAAATGCAAGCTTCTTCCACCCTACGTACGTGTTCCCGTGTCAGCAGGAAAAGAAAACACATACAGCACATCATAACTGCTGTAAAGAAAAAGTAAAGCACTTTTTATTGTTTTGTATAATCCTCCAGCAAATCATTAGCAGATTTAGAGAGGACTCTCTCTCCAGCTAAAAAATAAAGCAGTATTTCCCAGGGAGCTTGCTACCAAATGTGGCTTTAAAGCCTAAAAATATCACCAGCTAAGGAGGAAGTCTTGGTTTTGGGAGATGCCCAGCAAATAACCCTAAATAAAACAACTTGCCATGTTTAAACCACTATATCTATATATATTTAGGAAAAAAAAAATCAACTTTTAAAGGCATTTCAGAATATAATCAACAAGTAGAGCACAAAGCAAGTAACAAATTAACATTCTCGCAAAACCAACCTCAAAGAGAAAATAAATTTTTCTTCTTAATAAAATACACTTGAAATTATGCTTCTTGAGAAAACCTGATTATCTAGTATTTTAATTCAAATGCAGTTTGACATGTCCAGGTTTCCTTTACTGCACAGGCTGTTAAAAAACAAAGGCCACTTTTACGAAAAGCTAGAAACGATTTTACATTTTTCAGTGACCTTGGCACAACTCGTCCCCCCACAAAATGTTTCTGAAAATAGAGAGAACCAGCCCCACCCCAGCTCTAGTCTGGAGCCACCCCTGCAGGGCACGGGGCACTCCCCTCAAGCTCTGCTCAAACAGATGCAGTGGGGGGAGACAAAAGGAGGAGCTGAACAACCAGGAGCAGTGCAGGACGAACAGCACGTTGCACAAACCAGGTTCCCCACAAAAGAAACACCCTGAGAGCAGCCAACAACAGGCACCAGTTTGCCTTCTGTCCTCTTCCCATGACTCAGACTGATCTGTTCATGTCAACTTTTTTTTTTTACTAACAGCAGAGGAAGAAACAAGCACAACTTAGCAAAAATTAGTGGCAGTCAAAGGATCTCATAAAGTCATGAAAGACATATATTGAAGAACTGGTCATAGCACTAAAAAAGGTTTTCTTTTCTAAGTTACAGAAGCTACACTGACAAAAGGATTAATGTGATTCTATGTGCAGAGAACAAAAACTAAGGAGACCAAGGACTATTTAGTGATGGGTTTCCTACACAGCCAGAAGGCAGTTGGTTTAAATGAATAAAACCTCACTCACTGTATTGACAATCACTACTAAGGCTCAAAAATGTCCAGGTGTCACTAACCAGCAGGAACAGATCAGCACTGTGGAATCGAACTCCTTTTCCATCCCAGAGGGAGCACATGTGAGAGACCCTGATGCTAAAATTCACAGCAAGGTTTTCAGAACCTGGATCTACCAATTCACACTAGCCCACATTAGTGACAACTCCTGCAGTGCTTTGGCTGCTGAAGGTGAGCTCAGAGACTGGGCACAAGCTGTTCCCCACTCCCTGGAAAAGGAAGGAAGCTTCTTAGGAATACTGCCATGACTTTATTCCTGCACCATCTTCCTTGGAACTATCAATACTTTCCATTTTAGCAGCCTGTATTTCAATCTCTTCTTCACAGTCAAATTTAACAGCAACTGTGTATTAAAAGCCAACACACAAAGGAGAAAAAAAAAAGGCCTCCTGATTTTTCCAGTTTTGCTGCTGCTGAGCAACACTGAAAGCAGTCACACCATCTTAAAAACAGGCTTTACTTACTCTACACCTACACTATCCTTTAACAAGTCCTGTGGCTCTGCTGAACTGATCCCACTGGATTTCTTCTATAAAGTTTTCTGAGCACTCTTACAAGTACAGGTTTTCATAGCACTGTATGCATTTACACAACTTGACTTTTCATAGTTCAAACAAACAAGAGGTATCACTGGGCCACTGAACCATAACATACCAGAAGAGACTGGTTTTCCTGTATTTTTTATTTTTGAAACAAACCTAAAAGTACATACCAGAAGAATTTGAGTTTTATATTTTTAGTTTAAAAGAAATTTTAAAACATTATGGAGAAAGACATGAAAAGCTCTTGCTTAGTTTCAGCACTGAGTGCTGAAATGACAAAATCAGACCCTCAAAAACTGGAGATGAAGAGACAAGGCATACACTAGTTACAACATTTCAAAAACACTACAGGATTGTAACATTCCAAAAAAAGTCAGTAAGCAAGTAATGCACTTGAAATGATCATGCCAGTTCTGAGTTCAGTCTCCTTCAGAATTAAATACAATTGGAAAGATTATCAATGTATGAAAAGGTCCCTCTGACAAAGAATTTTCAAGATATTCTCTTAAAAATTGTAAATTCACATACACAATCTGAGTAAAGTTCAAAAACTTGATAAAAATAAAAATACCAATGACTTCATGAACAGAAACTACCATAAGGCAATTACAAACAGAAACTGGAAAAAGAGGTGCTCAGTTGTCCCCCAGCTGAGCTCAATTTGAACTAAAAATTGTTCTTCGTAATCTGTATTTTTATAGTTAATGTAAAAGAACTTCTGAAAAATATAAGCATCCCCTGGTGTTACAGGTTATTCTTAGAAAAGTAAGTACTTCCAACAACTGTTGCTATTCAATCTGTGTTGCTATTCAATCGTTTAATATATACAAAGTAGACAGAGAGCTCAAGTTTCAGCTGATAGCACACTCTCACAGTAAGTTCGGGGAAAAAGCACTGGGCTGAGCTTTGGAGAGAAATGTTTTTCTGCTGGTTTTATTTCAGACCTGAGTGAGCAAAGAGCACAAGGCTTCACCCACCACTCTTCCAAACCCTGGAAGGGGATGTGAGCAACACACTCCAGTGTTACCTCCAGGACAAGCATTCCATTTTTTACGATCACATTTAACCCCACACTTCTGCTTTCAAACGTGAGAGCAGTTGGAGCAGCTCACTCGCACCCAATTAGCCAAATCAACACCTAAGCACTTCAGTCACAAAAACATTCACAAGCACCGAGTGAGAACCACAGTGACAACTGTTCAGCACGGCTGGTCCTGCTGAAAGGACCACCCCGAGTAACTAAGTTACATCCAGATATTTTAAATGCTTCAGTTAAGAGCTTTTCAACATTTTGAACTAATCTCTTCCTATCTCTACAGTCTCACAATTGCCCATTTTGTACAGATGAAACACAGATATTTTGCAAAGGTAAATGCCATGGGAGGGTAGTGACCAGCCATTTATTTTGCATCTTAACTACACAAAGCATCCTAGAGAGAGGCAGATCAACCCTTGGCCACCTAAAAGCACAGAAGCAGAACTGAACACATCAATGATGAGAATAAAAACTCATCCAGAACTGAATCAGTGCAGGAGGCAGCTGCTCACAACAGGCCTGAATGTGGCCTTCTGGGGGAAAGCACCCACTCACAGCCACACAAGGTCTCTGTGAAGTTAACTCAGCTGAAAACTACAAATAGGAACAAGTTTAATTTCATAAATAAAATGGCAGTGCAGATAAAGGAACAACCTGGGCAGGAAACAACACAGTCTGGTCTGCATTAACCAATGATTCCATTTCATAGCCAAGGCTCAGCTGGAGTGAGGGGCTTCTGCAGCTTCTGTACAACTTGAGACAAGTGAGACCACACTGGACCATCACACTCCTGTGGCACTCAGACAGTCCCCAGTAAAATGTTAAAGTGCCTTAATCCTATAAACAAAGATTTAACTCCTAAACTGAAGAAATGCAGTTTACAATCACAAAAGAGCACTAGATATATTTAACAAATGTCTAAAAGAGCTACATAGTTATGCTGTGTTAAGTGTCAATATATCCTAGAAGTTTTGGGTTACATTGTCTCTTTGCACGAAGGGTGTTTTATTACCTTAAGTCTCTGATTGAAAGCATCAAACAGCAGTTTGATTCCATCCTGAGTCAGGTTAAGGATGAGGTCATGGCTAAGAGGGGACTGTAAAACAAAAAAAAAGCTGTTAGGCTTTTAATTTCAAGGCTTCTTTGTTAAGACATATATCACTGTAAAAGTATAAATGGGTTACTTTGGGAAAACAAAACCACCTGAGAAAACCACCCCTTACTCAACAAATAAGCACAACTCAAACACATCTGGCCAAACCTCTCAACTCTTCAGTTTGCTGATGAAACAGAAACAGCAGTGCCCGTGTAAGATCTGCACCCTGCCAGAACTCCCCAAGGGGACTTTGTCCATTACTTTAAGTAGGGGAAAACCAAAAAACTCAAAACAAAACAATCCCCACCCCTCATTAAAAAAAAACACCAACACCTTGAAAATTAACATTCCAAGTTTAGCATCAGAGGCATCATGCAGGGAATCTGTTGCTTTCTTGGCACACAAAAATAACAGCCTACCTCAGAAAGTCTCACATCAGAACCAAGGGTGTGCTTGACAAAGAGATGGTGAGAGGGCTTTGCACTTCAAAAATCAAACTGTCACAGTCTTTTTTCAGGCCTCAAAAGGAAGCCTTCAGACTCTATCGTTGTGAATTTAGGTTTCCTTAGTTACTGTGAATCATAACAACTAAAGGCTTAATTTGCAGTCTGCTGGAGTCAATAGGAGACATTCCACTGGCTGTCCTGGTGTCTGTGAAGGCTCTCAGGCTGTGCTGGGGAAGCTGCTCACTGCTGCACCAGTACAATCCACACACACACAGGCAGCTGGCCCAGCTCAGCTATTGGATCACATACCATCTAAAGCACATTTGCTTCAAAAAGCTCTGTCCTCCCCAACTGTCTCCTCAGAGGAGAAAAAAGGTTGAATGACAGGCAGGCAGCAACATCCATGGCCTAGAATTGCACCCAGCAGTTATCCAGCAAAAGACAGAATGGGGATGGGACATCTGGGGCATATCAAGGCTTCTACAGTGGCAGACACACCCTTTTATGAATTAACCATAAGCTATCTTATTTTGCTCTACCAGGAGAGGTTCTGGGTTTTGACTGTCAGAAGTCCAGTTTTCATCCTAAATTCTCTCACCTCTTTGTTCTCACATCAGCACTACCTTCTAGCCTGGACAATTTTGAGCATTTTCACGTGCATCTCCCACCCCTTCCCACACTATAGACTCAAGTAAACAGATCCCAGACTTCACATCACTAGGGCAAGACAAGGCACAGGGCTTTCCTTCCCCTGGGAGGCAGATTTCCCATTCCCCTTGATCTCTGCAGCAGCTCTTCCTGAAGCTGGTTCAGTTGGAGCTCATCTTTCTCAAACACTGGTGATCTGGCCTGGGAACTGTCTCCCAAATGACACTTCCACAATGGCATCAGTGCCTCACTCCTGCTGGCAAACCTGGGTGCTGCTGGGCAGGACTGAAGCAGCACTGCAACTGAACTATGAGCTTGAGACAAAAGATCTAATGTTGATCCTGACAGTCTTTTTTTAAATCCCTTATAAATCTAATTTAGAAAGGTCACAGATCGAGCAAAAAAACCTGGGAATGTTGCATTCCAACACACCAACAGAGTTGTTCTGACACAGGATATGCTCTGCATTTCACTGGTTTCTAAGCAAAATTTTCATAAGGTTATTCCAAAATTAATGAGAGCATTACAAGTACTTTTGAGTGGGTGGAAGAAAAAACCCCCAAACATCTAAGGAAAAGCTTGATAATGAGCACAGCAAAGATCTTCTGTTCTATGCTGGCATATTTTCTAATAGCAGAAAAAGTTTCAAGAGCACAAATTTAGTTCATGTGACTTCTAATACACGAAATAGAGGCTCAAGTATGAATGATGATGCCAAGAAGCAACAGGAGGGTCCTTCCTGAAGGAAGCATCACAGATGTGCAGTTATACTGCTAATCTACATAAAGATGCAGGAAAAACTGTTATCACTGAACAATCCCATCAACAAAAACCCAGAGGAAGCAGCTCAGGAAAACAAACAAAGGCAATTAAGTACCCTGCTTAAACTGACCGAAGAGGAGTTAAAATTCTTTCATTCACAGAAAAGGATTCATCAAGCTTTTCTGGCACAGTCTGGGCATCTCATTTATGTCAAGTTAAAGAGAGCACCGTGGGCAGATCTAATTGCATTTAATTGCCATATAAATTTTTGAAAGGAAATACTCACTGCTGGAGTTCCAGGATCAGAAATTCAGTGCTTTAGATGCAACAGCTTTAAATAACACTTGATCACTATGCTCAAAGGCATTCTTTTACACAGCAAAGAGGAAAGACATGAAGGCTGTTGAGGTACAGTTTAGCTAGACAGAAGCTGAGCATGGTGAAGTTTATTTAAAGCTTCAAATCTTCTGAGAACTGAGCTCTGTGTGCTCAGCTGCTAATGAAGGGCATGATGCTCTGCTTGAGGGCAAGGATAGAGCCAGACAATCAACTGCAGGCCCTGAGGGGCATGTGGAAAAAACTGCACCAATATCAGGCACTGAATTGCAATAAAAGACAGAAAAAAATATAACGGGCTCAACTATTCAAGGAAGTTGAGAGCTACTACTTTGTTGGAGTATGCAGATGTTAAAAACATCTTTACCTTCATTACAGTTTGGAGAAAAAAGCCCTAAACCTGCCCTCTGCAGACAGAATAGAAGTTCAGTGTACACAGTCAAGCACAAAGTATCTTTCCAAGAGGTGTAAAGAGCCAAGGAGTGGTACACCCTGCTTTCTAGCACTGCACCACTGATCCTTCTGTGATTCTACAAATCTGAGTGCATCATTTACCTAAACAAACCTAGAAATAATTTGAATGCACCATGGTAGGAAAAACTAAAAACCTCCAAAGAGCACAGGAACCACGGAATGCATTCACTGCCAGACAGATGCTCCCATGGTCTAAGGACAAGGAGCCAGATTTTCCATTTGCCATTCAGTCATCACAAAACCCATAAATCTACATAATGTGAGACAAAAAAAGGATAATTCCATTAATGATATGAAATACATCTCCAGCAGTGAACAGAGCCCACGTTGTTCTCAGCCATTCCGTATTCACAGCAAACACAGAGGCCTCAATCCCTACTTTGATCCAAACTGACATTCCACCCATTCTGCCCTTTTCTCATGCCAATATGTTATTTGCAACATATGAATATCATCTTCTGATTAGCTGCATTTCACATAAAATACATCTGGAGAGTCACAATCCTCCTTTGTCCCATCTCCTCTTTCTAAAGGTGGGTGTATAACACATTTTACTCAATCTAGCAGAGAAGTTTTACCTCTAGTCCCCTTTTTGATGGAAGCCAAACATATTAGGAACACTTGACAACGATAAAGTAAATAGACCAGAATTAAATTATCCAGCTAATTACATAACATTTTGCTTCTTAAAGGAAAGGCAATGCTACCCCATGACTGCACATACAGAACTGACACTGTGCCGAGGATTATTACCCTGAAACTGTTACAAAAGCCACATCTCTGATGCCATGGCCACAATTTGGTGTAATTCAACTTCAAATAACCCCACAACATGTTAATTCTGGGGCACAATGAGGTGCCTTTCTTGGCCAGCCCATGCACTACTCACCTGCTCACTGTAGAGAACCTGGACGTTTTTGATGATGCGACAGTGCTTCTGAAGAATTGCTACAGCCTGAGCCAAAGGCATTCCTGGAAATAAAAGCAGTTGTATTTCTTCAGCACAGACACCAGGAACAGGGATTTTTAACAGCAAGGTTACAGATGAGGTAACCAAAGCCCCAGGAGCACACAGTGCACTACAACAGGAAGGTATGCAGTCAATAAACAAGCCCCTTCCAGTCATGGTATCAGCACAGACCTGGTGTTTGGAAACACAAAAGTCACTGTTTACCTGCCAGTTTTTCTGGCATATATGGAAAAAGTATCTCTAGACAAAATTAAACAGCAAAGTTCAGGCAGAAAAAGCAAAGATCTTTCTACCAGCAGCACACAGACTTCCCTGCTCTGTGGGGTGATCAATCCAACAAGGGATAAATAACACAGCCCACACCAGACTGCCCTGGGGCTGCAGGGAGCACCCCTGGACACAGGCAAGAGGCTCCCACACAGCATTTCATGGCACCCATTTTTTATTAGCCTTGATAAACTACTGAGTATTTGCACAAGATAGACACAAATAGTAAAACAGAGCAGTGATTCTCCTTACCCTAAAAGGCCACATTAGCTGCCAATATGGCTATATTTGTGTCAAGGAAGAAACTTTAGCTTCTCAGTTTACAGACAAGATAAACATACTAAACAATTTGGTTCAATTGAAATAATACACTTCAATTCACCCTCCTATACATTTTCAAGGGCTTTTTTTTTTCCCCTTCAGTGTATATCTTATCTTAACAGCTATACATTTTTGAAAGTGGAATGAAACAGCTGATTCTGCAGAAAGAATAGCACCACACCATCTCATCCTTTATCACACTTAAAACCTTTGTTGCCTTTCCAAATGAAATGTGATCACGTTCCTGGATTCAAAGCAGGCATTTATAAAGAGATTATGAGCTCCTAATTGCAAAGTTTTATTTTCCTACTAATTGCTGCAAGTCAATTTAGATTAGTTATCTGACATTTTATTTCCATTCCCCTCCCTGTTCTTTTGTATTTCCAGTTTTTGAACAATAAGAAAGTTGCCTGGATTAGGGAAAATTTACCTCAGAACCAACACTTTTATTACATTCAAACTTTCAGTTACTGGTTACACCTCTCAAACTCAGACTGTACATCATGTTCCAAAGGACCTTTTAGACTCTACCTACGGTATCAAAGGGAGAAAACTCTTTCCCTCTTTCCATATATATCTTTACATCACACACACACCTGGCTCACCAGAGGCACTGCTTTAAAGTAATACTAGCACAGCACTAAAAAACCCCCAGAATATCATTCTCACTGTCATGCCCATGCATTGCAGCTTTCCTCCAATCATGAAATCTGGTTTGGGCAAAACAGACACACAGAACTGCAGTGATCCAATTTGTAAATACCATCTCCAAATGTGGCTGTGGAACTGGTTTTCACCTTAGCCCATAATCCTGGAAACAATTTGTTTTGCAGCTAGAAATTATACATCAGTAGATGATATAAAATAAAAAAATTCAAGAAGAGTTATTATTTTAATGACAGTAATACAATTAAACACAGAGACACACAATAAAGCAGCACTGTTTCCTATTATCTAGGAAATAGCAGTTGTAGTATAAGCAGCTGAGTTTTAAGACAACAGTTATTATGCCTTAGATAATATTTTCAAAATGGAGCAGAAACATGAATAAAAGCAAGAAGCTAAGATCAAAGATGCTCCTGTACAAGTTTCACATTTCTTAACCTAGCAAAAAGTATGATTCAAACATAAAAGTAAAGATGATTTAAACTATAAACCCCATTTGCTAAGTCAGTATTCATATAAGACTTGCAGAGGCACTGATTTAAAAACCAAACAAGTGGCAAAGGCTGAAGCAAAGCCTGTGACTGAGCTGACAGAAGCCAGACACCAATGGCAGTGCCTGCAGCAGGTTGAGGTTTCAGTAAAAAAGCATTTGGCTAAAAAAGTGCACAGAAACACCAAGCTGGGTCTGTAGCCCGATGTAAACTGATGCAATCTTGGGCTGGTAAGTGTGCAAACACACGGCTCATGTGACTCTCTTACTCACAGCTTTCTCAGCAAATGCACAGGGACTGACTTTGTTCAGTTTTCAGCAACCAGATTTTGGCACGCAGCTGCTCAGCAAAGCTACAGTGAGCAACCCAAGCCCTCCAAGAACAGCTCACAGAACCTAAAAACATGTGTGGAAGAGCCAGTATCCTCCCTTTGCCTCCATCAGCAGGAAGCCAAAGGAGGAGTAAAAAAATGGGTTATTTTTCTCCAGCCTTCTAATAGACAACACCCCCTTTTCCTCAACATTCGTCAGCCTTTGCAGTCAAAGAGGAAAACAAAGAATTCTTTTTCCCCTGCTCACCAGCCAGGGGGAACAGGGAAGCAAACGTGGTTTCCAGTCAACCAAACTGAGCCAGGGCAAGTAACACCCCCAAGGACCAGTGTGAGGGTTCCCCTATCCCAGACCTTCCCCATTCCTGAAGGCTGGAGTGACACAACAGCACAAGACTCTCCTCTCCCAACACTGCTCAGGAACATCATGGCTGGAAACATTAGCCTGTGCTAAGACTGTGTGTCCTGAAGGGGAAAGGAGGGTAGAAAAGTGAATAAAGATTAAGAAAAGAATAAAAGAAAATCTAGGATGAATCATTAAGCATTAAATAAAGATATGTGAAACTCAGTAGGAAAATGTAAAAAGCAAGAGAAATGCAAGTGTGCCTTAGAAATTATACATCTCAAACACTAATAACACAGCTATAGGCACTCCAGAATAAGTATTTAATTGTCCTCCTTTAAAATGGCAGGAATATAGCCTGAGAGCTGCAGTGACACAGGTATCTAAACTCAGCCTTGGTTAAATTTTTTGTGCTCTAGTCACACAGTGAGTCAACACTGGAGCCAGAAACAGAATCCAAGAACTCATGTACAAAATTTTCCTGGCATTTCCCCTCAGTCATCCCCATTGTGGGCACAATACTGGAAGCCAGAGTCAGCAGCAGTTCAGGAATAGTGCCATTAGTTGTGCTGAGAGCAGAGCTAAACAAACCACGAGTAGGACACCGCTGGCAGCAGGAATCCCATTTACACCAGCCACCAACCCCACTGCCACCAGCACAGCTGAGCCAGCCCTGCCAGCAGGGACAATCCTCACTTAACATCCCTGGTGCAGGACAATTTGAGTATCTTAATACCTAGTCAGCCTCCTGCTCTGCCCCAGCAGGTCATGCTAATTATACACTGGCCACATCACGTGGGGGCTATGTTTACTCCAAGAAATACAGCTGAGCTTCCTCCCTCTCACATCTCAGCATGTGTGTGTGTGCACAGACAGACACACAGGACACAAGTTTAACCATGAGGTTGCACCAACAGGCTTCTTTGGGGGTTCTTGAGAAAATGAAAACCATTTTCTCTTCCCTTTTTTTTTTGTTTTGGTCAGGAGAATGGGGGGCAGCTGGCACTCTGTATTTATGAAGACTGTCGGGCTACAGAGTTGGAAATTGCTTTGTCCCGGGTAACTCAGGCTCTAAAGGGGGGCAGAAGGTCACCCAGAGCTGAGAGCACAGCACCCGTTGGCAGCACAGGGAGATCACCAAGATTTCAAGGGCTGGGACCTGAGGTGCTATAATTAGCCTGCAACAGCCATTCTAACTCCCTGCAACCATCAAGCTGTACTTGACTCTGCAGCCACAGCAGCATAAACAGCCCTTTGTGTTTGATGGCTTTCATATAAACAACTCCAGGCCCAGCCCCGCTCCTTTGGTGTGTCCCGAGTTCAGCTGTGCAACAGGGTTTTTAAGGAACAGTCTGTCCCCTCGCTGTCACAGGTGACGGCAGCAGCCCCAGTGCAGCTCAAGTGCAGGCAGACACAGAGGGCTGACACACGGGGCCCTGTTTACACCTGCCAAACCCCACTAACTGTGCTTCACACAAAGCTACAGCAGAGTGCAGAACGGAGAGGAAGAGCCCAGCACCGAGACCTCACACAACCACTCAGAAAAACGTGACACCTACGGCACTTTCTGAGAGTTTGCAAACCACCACTACCTGCTTGAGAACATCAGTCGCCTGAAGAACCCACACCATCCGAGTCCCAGCTGAGCCTTTAAGTGCCCTGGGCTGAGCACCACCCAAACGTGTACCAGCGGGGGGAAAGTTCTCTCTCAGGGCAGCAAACAGCGACTGGTAGGGAGGGACTACTCAGTGAGACCAGAAATACAAACGACTGGGGGGAGAAATACTTGCTATCTAACCCCGAGAAAACATCTCATAAGTTTACTTTCTGCACTATGTCGCAACCCAGCAACAAAACAAAGAAATTGTGAAACTCGACTGGTGTTTATGCAGGGTTTGTCCGGAAAAGAACAGCGTTTACGCTGAGCACCAGGACAGGTGAGGCTGCCGGTATCACCTGATGTGTATTCGGGTGACAGTCAGCACATTCACGCTTCCTATTTCAGGAGTTATTTAAAAAAATTACCAGCCTGAGATGGCCAAGACAAAACAAGGCAAAGGAGCAGAAGCGAGCGCAGGAGCTGATAAACAAAGCACGACCCGGCGTGCGAGAGCCAAACATGAAACTAAACACTGCAGGGGAATCCTCGGAGCTCGTAAATCAGCACTTTCAGCGACAGACAAGGGTGAGGGGGAAAGAGCCAAAGCTTTCTCCCTTGAAACTCGGTGAGGGCTGCGGGAGAG